CAAGTGGCGATAGCCAACGCGATGCACATGCCAGTCATCCGCACTGCCTTCGAAAGGGGACGGCTACCAACCACTGATGACTTGCCGGTATGTGGCTGTTGCGTCCCGCAACTTGGCAAGGTTGACAGTCCACGGCCGAGGCGAGCACGACTATCCGGACCAGTGACGAGCAGTGGACGCCTGGACAGCACCAGCAGTCGAACGCCAAGGATTCTCGATATTCAATGTCCTGCCGTCCGCCCTCTCATGACTCTGCCCTCGACATGTGTGGCCGCGTACTGTACAAGTACTAAACAGGGTTGGGCTGCGGCTTGAGTCCGCGCCGCGAAGTGGAACTACAATGGGGCTGTCGTAATTCGACTCCCCAGACGATTAAACGAGCTTCCAGAAGAATACTTGCTTGCCGCAGGCAGAGGGTAACAGGCCCGGCTCGCCAATCCCAGTTGTGTCCGGGCACACCGTTGCTGTGACTTGCCTGCATTCTGGGTGTACTGGCAAGCCTTGGTTCTGGCGTTTTGAGACCTCCATAGTCAGTGTTGGTAAGATTCGGATGATGACTGGGCCGATGCCGACACCAGGACAGCACTCGAGGCACCGACAGGAGCTACAGAGAACCGACTCGGGACGCGACGGTGACATTACCTGCCTCGCGCCGTCCTGCCTGTTACTTGTCGCGTTTGGCGAACAATCAAAGCCCGCGATAAGCGCTGCGCATCGACGCGGAGCCGCAGACGTGGCGCTCCCACCGCGCTCTTGCGAGACGAGGTTTCCTCCACATGCTTGCGAGAAGACAATGGATCAAGCCACACCCGCCAATGGCGCAAAGATGGCAAGGCAGTGTCCGCCAACCCGCTTTCGCCAGTCGCCACACCTCGGGATCTGGATCCTGATAGTTTCAAGCCGGGCCAGCCTCAGCTCCCCGGCGGCACTCGATATCGCGGGGTGCAGGAGGGCGGACGACGACGGCGTCGCGTGGCGTCGCGCGTGGTGACTCCAGAAGGCGCCGCCCATTCTGCATCTCCTGGAAGCTGGCATGAGCGGGTTGCACCCGCAGTGGCTCAGATTACTCGACACGGCTCTGCGGCGCGTCCGTGCGGACACCATCTTGTCATCCGTCGCTCCCTCAGCCCTCGACGGCGACGCAGTTGTCAGCCGAGACAGCCGGGAGTCTGGCAACTGGTTAGAGCCGACTCCGCGAGCCGAGCCATACCTTTAAAATAAACGCCGATTTTTGTGACACCTGAGAAGCCGGGGGCCGCAAGGGGCCTTGGCAACCATCCAGCTCGCGGGTCGATTATCGAGCGGGCATGGTTCGAGGCAGGAATCGGTAAGGGCTGTTCAAAGTACGGAGTATGCAAAGCCCCGGGAGATACGACGGCAACCAACACCCCCGCGTCTCACCTAGCCAGCCACTCGAGAGCTCCTGAAACCGCAGCCACCTGGGAGTCGTCCACCACGTGGCTGGCAATGGCGCTACTTCATCCTACAGGAGCGACATATGCCCATGCTTCACACATCTCCTGGAAGCTGGTTGTTCTGGGCATCCAGAACCCGTCCTGACGGCAGAAGTCCAGAGACCTAGTACATCTCGGGCGGGTTGCCGTGTCACAGGCAGGAAGTGACCAAGGGACTGGCTATGCAGGCGGGTGACGAGGCCGGCCCGCTTCACCTTGGCTGACACGACGAGTCAGCCTGAGCTAGATATCACGGTCTGGCGGCGTCAAACGCCTTCTTAGCACTTTGAGACGACATTCTGGTTTTGCCTTGCTGGTCGGCGAGCCATCCACGATTCCACAGTCGTGGATGGCGGCGGGCCCGAGCTTCCACCCGGCAGGCCAACTTACACGGCGGAGCCCACTCTGAATCTACGGCGGCGCCTTGTCCACAGCAAGGTTCCACCAAGTGCGGAGCAGACTTCATGCTGGAAAATTGAAGAGTGGCCTTCGACTACGTACTAGCGATGGCAGTCGGGCGACAGCGCACGCTACAGCCACGATGCCTCCTCCACTCCACGGCGCCGTGGGCAGGGGACCACCGCCCCATACAAAGGAGCTCATCTCTTGTCTCAGACCCGGCCATTTGTCGCGTCAGAGTGGTCTTGTTTGCAGCTGGCTTGGGCGGGGCTGGTCGCGCTGGCATCTGGGTAGGCGATGGTTGCGCTTGGCTCCACGGGTTCGATGGCGCTGCAGGAGCAGCATGAATATGGCGAAACACAAACCACTCGGACGGCGCAAGAGTGATACCCATCGACCGCAGCTCCCCCCCACCAGTGCGGCGCCGCCGACAAGGAGCAAGGCTGTTTGTCAACGGTAGCTGGTGCCTTGACTGGCCAGGCGATTGGCGACCACGGATGGATGTAGGTATCGTGGGCGCCGGGGGCCACGGGTCCACTGCCGGCGCAGGTGCGTATCTGCCTGTTCGTCAATCGCACACGCACACATGGGAGAGAGTATGTACGGGTACGTCCAGAGTACCGCCAGCCAGAAACCCGGTCAAAGAGTGAAATGGCTGTGCGCAGGCATGTGTGAAACTTTGTCTGTGCGCAGCGGCAGCATCGGATGCGAAAGGCAGCACTTGCCGGATCCCAATCTCGCATTGCGGCCTGTTGTCGACTTGTCTCGGCAGTACGCAGTACATACGGAGGAGATCATGGAGAACCCGACAACCACACCGTCAAGTTGGGCGCGTCGGCAGTGCAGGAGGATGTTGGCCGACAATCGGGGTACCACCGTTTGCCACAGGCACACACCTCACGGCTTGCTACCTAGCCGTACCAGCTCGGCCTACCACTTCCGAACCAGAAGATGAGACTGGACTAAAATGTCGTTATCCAGTCGCAAGAAGGGGTCAGAGTAAGCTGGTAACGGACGACAGTTTGCCGTGGAAAGCGACGTACTTTTGTCAAGTGCTAACGGCTGACGAGGGATTTGGCGCAACCAAATTTACCACTGACTTAGGGAAGACCGTCGTTAGAAGATGGAGCTAGCTGGGCGCGATTCGGCGGTTCCTTCATGCGAGCGTCGAAAGGTGCTGGCTGGCATCGCACAACGAATCTCTCGACCCCCAGAGGGACGTACTCGTACGGACGACGAGTTGCTGCTGTCTCGAGACACCAGGCGGAGGCATTGGCCGGAACCTACGGCAGCGCATACGGTTCTTCTCCGCATAGCGGGCATCCAAGCGCGTGAACTTGCGCGAGGATGAGAGGGCGTGCGTCTTCGTTGGCAGCTTGACGACCCTGGTTCTCTTGGAACGGACAACTGTGCATCCCCGGCCCCATAGCCAGCCACCGCCGCTTCGCTTGCCCTCAACGGAGTACTTCGCATTACTAGTCTGCTCATTCACAAGTACTACTAGTACGAAAGGTGCCCAGTGGGTGGTGGAGGAGCCCCGGTGCTGTCTCCGCAGCTCTGAGAAGGCCGTGTAAAGCATCAAGGCGCCTGCTCGGTAAGTTCGCACAGAACACGTACATCCCCAGCAGAGACTTGCGCTTGAGTGGTGAAGCTTCCCCATTGTTCGGTAATCTCCGCCGGCGGTAATGGCTCGAGATGAAGCGAATCTGGTGGATTACGGCGACCACAGAGATGGCCCATTCAGCGTAGAAACCGCATGGCCGAGTCAGTGGTACGACCCTCAATCAGGTGGGCGGGTGGGCAGCGGCTCGGCCGCCGAGAGGTTGGCCTGCCCGTCTTCTTGCTCGACCGGTGGGGAATGGGGATAACCCCTGTCTGCAGAGCTTCGCCAGACACGAGCAAGCTTCCAGAAGGGAAACCAGAAATGATGCCCGCCAGGCCAGCTGGCGCCGTTCCCAGTAGCATGAGGGGGCCAGTCCGGGCGCACCAGACAGTGGCTGTTGTTGTTTACCTCAACTGAGCGTTCTCGGAAAAGCAGCTCGCACACATCCCCAGCCATCCGTTCATGCTGAGTCGCTGGCTCCTTGGACTTGGACTTGCCCCGTCTGCCCCGGGATCGACACCAGGGGATCCGACGCGACGCCTCGACGCTATAATGGGCACGATACTTGTCTATATCAATGTTACGCCACCCGTGTCCTAAATGGACGGGGGACGATGTGTATACCGCGGCAAATATAGACAGCACTGCGTCGTCGGAGAGGAAATGCTCCGTAATACAGCAGTCACTATCGTCGCCGTCGCACAACAGCTTGCTTGGGGCGAGCCGGCGTCGGTGTCGGCGTCGGCGTCGGCGTTTTCCAACGGACTGTAACATCGCCAATGCAACCCTGCTGCCCCTCCCCCAATACCGTGCAAGTAGGGAAGCAGGTCGTGAGACGCCGCACGCGCCTCAAGATGCGAGAGAAAGTGAGGCGAGGCTCGACAACATACGACTTCGTGCAGGGATGTGCGGCATGATTATCAGCAACAACCCGCTTGACCTAGCTGGCGCCTGAGAAGGCCAGGACTGCGACGGCACGCCGGCAGACAACCCGCCAGTGCAGCCAGCTGTGGTGGTTCGCCTCAACACCGACCGCCTCAAGGAGTCCCTTGCAGGAGTGGTATGTTTGAGTACGTCTGGGTGACGAGGCCGTGGGGTCGCATTGCCCAAGGACAAAGCTCAAGGTCTCCTCGGTGCACATCAAGCAGATGTGCGCGGATTTTGTTTCCAAAGAGAGTTTGCTGCGACGTATGAGTGAGAGGGCTGCGTCATTCCCGATACCACGGTCAGACGTCGCAGGCGCCATTATTGCTTCCACTGTTCCTTGCAGCTGCGGGGGCCGCTCGGGTGCATCACAGCTAGACAGGACTGGCGAGGCCACAAATGGTCCTGGTGAGGGTCGGGCGCCCGGCGCAGTCCGGCCGCTCGCGGAGGAGGGAGGACTCAAGATACAGTCCCGAGCGGTTGTTGCATTGCAGCATGAAATAGATTGAAGTATATGCTCGCTCCGTCATGCACGATAAACTCGGTCTGCCTGAGCCCCCGCCCCGGCGTCACAAACAAACAAGCATGCAAACAAACAAACGAAGAAACCAGGGCCGCCCTCACTTCTTGGCGGCGAGGAACCCGCCCCGCGGCTTCACCGGCGTCCTGTTCCTCTTGAGCAGCAGCTCCTTGGTGCTCTTGGAGTAGGCCTTGGCCTTGGGCGCCATGCGCTCGTCCTCCACCCTGCCCACGCGGAAGACGGTCGACCCGAGCTGCTCGTCCCGCGGGCCTCTGTCCTGCCGCGCCAGCCGCCTCTCCACGGCCGCGACGTTTCTCGCCCGCTTCCTGCGCCCGCCGTCGCCATCGCGGTCGTCACCACCGTCGTCGTCGCCTTCGTCAGACGACTCCGTCAGGAACTCGTCGGGTAGCAGGTCCGGGATCTCCATCTTCTCTGCGCGTCTCCTGCCTCCGGCCGCTGCTTTGGCGGCGGGCTTGCCGGATTCGGACCCCGAGTCCGGGGCACCGTCGGCGTCGTCTTGCGGTGCCGCGGCGGCGGCAGCAGCAGCCTTGGCCTCCTTCTCGGCCTGCTTGCGCTCCTCGGCCTGCTTCTTGAGGAGGACGTCGCGCTCCTGGCGCTTCTTCTTCTCGGCTGCTGCGTGCCTGTAGCAGAAACCCTTTTAGTATCGATGCCATGATGCAATGCAGCTGGGCAGTTGTAGGAGAGGGGAGATGGAAAGCAGGGAGGGGGCCATACTCTCGCGCGGCTTTCTGCGCCGCCTGTGCCGACTTCTTGCTCTCAGACGCGGCCTTTACCGTAGACACTGCCTCGGGGGCGGCATCGTCGTCGCTGTCCTCTTCCTCCTGCGCCTCGGCCTCGGCCTTGCTGGCCGCCGTCGCCGCGGCGGGGACGAGCAGCTCGCCGTCCGCGTTGCCCTCGTCGTCAAACGTGATCACGTTGCTCGTCTTGGCGCTCGCCGTCTTGGAGGCTGCCTTGCCGGGTCGCTTTCCATCGATGTCACCTTCCTCCTCCCCCTTTGACCGCACGGGCAGCTTCTGCTTCTTGCTGGCCGTCGCGGCGGCGGTGCTGGTGCTGGAGGTGGTGGTGGCGGCGGCGTTGGCCTGCTCCTGGGCGGCCTTTCGCTTGCGCGTCTGGACGACCATGGTGGGCGAGACGGGATGCTTTGGTGGCGGAGTACCGGCCCTCTTTGAGAATGAGAGAGTGTAGCTATGGGAGAGAAATCGAGGAAGGAGGATGGGTAAAGAATGCGCAGCAGACGGGTGTTGCGTCGGCGCGATGTGTTTTGTTCCGAGGTGAACTGCTCAGCAAGTCGCGGGCATTGACTCGATCTCAATCTCGAAAAGGTGGCCGTATGAGGGCTATCTCAGTTCCCGTCCGTTGAAATTGCGTGAGTCCGGGTATCAGGGTTGGTGAGTCTCGTGTGAATGAAGTTCGGTTTCTCAATCTTCAGTCTGCTCGCGCCGATGGTTTCTGAACGTCAAAAATAATTTTTGTGGAGCCGGGTCACCTCTCACCGACGGCGCCAGCCTGATTGGTGGGTGTCGCGACGGGGGACCTGCAACCACTTTCAACCTCCTGTGAGAGTCTCTCACGCGCCGTCGTTCAACATTAATCGGCATTTATCGACTCTCAAGTAACAGCTTTTTTTATGGGAGTCAACATTCGAAATTGAATCGCTTCTACTGTCCTGTAGAGTCTCCCTCTCCATTCTGCTTGGTACCAGCAGATACTTCACAGCATGGCAGCCCGGCCATCATCAAGGGCAAGCCGTCTCTTACTGCGACCGCAGCCCTCATCATCACCTTCAACATGGCTCCGACCGCCATTGACATCTTCGCATCCCCTCTCTCACACTCCCGCGCCGCGCCTCCCGTGCTACCGGCCAGCACACCAATCGCGATGCTACGCCGCTCCCCGCGCGCCCAAGGTCGTCGCCCCTGCGGCAGCGAGCAATCCCGTCTTCACCCTTGACGAGATCCCGCTCTCCGCGGTTGAGGCAGTCGTAGCGCGCAACGGCGACGCCTTCGGGGCCCTCTCCGCGGAGGAGTACTACCGCCATGCGCAGGCGTTTGTCGCGGCGATCAAGGGCGGCGCGAGTCCATGGGCGGTGACCCTCACAGGCCGTACGTAACATAACCTCGGCGCCATCTTTATCCATAGGCAACATGAGGTGCTGACTACTTTTCATCCCAATTACAGGCGATGCCATACCGGCAGAGACCCTTCACCAGCTGGCCTGCATCATGCGCCAGATCCGCGGCCCCCGCAGCGCCGACGCCCTCGCCACGTCGCTCTGGGCCTCAGCCTCCGCGCTCGGCCACCGCGCCGCCACGCTCTCCCTCGCGCGGCAGCTCATCCGCTCCGGCTCCTTCGGGCGCATGCCCGCGCTGCGCCCCGTAGAGGAGCGCTTCCGGCGGCTCGTCGACGGAAAGGCCGCCGGCGCGGACGCCGACGCGCTCACCGCCCAGGGCGAGCTCCTGTTCGAGCAGGGCCGCTTCGAGCCCGCGGTCGCGACGCTCCGCCGCGCGCTGCAGGTCGGCGGCGCCTTGGGGTTCGAGTGGCGCCCGCACTGCGAGCTTTGCCTGGGCAAGGCGCTCCTCAAGCTGGGCCGGCGAGACGAGGCCACGGAGGTCCTGGAGGCGCTTGCTGCGGCGGGCCTGCCCGAGGCGGACGTGGAGCTTGGCCAGATGTTGAGGGGGACGGACCGCAAGGGTGCCGAGCAGCACCTGTACGCGGCGGCGTGCAACGGAAGGCAGGACATATTCAGCCATCTGTCGGAGATGGCTCTGGAGCAGGAGGGTTCTTCTCCGGAGGATCGACGGCGCTGGGCCATGGAATGGTCGCGTCTGGCAGATCCAAGGGCGGAGTATTGATACATCTTCCTTCATTTTCTCCGCAGAGCGGGCGGTCTGGTTCATACATCGATGCATATACAACCCAAAGGCGAAGTATTCAAGCTTGCCAGCAAAATATTAGGAATGGCGAGCTCTCCTGGAGGGATGTCTACTTCTTCTGCTTCTTTGCCGCGCCATCGGTGCCGTCCTTGCTGTGGCGCCGTTTGTCTCCCGTCTCCGCATCGGGACCCTCGTCCCCCTCATCGGCCCTCTCCCCGTCGTCGCTCTCACACTCGCCGCGCACCTCAGACTCGTCTGGGGAGGGAAACAACTCCCTCCACGTGCCGTCCAGGACCTTTTCGTCATTTCCATGTAGCCCAACATCGTACGCCGTCTTCATGGCAGAGAGGCACACATTTCGGCGGTGCGAAAAGTCAAACATGGGCTTCGGATACGTGCCTTTGTCGTCTGACGACAGCCCGTCGCCCGTCACACGCACGCCTGCCTTCTTTTGGTCTTGGATCGGCGCTTTCCACGGCTCGTATATGTACTTGGCGTTGAGGTCCTTGAGCTCCGGCACCCAACGTCGGATAAAATCGCCGTTCTTGTCCCACTTTTGGCCAAAGGAGATGGGGCTGTAGCAGCGGTAGTACTGCGAGAAGAAGGCAGTGCAGGAGAGCCACTGCCAATTACCAATGTTGCAGGCTGGCTCGTGGTCGAGAAGCCACTCTTCAAAGACTTCGGCTCCGCGCTCCCAGTCGACATAACACCCGCCCCTGGTGAGAAAGCAGGCGACCGAGTGACGCCCGAGATGGTGGATCCAGCCCTCCTCGCGAAGTTGGCGCATGAGTGCGTCAATCCAGGGGAATCCCGTCACGCCAGCTCGCCATCTCTTGAACCACGTTTCTGCCTCTTCTGAATCCACGTGGTACTCTCCGGTGGTTATTCCAGTAGCCGGATCCCTTTTCGATGCGAGATGCCATGGTATGAATCTGCAATACTGGTTCATGGCTGTCTGGCCAAAAGGTTGTCCAATCGCTGCGTGTGCGGCGAAGTACATGTCGCGAAATAGCAACTGTCCAGTAAGGCTCGCGGGCGGTGAGGATGCACCCTTGCCGTACTCCTCAACGACATCTTGTACACGCCAATAGAACTCCCGCACCGAGAGTGCCCCGAAGTGGAGGAACGGCGAAAGCAAGGTGGTGGACTGCGGCTCGAACTGGGCAGGGCTGGTCTTTGGCTTCTCAAACGTCGCCGTGTACTTGGCATCTTTGATGATGGCGTCGAGACGCTCTAATGCCAGACTCTCGCCGCCCTTGTGAGGCGTGGTCGCGGGCGGAAAGCCCAACTCTTTCATGGTCTCGATTGCGAAATCTCCCTTTGGACCTGCGATCTTGCTGTAGCCGCTATCTTTCTCGGTGCGGCGAGAGGCGTTGAAGTCGGGCTTGGTGTCTGGTTGGTCTTGGTCAAAATCGACTGGCATCTCGCCCGGGTCGGGCAGGTGTTTCGGGGAAGGGATGGGACGTGGGACGCTTCCAATCTTCTTTGCTGCGGCTTGGAGCTGGGACATGGACAATGTAGGCTTCCCATCGTGGTTGGCGACAATGTCGTCACTATCCCAGAGCGTCCTGCCTGAGCGGGTGATGACCTTGACGCCTGCTTTCTCAGCCGCCTCGACAACAACCCTGTCGCGCTCCCGCGCATAGGCGTCGGTGTCCTTTTCGAAAACGAGGTGCGTGACATTCCATGCCTTGAATAGCTTAGGGAAGAGCGTCTGTGGCCCCTCACGGAGAACAAACAGCTTTGACTTGGAATTGAGTCTTGTCAACGACTGGGAGAGGTCGTGTTGACAGTCCAAGCTGCGCGGGGCCTAGTCAGTCATTGACATTGACAAAACTTTGGGGTTCTAGCATCTCACAGGAACTGCCACCGATTGAGTCCGCCTCTGGCTCGATAGACATAGTGAGGATCCCAGGTGAAGATGGGCCACAGGACGGCGGGCTCTAAGTCGAGAGCAGCCTGCAGTGCTGGGGAATCATGCAAGCGCAGATCCGTCCGGAACCAATAGATGACTCGTGGCCCGCCCATTTTGGAGAATTGTGACTGCTGTTTGTGCGAAAGGTCGTATGTCCAAACTCATTGAAGCATGAGATACGCAACGAGATGTTGCTGAGTCTATCTTGCCGCCGTTCCGGAAGGCAGCAATGGCTATAGGGTAGGGCGCCGCTGTGGAGGAGTGAGCAAGGTCATGATGTCAACGAGTCCGGAGATTCAGTGCTAAGCTCGGCGCCCTTTCGCTCCCCACGTTGCGCTAGGCGAGCGGGCAGCGCTGAGACCTGAGACACGCGGCCGATCTGTTGATTTTGCTTTTTCAATCGAGACAGGCGCCCGATAGCGTCCGTCTGTTTAGATTCCGTTGCTGTGGACATTGTTTACTTTGGTCATCGGCGAGGTCTCGCTTGCACCCATCACCTGAGGGCTTGGTAAGGCCGTGTTCGCGGTGGCAACGCCGACTGCTCGATGCGCCACCGAGACAGCTGTGCTTTGGAAGCGTTGATGAATCCAAGACGCAAGGGAAGCAAAGAAGGGCGAGGGAGGCAATTGGCGTTCAAGCACAGGACAAGGAGAGCGCGGATCGCCCCTTCCGTGTAAGTCGAAGTGGCACCTGCCTCGCCTCGCCTCGCCTGAGGCGGGCAGCCGACGTCCCAGAACGGCAGCGAGGGCGCGTGTCACTTGCCATCCACGGATGATGGAGGGGCCCGGTGGCTCCTACCAAATCGAAATGATATTGCTGCATCGGGCTGTGATGGTCACGGCACCAACCCACGGAAAGAAAAGAAAGGGTGCACTGCGCGCATCGTGAGACCCTGCACCTCCCGAGCCCGAGCCCGAGCCACTCCTGGAACCGAACCCGACATCAAGGGCTGCACCCCAAACAGACGATCTTCTTCCTATCCCGGGCCACCCGCTTGCCAATGCTCTCGGAATCGCAGCGCGACGAGTCGCGGAGTCTTGCAGCCCCAAAGCGGCTGCAGTTAGCGTACGCTGATGCCAGATTTGTGGCCCAACCACGGAATACTGTACTACTACAGGAGCTTGCCTGCTCGCCCCGGCGTGGCCGTGCGTTGCAGTTTCAGATGCCCCTCCAGTCCATCAAGTTCATCGGCGAACGGGTCCATGCGGTAACACCAATCGTCATGGGGCTTCCTCCCCAGTAACCATCTGCTGGAGCCATGATTGCGATGGAACAGGTACCGAGTGAGCTGTCAGCGTTGCATGTCACTGTCTCAAGCCGTCCCGATGACGTTGGAGAATTAAGCTCGGTGGTCAGATTTCGATCGCAGATGGAGGTGCGTGACCCCAGGTCGTATGCATTGACGAACGGCTGCGCTAATCAAAGTCAGACGCCCCCTCCCTCGAGAACGCGTCGGGGCAGGACGCGTCGTCCCAGATTGGCAGGAAAGTGTCAACAAAAAGTCATGATTGCAGGTTCTGAGGGGATATCGGCGCTGTAAAGCTGGCGCCAATTCGACTGCGTTCGTGAGCCCAAGACGGGATCTCGAGCCTCTTGCCTGACTCTGCAGAAAGATAGGCACCGGCATACAGTACAAAGTTGCACACTGCGCGCAGTTCCACCACACCCCTGCGTCTCGCTGCATTTTTGCCTGCAGACCAAGAATAGCAGTGCCGCGGACGAATCGGGCCCGCCGTTCGCACGACCGTTTTGCCCAGGCTTCCAGGGACCCCAACAGCACTTTGAGAGCGACATGCTTGCACGACAAGGGCCGCCTGGTGTTGGTGCTCGGTGCTCTTCACGGGGGCATTCTCTCACATAGCCCTGCGAATTCCTGAACACCAGGGGTTCTTGCAGCCTTTGGCGGGAAGTGCGAGTCAGTCAGCGCTTACTTGCACTCTTTGCAAGTGAGCTGTCGCCGCCCCATGCCACGCCTCGATGCCTCGACGAGGACCACGACAACTCATTCATGCACACGGGGAACGGGACAAACACTCAAATCTATGCAAGTAAAACTAGTCTTACCCGAGCGGGTTGTTTACCTGTAAACACCCGCTCAACCCGTTGTCCATGCGCACCATCCTGTTCTGTCTCTGGAATGCGGCCCCGAGCCAAGGGAGGCGTGTGCCCGGCAACGTGGTCTTGGACGGCAAGGACGGGGCCCCCCCACGCCAGGTTTCGAGGCTCGGGCTTCTTGACTCGCCTCGATGTTGTGTTTTGTTGCCGACGTTTCTGCGCCCGACTTTTCCCTGGTGTGAGGTGGCATCACCGAGGAGGCAAGGAGGGACCCTCCCAACGACGCCCGTGGCCCCTCTGTGGCGGCGTGTGCCCACCACCAACGCTCCATCACGGAAGAAAAATCCTGCCATGCTGCTCCAGCTAGGGCGAGATGGCGTACTGGCGCGGCTTGTTCGATCCCCTCATCTTGCCGGCTCAATGGCGATGTGAGTGTGGCGTAATTGGTTGCAGCACGATATCAATGCCCTCACTCCATGAGTGCCCACCAGCCCGTCAGCAGCGCGGGCTTTTTCGTCCTGCAGCTTCAGCCTCAGCGCCGGCAGCAAGATCCAGGACGCGCAACCTCGAGGTCAACCAGGCACCGTCTCCTGCTTCCACACCCTCCCCTGGCGGGCTGGCGGAGGGCGTACGGAACCCTGGCATCCTGGTCCTGGATTCAATGCGGCCCCGTCTCTCCTGCACCGGCTTCCTCCCAGCCCTCCACCAAGCTGCCCAGCGCACCAACGACATGTCGCCGCTGACCCTCCTCCTCGGCGCACTACGGCCGCCTCGAGCCTGGCACAAGGATCACGGCACTACTGCGAGCAACATCGACTCGCCAGCTGCCGCAAAATGCGCCCCAGCTTCCTTGCTGCCGCAGGGCCCGGCGCTCGTTCATTCGACGGCCCGGACGCGTCCAGCCAGCGTAGCTCCAACTTTCTTTCTTGCGTCGATAGATTACGTGCGTCGCGACGCGTGAAAAAGGACGAACGAGCGAGCGGGCATGAGGGAAAAGAGATGACACGGCAGTTTGGCCCCCTCCTTCGCGTGTCGTCCTCATAATGCCGGGCTCCCCCACGGGCACGACCACCCCATCTCGCAGAGAGAGGACCGGCCGTGGCTGTCGTCAATCTCTGATGCATTCCACCGCCGCGGGGAGCCGACAAGGCGACATCAACGCTCGTGCCCAGCGCCATGCTGCACGAATACACGAATACAATCAGTTGCTGAACCCTGCGCCCTCCTCCTGTGCTGAAGCGCACCCTCGTTTGAAACACACCTCCCAACCCTCCCCCACAGTTGACCCAGACAAGGACCCATCCTCGCAGGCCCCCCTTCCCAAAACTCCCCGACGACCAGGGCAGCCTCCAGGACACAAACAAGAAGAGGGAGTGTGTGTGAGAGAACTTGAGAGAGAGATGCTTTAGGACTTACTAAAGCGGACCTCCTCGCAAATTCCCGGCGTGCCCAAGCATCCAACTTTCGCGACCGTCGAGCCCCTCAACTCCATACTGACCTCTCGTCGCTCGCTTCTCATTTACACTCCTCCTCCGTCTTTACGTTATTTCCACTTCTCTACTCGTCCGCGAGCCCACCCATCCCACCCAATATTCGCGGAGCCCTCCGTCAGTCCCGCCATCACCAGCCGCAACGAAAACAACAAACAACGGCCCCCACTTGGGGAACAGCCAAATCCACAACTACTGAAATAACAATTGACTCATATACTCGACCAGTTGTCGTCTTTGTCGTGGGAAAACCCTTTACATCGTCATCCAGTCGTTTGCGACCAAGGTCCTCGTCGTTTTCCCGCAGTCATTGACCGTTACACCATCCACGTCTGGTCGCACTTGACGGCTCTGGCCTTCGGCGCAAAGCTTCGTCGCATAGCTTCGTCGACTGCCGACAGGCCTTGAGCCCAGCCATGGCTCGCGTTATCCTCTTCATCCTGAGCGGCGCCTTGGCAGTGCTGCTCACCATCATTGGCATCGGTCTCCAGATCGCCATCAGCGTTCGCCTCGACCACAAGTCCACACCAAAGAATGCGGCAGCGGTAGCCGCAACCTTCGAGTTCGTCGTCTTGATTGTTCTTGGTTGGCTAGCGGCATCTCGGCTCTTCTGGCCCAACAAGACTCTGTCGGGTCGACGCCTTATCATTGCCCTTGCGAGCCAGGTTGCCTCCTGCACCCTCGGCGCTGCCGCATCAGCTGCGTCTTTGGCATGCCTGAGCAACTCGGCCGCCGAGGATGCCGCTGATGCAGGGCTTGCTGCATGGGAGAGCAGCATATTGGCTGGCTCTGCTGTGATCCTGGCACTTGCCATTGTATCTCAGCTGGCGTTCCTAGTTATGCATTTCGTCTCGTCTCGAGGGGTTGCATCCGGGAGCTCGTCCGAGACCGACGGGGAAAGCCACAGGAGCCCCAACACTAGGGTCAAAGGCATTCGGTACAGCCAGACTAGTCCGATCAGCAGCAAACAAGCACCGGATGAGGTTTACGTTGAGCGGAAAGGCTCATCACCGTCCACGGCGACTAAGTCGACAATAGGGACCATTCGGTCCACCGTCTCGCAGGCCATCCGTCCAAGCTCGTCGACCAAGAGGCTGCTGTCTCTGAGAGAGAAGAGTCGGCTGGCGTCGCCGGAGTCGGCTCCCCGGAGGCGCAGCGGCGACAACTCCTTTGATTCCTGGGACACGTCCTCTGTCGACACACACAACCGTCAAGTTGTGTTAGAGATGTCGTCGCCGACCATCAAGGCGCCTGGTGGCCTCGAGACGATCCCAGCTAGCCCGACTGCGGCTTACATGCTGGATCCCCAGGAGTCGCCTTTGGAGCCGCCCCCAACCCTGCGCCGAAGTAGAAGCTACAGCGCCTCGACTCTCTCGCAGATGGAGGAAGCACGCAACAGCTCCTCCAGTGAACTGCACATCCACCCTCTCTTCCGGTCTGACTCGCCCACGCCGCCGCCAGTAGCCATGCCTGGGACGTCGGTCGTGGCATCCCCCCAGGCAGGACAGGTGATCACTCGGAGAGAGAGCAGGCAGTCGCTGAAGCGCATGCGCAGCAGCAGCCTGCAGACAGGCCGTAGCCCGCTGAGTCGTCAAACGAGCCTCGAGAACGCCAAGTTGGGGAGGCAAAGCGCATTGCCCGAGGAAGAGGAGGCGGCCAACTCCGCAAGGAAGATGACTCCTCCAGTCCCCGACTGGCTATTGAACCCGGGAATGCAAGCTAGCTTGGCGGCAACGGGTAGCGGCGGCGAGGCTGAAAGGTGACGGAGGCCGGATGCGACAACGTTCGGACGATGGGGCGAACTGTACGACTGCGGAGCATGACCAGCGACTGATTTGTGATGACGACGATGCCTTACGATCTACTTTGTTATGGGGGAAGGACGGAGTGAAGAAAAAAACAGGGGATGAAGGCGCGAGCTTCTGCCCGCAGAGAGGAGGGAAGATGCGATACCTAGGTGGCTGGCTGTACGTGGACGACGGGCGGCCCTGGTCAGTCGTCGCGCGGTAGCTATATATGAGAAGACAAGCAACGCCGCAAGGCAGTTTCATGAATGACAGTGGCACTCCCGCTGCCGATGTGATCAAAGCTGCGACTGGTGATGGGATGAGGCGCGATTTGGGTACGCGAGAGACGAGCGGGAAGAGGGGCAAGCCATTGTTGTTGGAAGTCGGAAGTCGGATGACGCCATGTGATCTGCCATGGGTGTGAGAGGTGAGCTGTGCTGGTGTGCGCTGGTACTTGGGCGCGGGCAAAGGACAGCGGACAGGCGCAGTACTACAGCCAGCGTCGAGGCTCAAGGCGAGGACGGGGGGTTGGTGCAGGCGAGGTACCTGCTTGAGTACTCGGTACGAATGCTAGATGGCGACGAAGAGTCGCGCGCGACCAGAAAGCCACGGCTGGTGCCAGTGAATCGTTGAGCAATGGATGATTCGCAGTGCCACCCGACCTCACCTCAGTGACGATGACGAGTGACCTAGTGCCGGCGTGGCCTCAGAGCTCGAGCTGCTGTCTGCCCAAGCCTGCCCAGGTGGGCTGGTGCTGCTGCCAGCCCAGTGGGTCCCAGGCAGTGACGGGGGTGATGAATGCCGCCCGGGCGCCTGGGCTGGGCGCCTGGGCTGTCGACGCGCCCGCCCGCCCGCTCCCTACCAAGTAGAGAGGAGGCAATGGGGCCCTCCAGGCTGAAGGTTCCAGTTCCTCCAAGCGACCGACGTGGACCGACCCCACCCAAGAGCCTGACAACACCGACGGGACCCTCCATCCAGCCTCAACATCGACGCCAGCATTTTGCCTCCGTCATCGTTGCGCCTTCGCTTCCTTCAACCCCCATCCAACTCTTGGATCCGACACATCCAGAGCACCTACCTGCCACCCCCTCGCCCGCACCGCAGCCGTCCAGCTGCACGAACCTCTATCCACCATGAAGGTCACCTTCAGAGTATGTTGCCGCGCCCCCAAACCCGCCTCTGTGTGCCGCCACACCCCGCCGCCACACCATGCCATGTCGCCCGTCGTCGAGCTTGGGCTAATCGCCGCTGCCTGTGCAGGACTTGAAGCAGCAAAAGTTCACCCTCGAGGTCGAGCCCTCCGATCTGGTACGCTGACGCCCTTTCCGCAACCCAACGCCTGCCCGCCGTTCGCACGATGCCTTCGCCTCCTTGAGCCCCCCGCTGCGTGGCCCCGCGCGCCCTCGAGCTTGATGCTTACAAAACGAAACAGATTTCCGCCGTCAAGGAGAAGATCTCGGGCGAGAAGGGCTGGGACCCGAAGCACCAGAAGCTCATCTACTCCGGTAAGCCGCACCGCTCCTCGCGATGCCTTAAAAGCCTATCTGTCGGAGGGGAAGCTGTTTGTTGGTGCTGACCTGCTCTCAGGCAAGATCTTGAAGGATGAGGAGACCGTCCAGTCCTACAACATCGAGGAGAAGGGCTTCGTGGTGTGCATGGTGAACAAGGTGCGTCGATAACTGACACCACTTCACGGCTCTGCCGCTGACGAGCTCTTCAGCCCAAGGAGAAACCTGCCCCGTCTCCTGCCCCTCCAGCCCCCGCCGCCGAGGCCTCTGCTGCGGCCCCCGCAACTCCCCTCCGGATGAGGACGCCTACTGTCCCTGCCGCGCCCGCCCAGTCCTCTTCTGCGCAACCTGCTGTCCCGGCTACGCCCACCCCTCACGGTGCCTCCGATGCCTCTGCCGGCGCTGGCGACTCGTCCGGCCTGGCCATGGGTGCTGAGCGCACCGAGGCCATCGCGAGCATGGAGGCCATGGGCTTCGAGAGAAGCCAGATCGAGGCGGCTATGCGCGCCGCCTTCAACAACCCCGACCGCGCTGTGGAGTACTTGCTGAATGTGAGTGGTGGCGAACATATGGGGACGTGGACCTTGATGTGTATCTGACAATCTGCCCAGGGTATCCCCGACAATATCCAGCAGGAACAGCAACAACGTCGCGCCGCGGCCCCACCTGCTGGCAGCGCACCTTCGCAGACGGCACCGGCTCATGGCGGTGACGACGACGGAAGCGTCAACCTGTTCGATCTGGCGGCCCAACAGGGCAGCGGTGGTGCGACCCGAGGTAGCGGCGGCAGCGCTGCGGCAGCGGCAGCGGCAGCCGCCACGGCAAGCCAGGGCGGTGATCTTGGTAACTTGGATTTCCTCAGGGACAACGCCCAGTTTCAACAGCTCCGCCAGGTTGTTCAGCAGCAACCGCAAATGCTCGAGCCCATCCTGCAACAGCTTGGTGCCGGAAACCCCCAGCTGGCCCAGCTGATTGCGTCCAATCCCGACCAATTCCTGCAGCTGCTCGGCGAGGATGCAGACGACGATGTTCCCCTGCCTCCTGGCGCGCAGGCTGTCTCGGTGACGGAGGAAGAGCGCGATGCTATCGAGCGGGTGAGTTGACTCGACATGGACCAAAATAGCTGTGCCGGGGCTAACGCAGAATAGTTATGTCGACTTGGCTTCGACCGCGACCAGGCTATTCAGGCCTACTTTGCCTGCGATAAGAACGAGGAGCTGGCTGCCAACTTCCTGTTTGACCAGCCAGAGGACGATGAGCCGCCCACGAACTAAGGGAGTCGGCATGGATGCAACGTGATGGAGCGGGTTCGGCGTTAGCTGCCAGCGCAGATGATGCCTATACGATAACGAATGCAAGGACGAGAGAAATACCAATCGCTGGACTCGGATTGAGGAGTGCCGGACGATGTGCGTCCACAGCCCGGAGATGGGTCGTTGATCGGGAGGTGTTGAAATTTGACGGTGTATAAGGCTGCCACTACATAGTCGACTGCGCCCATTGGCAGTCAAGTACTGGTCCGGGGCCCGAAGTTGTCTGCCGCAGGACAGAAGTGCTGATATCAGTTTCACTCACACCCATTGGCGACGTCTCGTGATGCTGCAATCATCATGTTGCAAATACGTGGCCTAGGTAGTGTACATCGCTCGTATCTAGCCTGGAGATCTGCGAAAAAGTCGCCTGCTCCATCCAACTGTGCCAGTGTGGTCTTCCCGCCGGGTATATTGTTGGTCATTCCAACGTCCACATTCCCACCATTGCCTAAGCGTCTTGAGTAATGGGCTCACCGTTCAGCCCGTACTGGATGGCCTGCTTGCCCTTCTTCTTGCCCTTCTTCTTCTTGCCGCCCATCTCGTCGCCGTCCTCGTCCGCAAACAGCTCCTCGCGCTTCTTGCGCATAATCTCCTCCTGCTCGTCGGCGATGCGCTGCCGCTCGGCCTCGTACCCCTCCTGAATCTTGCGCTGCTCCGCCTCGATGGTCTCGACGGACTCGTATTCAGCGCCCGTGAAGGCCTTGTACTCGGCAATGTCCATCTTGATCGTCTTCTCGCCAATGAGCGCCGCGTCGATGCGCTTCGGGTTGTGGCGCTCCTCGCGGTTGAACTTGAGCTTGACGTGGCGGCGCTGCTTGCCGGGGAACATCTTGGAGATCATCTCGAACTCGGTGCCAAACATGCGTAGCCCCCGGTAGAACAGTTCCGTCTCCTGGTCTGTCCAGATGTTGGGGCCCTTGAGCTTCGACGTGTTCATGAATGAACTGCTAGTAATCAATCGTGTAAAGTCGTTCTCTTCGATCGTCTCCATGTCCTCTCCGGCTTGCGCCGCAGCGGCGCGTGCGTGTCGATCCATGACCAGCGAGCTCTGGTCGACGACAATCTGACCGTCGACGATGCGGAACTGAGGGCCCGAGGCCGGTGCCGGGGTCGAGGAGCCACCCGGCGTGGCGCTCTTCTTTGTCCGTCCGTCGGGCATGGGGGACGCTGAGGCTGACCCTTCCCTCTCTGTCTGATCGCCATCCTTGCCCAGCTTAGCCTTGAGACGGGCCTGTCGTTCGCGCTCTCTTAGTTCATCGTGTCGGCTGAACTTTTTGCCAATGCGCAGGTCCTTGGTCAAGTCCGCCATTCTAAGCTGTTGTAAGTCAACCAACTGGCTTTCCGCGTCTTCTGGCGTGAGGGATCGGGCTCTCCTCGGCCTGGGTTTCGTCTCCGAGCCATCTCCGGTCGACGAGCTGGCCTGGCGTTTCCGGGGCTTCGGCGGCGCCGAATCTCCGCTTTGTTGTGAGGCTTTGCGTTGACGCTTCTTTGGCCTCGCGTTTTCGGCCTCGTCGCCATCCGGCGGTTGTGTTGTGGCGGCTGGGGTTCTCCCCTTGCCCGCCGCTTTTGTAGCAGGTTTCGACGGTGGCGCGGGCTCAGACCGATCAGGTTGCGCACGGGCTTCGACGACCGGCGCCGCGGCAGGTGTGGTTGAGACAGGGGGGGGCAGGCTTTGCGCTTCTATGGAGGAACCTGCGGAGGTCTCTTGAATGGTGTCGATTTGGGAAGGGGATGTAGGTGTAGGCGCTTGTTCGGTTGCCCCGCGTCCTGTCTCGATGGAGGGCAACAGAGGTTCGGCTTCTGTGGGTATCTTGCTCGGCGGAGCGCTCGCCTGTTCCTGCGCATCCGGTGCGGCCCTCGATGTCGAGGCTCGCCGTGGCTGTTCATGTGACTGCGGTAGCACTTTCGCAGCAATGACCGGCTCTTGTGGAGGTTGAGACGGTTCTGTGTCGCTTTTTGAGGTCCGTTTCTGTTTTTCCGGGGATGGAGGTCGCTCGGAAGGCGGCGGCTGCGAGGCTGTCTCGAGACTGTCGGGTAATTCGTGAGGCAATGCTTCGGCGGGTGCATCGATAGACGGCCGTCGGTCAACAGGCTTTGGCGCGGAGGACGAGGGGACTCTGGGCCGCGCCGAGGGAATCTTGGGCTTGAAGGCAGGCCCGCCTTTCTTCTTGAACATGGAACTCATGTTGGCGGAATTAAAGATGTAAATAAGCGACTAGCGTATTTGTGTTACCCCGGGGGGCATCGTGGGAGGAGAGCGAGGGTTGCGATACGGAATAGAGGAGCAACAACTTTTCGATGTAAGAGAGGCCGGAGCGCAAGTGGTAGGAAGAGAAAGTTGGATCGCCCGCAGTTGCAGGCAGGCAGGTGGTCGGGCTGACTGTTGCCCCACCAAGCGAGGATTAGCCGCCCCGGTTGCTGCACAAATCGATAAGGGATTGCCCAATACGGCATAGCGTGAGTCTAGGCCTCTTTGGCGCTGTGGCCGTGCCTCTTGATTCGCGAGTCAACTTCGAAATTTCAACTCCTGGGAAACGAACGCCTCTTCTCCTCCCCCCATCATCATCACAACCACGCAATTCCGCGCGACTCGCTGGCTGACAGCCTGCGCGACCGGCCTCGAACCGAAACGCGGCTACAAGGCCCTTTCGCAGTCGAGCCCTTCGCCCTGAGCTGCCCCTTGCACCGCGTCTGAGGCCTTGCTGGACGCGCCGTCTCATGCCTGTTGCAACGTCACCAGCTGCCTCGCCTCGTCCGTCCACGCTTTCCAAGATGGAGGACAGGAAGAGACCTGCCATCGGCGGCGCCGACGATCTCGCCCCTCCTAGCAAGAGGGTGGCAGTTAACGGCTCCAAGATCAAAGATGACCCGTCCGAGATGAAGGAAGAGGGCTGGATCGAGGTACGTGATCATCCCGCCCTTGTTCGCCTGCTTTTCTCGCGCTGCAACGGCCGAGCGACCGCGCACGCCGTTCCGCAACAGTTTACCCACCGAGTCACACATTTCTTCTCTGTCAACACGGGTTTCCGGCCTCCCCGGGGCGCCGCCGCTTGAGATGTTGATGCTCACCAAGCCAGTGATGATGCTCGTTGCCTCGCGACAGCAATCTGCGGCTCCCAGAACCCGTTCCACCCGTTCACGTACCCTGCCACACGCTTCGTAACCATGATTCTATCACGTACATGTTGCGGCCGACCGTTTGATGGATTTGGACGGATGCTGACGTGCGACACCAGGCGTACACGCGAGGGGCCATATATCGTCAAATGCAGGAATATAGTCGCAAAGCAGCCACGGCTGAGTCTCGACTGGAAGAGCTGCATAAAAGATGCGTTCATCACGATGACCATCTGAGAATCGTCGATGCCTGGTGGCGACAGGTGAGTGCGGTCATCCCCCCGCCTTTGCCGTGGGCCCGCTGGCTGACCTGAAACAGTTGATGGAAGAGCTGGAGGGCCTTGCAGACAAAAACCTTCCGACTCCAGCAGCAACAGAGGGTAAGCGTGTATCTCTCTCCGGTGACATCCGCATCGCTGACCATTCGCAGAACCACCATACCTCAGCGGCGTTAGTTTCAAGGACCTTCACGAGTTCCAGAACCATGTACAGGAAAAGGCGAACACAATCAAAACAAAGGCCGAAACGCTACTCGGACGCATCGCCGCCCATCGCGGACAACTCGCACCCGACGCGGCGACCTTGGAGAAAAGGCTCACCGGACTGCTGGCCTCTCAGAAGGAATATATGCTCAAACTTGACCGGTTGAACGCCGAGAAGGAGCAGCTCTCAGAGCAGCTCAATGCGGCAACGCTGAGGTATTTCAAGGCCGAAAAGAAACTCGATCGTGCCAAGAGTGCCCAGGTCCAGAAGCTGGAGCAAAAGGCATTCGCAAACGCCACGCGACCACCTGCCGCATCCAGCGATGGCGGCGCAGAAACCACCGAAACGAACGGCAACGTCGACGAGCTGTTGCTGAAATATGAGGAGGCAACGGCGGCAGCGGCGAAGCAGAAGGAGCAGCTCGATGCGGTTCTGGCCGAGATCAAGTCCCTGCAAGACGAGAACTCAACCCTCAAGGCTCGCCGGGAACAATGGACCGACGAAGACCTTGTCCGGTCGGATGTCTTCAAGACATTCAAGGGCCAGAACGAAGACCTCATCAAGCGGATTAATAACTTGGAAGCGACGAACAGGCAGCTGCGAGAAGAAGCAGAGAAACTGCAGGCCGAGCGTACAACGTTCAAGAACCAACTAGAGGCCGATGCGAATCAGATTACTCAGGACCTGGAGGCGGACATCATGTCACGCGACCAAGATCTCGCCCGCGTGCGCTCTGCTCGAGACGAAATTCTAGCCGAAAATACTCAGCGGAAAGCCAGCATGGAGCAGGAGAAGTCATCGATGGATCACATCAAGGATCTGGTTGATGCCAAGGACGATCGTATCGCGGCACTCGAGTCAGAGATCTCGCGCCTCAAGCCATCCGAGGATGAGGAGATGACATCCCCCGACGACAGCCAGGAGCTCGCCGAGGAGGAGCTGCGACAAAAGTACAAGAAGCTGCAGCAAGACTTCCAGTCCATCAACCAGGAATTGCCGTCCATCGAGAAGGCGTACAAGAAGATGAAGGACCTGGCTCAGAAGAAGGTCCTGGACTTTGCGGCTCTCGAGGAGAAGGTGGCGCTTCTGATCGCGGAGAAGAGCAAGGCGGATCAAAAGTACTTTGCCGCGCGGAAAGATGCCGACACCCGAAACAATGAGATAAGATCATTGCGGCATCAGAACAGCAAGAGCTCCGAGATCATTGCTCAGCTGAAGGGCTTGGAAGTGCAGAATAGGACCCTGCTTGGCAACCTGGAGAAGCAGCTATCGGACCTCAAGCAGACCAACGGCGCGTTGGCTGTCGAGAACAAGAAGCTCGAGACGTCCACTCAAGAGGCGGTGCGGCGGGCGGACTCGCTCTCTCGGCAGATCGAAGAGCTGGGCAACCTGGTCAAGTCTCGCGACGCAGCATCTGCCGTCGTCAGGGAACGCAATACGACGCAGGAAGCCGAGGTTGAGAAGCTCAAGGTTCGCATCGAGCACGCGCAAAAGGACCGAGACAACTGGCGAAGCAAGGCACTTAGCAACTCGTCAGAGGAGGAAGAGATGCTTCGGGTAAGTTCGAATGCCACAATTGGCAGCTGGAGAAGCCAACGCTAACCATGAGTACTGTAGACCTTTGCGCTGTGCTCCATCTGCCGCAACAACTTCAAAAACACGGCACTGAAGACGTGCGGACACCTCTTCTGCAACAAGTGCGTCGAAGATCGGATCAGCAACCGGATGCGCAAGTGTCCCACCTGCTCGCGAGCGTTTGACAAGATGGATGTGATGCCCGTGCATCATTAATTACTTTACCGTTTGATGACATGCTTCACGTTACTACTTGGCTACTGAAGGATCTGGCGTTTGGCGACGTTTGGACGGGCAAGGGGCGGCCATGAGCTCGCTCGTTCGGGACGGCGCTTGGCTGGGTTCGCTTTGTCGCGCATGAACAGCTATCAAACGCCTGTCACGCTGAAACGAGGCTTCTTCGGATTGTCATGATGCCCGGGCTCATGTGCTCGGGGTTGTTTGGACATTTTGTACTTTTAGGAGAAACGAGGACGGAAGAGAGCGACCGTCAATGTGTACATGTTACGAAAGGGTCATTCTGCGTCATGAAAGACGGGCGAGCGGCGAGCGGCGTTTGGGCTGAGTACTTGGATTCGACCTTTGTCAGACGCGAGTGGCCAGCAATCGGCAAGCCATGTTCAATGCTGAGATTCACTTCGCTGCTGCTTGCCGCCTGGTTCACGTTGAAGCTCTCGATTTGCCCTATCTCCGTCGCGTGGAACCGAAGCCTGTGCTCTCGTGACGGGTGGAACTGCCCCCGGAGCTTGACGACGACGACGGTGAAGGTCTCGAGCCCAAGGACCCGGCGCCCCAGCCGCCGTTGTTACCGTAGTCCCGTTGACCGCCGTTATTTCGATTCCTGTTCCCGGCCATGTATCCGGCAGCGGCGCCGCCTGCCAGGCCACTCCAGAAACCCGGCGACCAGCCCTGCTGTCGCGAAGAAGACGGCTTGGAACCGGGGTAGGGGGGAGGAGGATCATCGCCGCCCGGGCCCCAGCCGGGATTCCACCCTCCGCCGCCGCCGCCTCCCCCACCACCGCCACCCCATCGTGGCCCGCCGACCCTCCGGCCGCCGCGTTGCTGGCCGTTGCCGTTGCCGTAGCACGCCGAGTACACGATCCACCCAAGCACGGCGACGAAGACGACGGCAAAGAGCCAGGCGCTCAAGTCGGTGCCGCCGCTGCCGTCGCTGAAGATGCGGCCGCGGGGGTTAGCGACGTCCGGGTACCGCTGCTCGCCCTTGCTGGTGAGCAGCATGGTGTACTCGACGCCGCAGCTGCCCCTGAGGACGTAAGGGTCGTCGGCGCTGTCGTAGCCCTCGCAGACGACCTCCGCGACGCCGAGCTCGAGCTCCTCGGGGAGGGAGGCGACGCAGCTCCACTCGACGTCCTCGCCGCCGTACGAGGAGCCCTGGTTGGTGCAGCGCATGACGTCGGGCTCGAAGAGGCGGCAGATGTCCGGGCGCGAGACGCACTTGAGCTGCGGCGCGGCGGGCACTCGGCGGTGCGTGGTTTTGGCACCGTGGCCGCGCAGCGTCAGCGTCTGCACGTCCGAGAGGCGGATGGCATTCTTGGGGCGGCCGGCCGCGGCGGCGCCCGGCGCGGAGAGGAGCGGGAGGGTGAGTGTGAGGGCGGCGGCGGCGAGCCCGTTGACGTGCACCATGGTCGCTTTGCCCAGTGTTGTAATGAGAGTTGGCGATTAGTGCTGATGCCCGAAGGCTGTCCGTATATCGTCGATGAAGGTCTTGTACTTTCGGGGCGCAGACGGGACGCAACGCGCCGGATCTCTTTGGACCTCAACGGCGAACAGGTCTCATAACTGGGTAATCCCGTACGAAGTGGCAGTCAAGAGACTATTAAGGAGCCAAACAAGCAAACAAGCAAGCGCTGTCCGGATTATACGCCGAGTTGAGGACACATGTCCAGAGTGACGTCGCCCGTGGCAAGGCTGAAGGGGAAGGCCCGTCGTCGAATGACGCCAGAAAGTTTTAGTGGTGAAGAGGCGACGTGGCTGACGCGTGTTTGCCTGCCAGCCGTGGTTGTGGCGCGCGCGCGCATCCACTGTGGCGCTGGCCGCCTGGCTTTGCCGCAACGGCTCCGTGGGCGTGGGTTGGGTTGGCAAGATGTGCACGGCATGGAACCTAGGTTGGACGGCTTGGGCCCCCGCCCGTTGTGCACAAGGCGGCGTGCAGCAGCGCCCGCGTGCGCCTGGACGGGGCGTTCGTCAGTGGGGCGGAACGGGTACCCGCCCCCGGCGACTTTTGATTATGTTGCGGCCATGGTCATAATTCACGATCTTGACAGAAACCCCGGGGTCTCGTCTATTTGGGGTCTTCTTGATACAGTATCGACTGTGGACTTGTGTCTGTCGCAAACAACACAGGTCCTGGGGAGCCACCAACGTACATTCCCATATTGGATCAAATTCGATCGTGGACGCACTTGCGCTCACAGTCACGGACAGTTGAGACCCTAAGGCTTGTTCACATTCACACGTCACAGGTTTCCAGCAATATGAAGTCGGGTCAGAACGGCCATCATTACCAAGCATATCCCTGCCAGGCGGATGTGGCGCGCTCTGCGGGGATGCACATTCGCACTCGTTCCAGAACAGGACGCCAAAGTGCCTGGAGCGCGGGGCACAATTGCAACACCTAGCGAACGGGTTTGGGGATTCGACGCCCCGACAGGCCGACATTGCCTGCCTCCTAGCAGCTTGTTAGCGCATGCGGCACTGAATTTCACACACCTCCTCCCCTAAACCCGTGGCCAGTTGTGTCACGGCCCGTTATCTCCAGCGTGGATTGAGATCCATGGATGGATCCCGGCACTGCCCGGGGTAAGCGACATCTCGCATCGGACCCTCAACCCGGCGGATGCTTCTCAGTCGTACGAAGGATACGATTGCAAGACTCGGTATGAGTCCTAGGCAACGATGATGCCGCGAGTGTCGGCCGGCAATGTGCGTTCGCGGCATTGCCGCGACCGGCCGCTAGACAACATGGGCGCTCGTAACGGATGTTTCACCCACCAAGCGAATGCATCCCGAAGACGCACTCAGTGTCTCAACGTCGCGCGTAGGGGCGACAACCAAGCGGTTTGACTTTGAGTATCTGGGCAAATCTCAAGGAGTTGACAAGATCTGTCTGATCTCAGAGTCGAGTGTTTTGCCATCTCGCATATTTGCCCGTGCGCCAGGAGGTCCTCGACAGCGGGCCGTAGCCGGTAGTGCCACAGCGGTCGTCGACATCATAAAAAGTTAAAGGACCACCGTCCACCAGACACGATCCAGTGGCCGGTCGTCTCAATGGAAGAGAGCTGCGCCGCGTCGGCAGCCACGCCTTCGCCAGCAAACTGGAACCTTGGAAGCGCAGCCCAGCGGGCGCTATGTTTTGTTCCCCACCCCACCACCGTCTGACGGGTCAGAGGTGGGGGGCGCTGGGCGGGCTCGGACAACTGCAAGACCCCGAGACCTTCTTTTTTCGCCGTTTTCTCGCCTGCAAAACGTGCGCCCATCTGGGTTGTGGATGTCATCGCGACGGAGCGGCCCACTGCCCCCCCGATGCCGATATTCGTAATTCAACCACGGAGAGCGGCTCGACACAGTGCTGCCTGCAGGCCGCCGCAGGGGGTTTCAAGTCCATACCTGAGTGTCATTTGCGGCGCGGGGGCCGGACAGAGGGCAAGAACGAAGGCCATGGAAGCGACGTTTGGCGCCCGACATACTGTCGTGGCTGTCGGCCGACAAAACAATGCGCCACGCACAATAGCAGCGGCGGCGCTGTTGGCGTGGGGAAACAAATCTTCATAGGGTGTGCGGGTGCGGCGCCGCCGTGACGAGTTGGTATGAGTCGGCGGTGACGCAAATGCGACGAAAACGACAATGGACGCATCATCTCACAGCACCGAGTGGTGCCAGGCCAACGCACCGGCTGAATCGCACGCGAGGACGAGGGGGGTCCTGCACCGCTTCGGCTGTCGCTCCGAACGTGCCTGTCTTGCAGTCGACCAGCAGGCGGCCAGGCAGTCAAGTCACCCGGCCAGGCAGTCATCGACTTGTGAATCACGGTGCCGTATCCGGGCCGTCTCGCAGCACCAGCTGGCCCTTCCATCGGGGTGCGTCTTGTCCCCGTCCGGGCCCGTCGCGGGGTGCGGCGCACCCGTCTCCACCGCTGCTGCTGGCGGCGGAAGCCCCCCAACGCGGAAATGTCCTTGGCCCTGGGCTCGTTTCGCTCTCGTTCCAGCGGGGGGAAGGAATACGTGCGGCCCATGGCTGACGACAGTCCAGCGGCACTAGCCCCCCCGGCGGGCAGGTTGGTTGGTGGCGGCGTCGCCAGGCCTGGCAGGACAGCTGGGAACGGCGCAACTGGGCGCAACTCAAGGGCGATGCCTTGCATGGGCGCTCCGTGCTTGGTGCGAGGTACGCAGCCCGGCCCACGCCCCTTGCCGGCGGCCGAAATGTGCACGCACGGCTTGCGGTGCAAGAGCCGATTGTTAATTTTTCTGCTGCGCGAGGTCAGCACAGTCCAGTCCAGCCCGGCCCAGTCATACCGACCTTTGGTAGCTCGGGGCTTTCCTATCCCGTGCGGCGTACCCGCCTTTCATCGTCTCGACGGTCGGGGGCGTGCCGTTTCGTTGGCGCTGGAGGGACGGATTTCGGGGTCGAGCTGGAGGACGCCAGAAAAACAAGCCAACCCATACTTAATCTTCGTAGCGGCCGCTGTGTTCCCGTGCTCCCTCCTTCCTTTCTCTTTCCGTTTTTGTCGGGCCAAGACTTTTTTTCCTGATCGTGGAGCCGATATCGAATCCTATCGGTTGACGCATCGACTGTGCGTTGCTCCTGCCGTTGTGTACTCACTGTAGTCGCTTGGTGGCAACCTCGTCCACTCACTCCTTCCCTGCGCTGTTGGCAGGCGCTCGCGACGAAAACCTGCACGTACTTAATTTTCGCTTCACTTTAACAACATCCGAGACGCCACACCGCGAGAAGAGACAGATCGTCTCGCTCAGCTACCCGCGATGGCTGCGGAGCCCGACGTCGAAAAGGCGTCGCCCCCGAGCAACGGCCACGGCGGTGACACTGCCCACTCGGGTCGCTCATCGAGTCGCGGCGGCTACTCATCCGACGATGGAAGCGCTAAAGGCAAGGACCGGAGAACGCCTCCCAACGAGAAACTCGACCTCTCCAAGGCCGACTCCAAGGTCGCCGCGCCGCCCCCCAAGGCCGACGACATCGAGCAGCTGTACGCCCACTTGCCTGCGCACGAGGCCGAAGTCCTCAAAAGGCAGGTCTTCACGCCTGAGCTGGCCAAGGGCGTCGGTGTGCTCTATCGGTATGCCTCGCGCAACGATCTCATCATCATCGCCGTCTCCGTCGTCTGCGCCATCGCTTCGGGCGCTGCGCTCCCTCTCATGACCGTCATCTTTGGCAACCTTCAGAACACGTTCCAAAAGTACTTCTACTCCGGCGGCTCCATGTCCTACGACCAGTTTGTCGATGAGATGAGCAAGTTCGTCCTGTACTTCGTCTACCTTGCTATTGGCGAGTTCGTCGTCACCTACATCTGCACTGTCGGCTTCATCTACACGGGCGAGCACATCAGCGCCAAGATTCGCGAGCACTACCTCGAGAGCTGCATGCGCCAGAACATTGGCTTCTTCGACAAGCTTGGCGCCGGCGAGGTCACGACTCGTATCACCGCCGACACAAATCTCATCCAGGATGGCATCTCGGAAAAGGTGTCCCTGACTCTGGCCGCCCTGGCCACCTTTGTCACGGCCTTCATCATCGGCTTTGTCAGTTACTGGAAGCTCACCCTCATTCTCTCCTCTACCGTCTTCGCTCTCATGCTCAATGTCGGCATTGGCTCGAGGTACATGCTCAAGAACAACAAGGCCTCGCTCGAGGCCTACGCTCAAGGTGGCAGCCTCGCCGACGAGGTCGTCAGCTCCATCCGCAACGCCGTCGCCTTTGGTACTCAGGACCGCCTGGCCAAGCAGTACGACAAGCACCTTGCCAAGGCTGAGCACTACGGTTGGCGCCTCAAGGGCGCCATGGCCGTCATGGTCGCTGGTATGATGTTGATTCTCTTCCTCAACTACGGCCTGGCCTTTTGGCAGGGCAGCAAGTTCCTTGTCGATGGCATCATCCCGCTATCCAAGGTTCTCATCATCATGATGTCTGTCATGATCGGCGCCTTCCAGCTCGGAAACGTCGCTCCCAACGCACAGGCGTTCACCACTGCCATCGCTGCCGCCGCCAAGATCTTCAATACCATTGACCGCCAGTCCCCGTTGGACCCCAGCGACGACCTGGGCGACAAGATCGAGAATCTTCAGGGAAACATTCGCTTGTCCAATATCAAGCACATCTATCCCTCCCGCCCAGAGGTTGTTGTCATGGACGGTGTGAGCCTCGAGATCCCCGCCGGGAAGACAACTGCTCTTGTTGGCGCGTCTGGCTGTGGCAAGAGCACCATTGTCGGGCTTGTCGAACGATTCTACGACCCCGTCGGTGGTACCGTCTATCTCGACGATCACGACATCAGCAAGCTGAACCTCAAGTGGCTTCGTCAGCAGATGGCCCTGGTCAGCCAGGAGCCCACCTTGTTTGGCACAACCATCTTCAACAACATTCGACACGGCTTGATTGGAACAAAGTATGAAAATGAGAATGAGGAGAAGCAGCGTGAGCTCGTCATCCAGGCCGCCATCAAGGCTAATGCGCACGATTTCGTCTCCTCTCTCCCCGAAGGCTACGAGACCAATGTCGGTGAACGCGGTTTCCTCTTATCTGGTGGCCAGAAGCAGCGCATCGCTATTGCGCGTGCCGTTGTCTCCGACCCCAAGATTTTGCTCCTCGACGAGGCAACCTCCGCTCTCGACACCAAGTCTGAAGGTGTCGTCCAAGCTGCTCTGGAGACTGCCGCTGCCGGTCGTACGACTATCACCATTGCTCATCGCCTGTCGACCATTAGGGATGCACACAACATTGTCGTCATGTCGGCCGGCCGCATCGTCGAGCAGGGCACGCATGACCAGCTCTTGGAACTGAAGGGCGCCTATTACAACCTTGTGTCTGCTCAGAACATCGCCGCTGCTACTGACACGTTGACTTCTGAGGAAGAAGACCGGATCAACCAGAAGGAAGAGGAGCTTGTCCGCAAGATGTCCAAGGAAGGCGACTACGTCGCGGACCCGGATGACAACATCGCTGCCAAGCTCCGGCGCACATCGACGCAAAAGTCTGCGTCGAGTGTTGCCTTGCAGAAGCGCAAGACCGAAGAGACACAGAAGCACGGACTGTGGACGCTGATGAAGCTCATCATGTCGTTCAACCGCCCGGAGTGGAAGCTGATGATCATTGGTCTCGTCTTTTCTGCCATCTGTGGCGGCGGCAATCCTACTTCAGCAGGTAAGAAGCTTTGTTCTGTTGTTTCCCAGGAAAGTGCTAATGATTACATGCAGTCTTTTTCGCCAAGCAAATCACCACCCTTGCCGTGCCCATCACGCCCGCCAACAGCCACCAGGTTAAGAAGGACTCTGACTTCTGGAGCGCCATGTTCCTCATGCTCGCCTTCGTGCAGTTCATCGCTTTCTCGTCCCAGGGCATTGCCTTTGCGAAGTGCTCTGAACGTCTGGTTCACCGCGTCCGCGATCGCGCCTTTAGGGCCATGCTGCGGCAGGACGTTGCCTTCTTCGACCAGGACGAGAACACGGCTGGCGCGCTGACGTCTTTCCTTTCGACCGAGACGACTCATGTCGCTGGTCTCTCTGGCGTGACCCTGGGCACCCTGCTCATGATGATGACAACGCTCATCGCGGCCATGGTTGTATCGCTCTCTATTGGGTGGAAGCTCTCACTTGTTTGCATTTCTACCATCCCGATTTTGTTGGGCTGCGGTTTCTTCCGATTCTGGATGCTGGCTCACTTCCAGCGCCGCTCCAAGGCCGCCTATGCCTCGTCGGCGACGTTTGCCTCCGAGGCTATTTCCGCCATCCGCACCGTCGCCGCGCTTACACGCGAGCAGGACGTGCTGCGGATGTATCACAACTCCCTTGCCGAGCAGCAACGCCGCAGTCTCATTTCGGTTCTCAAGTCCAGCGCTCTCTACGCTGCGTCGCAGTCCTTCATCTTCCTGTGCTTCGCTTTGGGCTTCTGGTACGGAGGCACATTGATTGGAAAGGGCGAGTACGACTTGTTCCAGTTCTTCCTGTGCTTCATGGCCATCATCTTTGGCGCACAATCTGCCGGCACAATCTTCTCCTTCGCCCCTGACATGGGCAAGGCGCACCACGCTGCCCAGGAGCTGAAGACACTCTTCGATCGCCAGCCGACGATCGACTCGTGGTCGAACGAGGGTGACCGCCTCCCGAGCGTCGAGGGCCACGTGGAGTTCCGCGATGTGCACTTCCGCTACCCTACGCGCCCCGAGCAGCCCGTGCTGCGTGGACTGAACCTGTCCATCCGTCCCGGTCAGTACGTTGCCCTTGTCGGAGCGTCTGGCTGCGGCAAGAGCACAACGATTGCCCTGCTGGAGCGTTTCTACGACCCGCTGGCTGGTGGCGTCTTCATCGACGGCAAGGAAGTCAGCACGCTCAACATCAACGACTACCGCTCTCACATTGCCCTTGTCAGTCAGGAGCCGACGCTGTACCAGGGCAGCATCCGGGAAAACATCCTCCTCGGCACGCCGAAGGAGGACGTTTCGGATGCAGAGATTGAGTTTGTGTGCCGCGAAGCCAACATCTACGACTTTATCGTGTCGCTGCCCGAGGGCTTCAACACAGTCGTTGGCAGCAAGGGCGCCTTGCTCTCTGGCGGTCAAAAGCAGCGCATTGCTATTGCCCGTGCTCTGATTCGGGATCCCAAGATTCTTCTCCTTGATGAGGCGACGTCTGCGCTCGACTCCGAATCGGAGCACGTAGTGCAGGCGGCGCTGGACAAGGCCGCCAAGGGCCGCACCACGATTGCCGTGGCCCATCGGCTGAGCACGATCCAGAAGGCGGACATCATCTACGTCTTTGACCAGGGCCGGATTGTCGAGGCCGGCACGCACTCGGAGTTGATGAAGAAGAACGGCCGCTACGCGGAGCTGGTCAATCTGCAGAGCTTGGCTAAGACCGGGTAGACGGAGGGTGTTTGTTTGAGTAGTGTGGCATGCATACTACGCTATTTGTCAGCGGAGCGGATTGGCGGATGGGAATGATATCCAGAGTCGGTGTCGTTGGTGGACCGGCCGAAGTTTTGTTGCATTTCACGGCGTTGAGGGAACTGGGCGCGACGCCATGCCGTCTAGAGAGGAGGGGCATACCATATCACGACCCCCTGTCGGAATACATCTCATATATATATAGCTCACGCACTCATTGCATTTCGAGTGCGAGCAGCAAGTAATAAAAGCAAACCCCTTTCCCAACTGCTACCTCGTACTGTACCGTATGTATGTGACAAAGGTCATGATGTCGTTGGATCAAGGCGTCGGGAATCGGGGACCAAGATGGTCGCCGCCGTCTTGGGGGCTGCGACGTAGTCGCCGATGGGGGGGCGTTGGAGGCAGCAGCACAATCCGGGTTACGGCATGAGGTTGGGAATGCAAAGTGCAAACATCCATTGGTGGGACTTGCTTGTACGGTCGGCCAACTGATACCACGAGGGGATATACGTCGTTGTTTGTGTGACTGGCGTGGCGGCAAGAGAACGAACAAACAAGCGCGTGCAGGTCAAGGACGACGCCTAGACGTGACCGGGGGCGCGTGGATTACATTACGAAGTACATATGTACAGACATTCATGTTGTACATTCACGGCCTTGGCCTTGGCTGGAAGCGGTCCAACAATAATACAGTTCCCCGCCGGGCTCGTCGACCAGAGGCATGGGTGGGTGGATGACCTTGCTCGCGCATGCAGCTCACGCATCTGGGGACTTTGCGCCAAGAGCATGTTGTGAGGCACGCAGTAACTTACACGCACATGCAATATTGGTGATGTGCATACGTACGTATGTGAGAGACCCGTACGAGGTACGCTTGTTCTTGGCAGTCCGCATCGGCGTGGTGAAACCGAGGCGACGGCAGCCGGCAGCCGAGCCAAACCCCGACCGGCGCGTGGGCGTGAGACACGATGCCCTTCTTGGTCCGACGGGTGGACGTTGCCGGTGTCAAGGGGGTTTGGAATCCCGTTGCGAGGAGAATGGGCAACACTAGACGAGGCGCCGGGTGCTGCCGACGGCGGATGCCAAAGCCACCAAGGATAGCCGTTACGGGACGCGAACAGGGAGGCCGGGAGGGGAGGGATGCGGATGCGGATGCGCCTCGCGCACGGGAGCCAACATCGCGGGGGGTCCCAGGATGGATGACAGGGCGGGCGGCTGGCCGACGCGCTCGAAATTAGGTACTAGTCGGAGGCCGTGTGTGGCTGCTTGTTGAAGTCATTGCCGAAGCAATCACCAACACAGGCGCGAAATGGGGTTGACAGTTGGGCGCCGTCGCTGTGGGTGGCGCCATCGTCTGCGGGTTGCGTCGCTTGCGTTGCCTGCTTGGCTGCCATCCATGCACGCGCACATGTGCTGCTCGGGCCGTGCTGAGCAGTGCCTGATGAGGGCGGCTTCCTGGATCATATGGGACGCTGTTCGGTCTGGTGGGTGAGCACGGTGGGCAGGTGGGCCAGCTGTGTGTGTGTGGTGGTGGACAGTCTTGACAGTGGACACTGGTGGTGCCTCGCGGTGCGGTGCAGTGCATCAAGGAGAGGGGAGGAAAATAAAGGCAAAAACCATCAATCCATTCTTGTCCGTGTTCTCCCACAGCGTCTCCCACGGCGGACCTGGACGGCCGGCCCACCTCGGGCAATCGCCAGCAGGGGTGGCTTGGGCTTGGCAGGGGAGGCCGCGCCGCCATTGGGCCGCTGGGCGGGCGCTGCGGGCGGCGTCGGGGCGGGCGGGGCCTGGACGGAGGCTCACCTGAGGGGCCAACGGCGGTGGCGGCAGACTATTTGGCGGCGCGGCGAAGGGCATGCTTTCTTTGGCACCGTAATTGCGGTGGTGCTGATACAGTACAGTACCTGACCGAGGACGCATGTACGTGTCCGGATTGATGCAATACCACGCGTCTATGCGCCGGAGATTTGGGCGCGCGTGCAGACACGGACGGACGGCCCCCGGCGGCCAGGCACGAGACGGCACGAGACCAACGCGACACGACTCGGTGGATGGTTCCGTGCAAGTTTGGCTTGTCGGCGACATTTAAAGGCTTGTGAGGCTTGGTCCGCGGGGAGAGCAGAGCACAAGCATGCAAACAAAAACTCACGTTTCGCTGTCGGACAGGGTTCGAGGCTGGACGGTTTGCCGGCGCAGGGCCCCGGGAGAGAGAGGGTACAAGTAGGTAGTACAGGTCCAGGTCGTGCTGAATCCCTGGCACTGGTGGGCTGGATGGTGGGTAGCACAGTGGAGGGCAACACACCCACCTCAAGGCAGGTCCCGTCGCCGTCCCAAATCAGGCAGTGAGAGTCGACGGCCCTTGACCCCTCTCACTCGCGTGGTTCCTTCCACACGCCAAGAGACTAAGCCAGTGCTACCGCCGGTGCGAGGCGCAGAGTAATCGCTAGCCGGCCTGTTTAATCACACGCTCGTACCCCTTCTGCAAGTGCCCATGGCATTTACCCCCCGCCCGCGCTTTTTTCTCGTACGAGTCGGGTGCTCTGCACATGCTCTGCGCATGCTCTGCGCATGCCTTGCTCCAGCGTTGCGCCTGCCTTGTCCAGGGACGAATCTCCCACCGACTTTCCCTCCTTCTGCCGCCACCCGGCCTGCAGACGGGAACCTTGGGAGGAAGGAACTGCCCAGCCCACGCCACGCCCACGCCATGTCACCCACGCGTCTGGCTCCGCCTTCCTGACGATCTGGCCCCCGTCAGGGCCCAAGGTCAAGGTCACTACCCGCTGCAGGGTACGGGGCGGCAGCGGCAGCGAGGTATGGGTACTTCGCCGCGGCGCGGAGACAGCCCAACCAGCTGTGCCAGGGGTGTTGCCGTCCTCGTACGAGTACGGGCTAGATGTACTTCGTATCTGTCCCTGCACTGCTCACCCACGCATTCGAAAGTCACCTAGCAGGTGAGGTAAGGTAAGGTCAGGTACCTCCAGTAAAAAAGAAATCTACGTACCGTCGTGCCTCCTCCACTCCTTCGCCCTGCTCGCGCCCCCGGATCCGCTCTTCCTCTTCGGGGAATAAAGACATCTGCAGTGTGTGGCCGCCTCGATTCCTCTCCCTTCGCCCACCTTTCACTGCCCATCTTTGCTTCTTTCATCCACGCGCGTCGAGCCTCAAGCTTCTTGTCTCTCCTTCAACGGCCGACGATCGCTGGCATTTTTAGAAACACATTACTTAAACTACGTACTCTATTCGCGGTCACTGCACCCAACTGCCTTACACATACCGACGACTGTTCCGACTCCGCGCCGTCTCCTCCGGCCCTCGCGGGTGCCGAGCACTGTTGCCCACCGGCACTCGTTTGATCGCCGCCCCGGGACCAGCAGCCGGAGATACAAGGGCTGCTACGGGCTGTTGCGCGCCGACAAACGGTCACATCGAGAGCAGAGCAAGGGGCCAAAACGCGAACGGCCCTGTGCTTTCCGGTCCGGCACAGGCCCCCTCGCCAAGCTCACGCGAGGTCACGAATCACCACCAACACCAACGGGCTGTGTAGCCAAGGAGCCGAGTGCAGGAGGCGTCCAAAACCCAAAAGCGCCCGCCTGAGCCTCGACGACCGCCGCGATAGAGCACCGGCGCCCTGCGACTGCATCCGCAGCTTCCCGCCATTCATTGACTGCTCCAATCGCGCGAACGAGACGAGCCGAGACGACGCGAGCCGAGACGAGCCGAACCGACTTCGTCTGTACGAACCCGAGACGTCGTGCGTCATTTTCAACTGGGACAGGGCCCAGGTAGAGCGTCACACGAGAGCTTTGAAGCAGCCCGCTTACAAGAGTTGTTGCGGAACACAAGCGCCCGTTCCAGAGGCGTAACGCCAATTCCACGCCAGCTGCAAAGCTTCAGGGGTGCGCTCACGCCGCAACGCTGCAGTATCGCCTACTCCGCGACCAGCAGCGACTCCCTTTTGTTGCCAGATTGCATCCTCATGTCAGCGGCAAGCCGGCCTGATATGGCCTCGCCATCATCATACAGAGCCTTGGCTTCCAAATGGAATCGACCGTCACGCGAAGCCGCACAAACATGGCTTCCACCCCGGCTCCACAGGTCGTTGGCAGTCCTGGCCACGCTCGCGACATTGAGCTGCGCAACGCTAGCCCAGCTAGATGCCCCGTCGACTGAGGTTACCGTCGTGCCAGCACTGGATGGGTCTCATTCGATACTCACGGCAACACCGCCAGTGACTACAATGTCTGTCCCGAGCTGGGAGCAGGCCACCGACGCTGCACTCAAGCTGCGGCTACGGGAAAGAGACAACAAGGGTGACGACGACGTGACTTCAACAGAGGGTAGCGGCAAATCGAAGGCGTCGACGATACTCACGATATCCGTTGATAGACCGACAACAACAGCCTCCCCCACTGCCGACGTGTCGCAATCCCCTCTCCCATCCCCGTTCGACAACAACATTCCGTCCGACTTCAAATTAGATTCTTCAGACAATCGCTGCCCCAACTTCATGTCCCGCCTCCTCTCTGACCCTACATTTAAGCGCTGCTACCCTATTTCCATGCTGGTCCAGGTATGTCATGTACTTGGGATGGATTGCCAACTTCAGCAGTCGTGTGCTAATTGCCCGCAGACATCAAGGGGCTTCTTCGACGCAGAGAAGAAGCTTCTCAGCATAGTTCGCGTCCTCGATGCCGCTTGCAAAGCGGACGTCTCCACATGCACCGATTTTCTCAGCCAGGCCGCCCAAAATCTTACTACCGAGGCCAATTGCAAGGCCGAGATCGATCAACGGCAATCCCTGGTTCTCGAAGCTTGGCGTGGCCTCAAGGCGTACGAGGTGCTCTACAAAGCAACTTGCCTCCAGGACAACGCTACGAGTATGTATTGCTTTGCCAATGCCGTAACGAACCTCACGACGCCGTCCGACTCGTTCTTGTACTTTGTGCCCTTTGGCCTCGCCCTTCCCGGGTCGTCCACGCCCTCCTGCAACTGGTGCAATAAAGAAACAATGGCCATCTATAGGGCTGCGTCGGCCGACAGGCAACAGTTCGTTGCCGACAAGTACGAGCCCGCTGCGAGGCAAATCAACGCCGTCTGCGGACCCAACTTTGTCAACGGCACTCTGCCCGCGGCCCAGTCAGCAGCTGGTGTCGCTTTGCCCCCGTCTTACACCTTTGCTCTGGCGGGCTTCCTTGTACTGGCAGCCTTGCTATAGCGACACCCAACAGAAGGCTACAGCCGTTGTGCGGCCAAGTTGTTACACTCGATTTGGGACCGCAAACCCAGCAGCCACGGCTGGGATCGAGACCGATGCACTCGCCATCAACTCCCTCGACTCGTGTAGCGGCGGCATTCATTCCGCGTGCCCGCCTTGAAGAGTCGATTCTGATACATATTTTCCCGGCATTGAACGATTAGTTCTCACCTTGTTGGATATTTGGGAGGGGCCAGATTTCGTCCCCTCTGGAAGCGACTTGTACATGAAGACGATGGCCCGCTGTGGTCATCAGACGGATATATCTGCGTGAGGACAACCATTGCGACTTAGAAGTCTTTAATTTATCCGTGTCCTCGTCTCGGACAGCTGGACAGATATTTTCTACTTTTCATTTGGGTTATATTTGATATAGCGTAGGTGGTGGGGATAACATGGCGAAAGCCGACGGAGGAGAGGATGTTATGAACAGCACGCGCGCGGCAATCGCGCGAGCAGGAAGGCTGGCAGCGGCCGTGTGCTATGACGGCGACGCCCGGCGCGGAACAGTCCTCGAGGTACAGGTACATACAAACATACAAAGCTACATCTGAGCTCTGAGCAGGGCCTCTCCTAACGGAACACAGCCCTGCTGAATGGCCTGATGGTGGAAGCTGATTTCTCCGTGAAGGCAATGAGTACAAGGTATGACCTGCTGAGACAGGCCGCCGGGCCTCCCGTGCTCGTCTTCCAGGCGCCTGGGACCGTAGCCTGGTCATGGAGTCTGAGCAAACGCTGGGACGGCAGAGCAATCGGGACCAGGCCTGAGTGTTGCCATTGCCATCGAGAGACCCTCTGCTTCCCTTTCACGGTCTGTGCGATGGACGGAACCTCCCCTCCTCCTTGAGCATCGGGCCCATCAGCCTCCCCCACGAAGCCACCGTTCCCGCCACGAGCCCCGAGCCGTCTGAGTCAGTGTCCCGGCCTCTGCATCGCGCCCTCGCAGATGCGCCTGATACCGGGGACCCGGACCTTGGGGTGGAAGGAAGGGTGGGAGCGGCAGAGCGCCGTTCCCGCTCCACGGGGCGCCGAGGGACCCAAGTTCCAGAGGCGCTTGTTTCGAGTTGCTTTTTGGCCTGGACCGCCTGAAGGCTGTGCTCGCCGTCTGGAAGGCTGTTGACCTGCTCCGGATCACTGTATTCTCCGGCCCATTGCTTTTTCCCAACAGGGCACATGGCGATGGCGTGGTCTGCTCAAGCCACCTAGCGTATGCCACAACGTGGACCATGTCCAGTCAGACATCAAGTCTTGAGACAGGAGAAACGTGCAGCGGCGCCCCCCGCCGGCACTCACAAGGACAACGCCCGACCCACGCTGGGCTTGCCTCGCCTCGACCGTTCCACCCAGCCAGATGCTACCCAGGCATCCATGCCATCGCCGGCAATGTGAAGCAGACGTCGCGGGCCCACTTGGTCTGAGCCGAGCGCTGCCCATCAGCGACGATGGCATCGCTAGTCCCTCCCCGAGACCTGCCTCTGGTGGAAGTTGCAAACCTCAAGATAGCGACAGTTAGACTGCGGGGCCTGTCAAGCCAAAAGAAACGGGCCAGTCCGCGCCCGTCTTGAGACCGTCTCGGAAGACGGACCAGCCGTGCGCTATCCCGCGCTTAGGAACAACAGCCCGCCTCGTGGCCGCCGTGGGCTCGGTTTCAAGACGACGAAGCTGGCGTGTGGTCTGCCATGGCGAATGCCTCATGTCCGTACCAGTATAGCTCGCCACTGACCCGTCGTTGCCTCGATGTCGAGTTGCCGACATACAGTGCCTGTGACTCACCTCTCACCGTAGTACGCGGCTTCGGCCTGCAATATCAGAAACTGCGAGCGTGTCTTCTCCTATACCGGTATGTAAGCATCTTGTGTGTTGTTCTCTTCCCGCACAGAGACACAAAGTACTCAAGACCTGTGGCAAGCAAATGTGCCCACAAGATGGCAGACGTAGACTGGCAACAGCGTACCAAGATCAACGGCGCACATTCTAGCTCACCTGAGCCAGAGTGATCAAAAGGAAAGGGCATTGCTGCGCAAAGGAACCACTCATCTGCGAGAGAACAAGCCCGGATCCGAGTATCCGGACTCTGGGGCAAGCCAGGCTGAGCCATGCATATCGCACGTTTTTCATCAACTGTGCAAAGGACCACGTCCCCTGGCAATCGTCGGCGCCGATCTGCAATCAATAGCTTGGCGCCGTCCGATCGCGCCTTGTTAGACGGGTCCCGGTGCCGCGGTCCATCGAGGTTGGCAACAGGTGAGCGCTCTAACGCGCTGGCGTGGGCCAGGCAGAGCCACCCACAGCTATGACGCCGAAATATCGACTGCCATTTACGCCGCAGCGACAGCGCTCCGGGGCGGGAAAAATGGCGCTTCGAGGAGCAGCCCCGCTGACATCCAGAACCGACAAGATGAAGCCGTGGTTTGTGAGGTCAAGGACCATGGGTCCTGAACCTCTTCGGATCCACCCACCGAGCATCGACACTACTCCACGTGCGATTATGAGCCACGAACAACTGGACAAGAAACTTTGTTCTGTGAGTCTCGGCAACGCAGAGCTCATACAAAGCGTTTGTTGTCCAGAATGACGCGGCCGATATCACCGCACCGGAGCTATTTGACAGTGGTGGCGGTGGTGGCGTATAAGTACGTGCAGTTATTGCCACCAACGACGACTGGCGGACAATAGGATGCCTCAATCGTACGATGGACGCGGGCCAGGGAAGCAACGGCCAGAAAGCGTGACATGGGTTAGGATGCAGAAAGGCGATTTGGCGGGCGGCTTCGGGTACGGGACCTGCTGGTCGTCTGCCATTATTCGTATACTCGTCGTCTGCCCAGACGCACCACCGCGACATCTGGCCCGGGAGAATTGGGCAGCCAGGAGGTGGGGTCCCGGGCTTCCGGGTCCAAGAGCTGTGACCAGGTAGCGGCCAAAGGTTCGCACGGCAGTGTTTGGAGGACCCATTGGCAGCTTCAGGGACAGACAGCTGTGCCGATGCCCTGGCACCATGTACGTGGGCACACAGGGTAACGTAGTGGCCGGCCCCGTACGCCGGGCTTGTTGGCCAGTGTTGGGAAGACGTCCGTTGTACCGTAGCTGGTCGGGGGGCGTATCGTACGTTTTTCTGCTTCCTGGCTTGTAGAGACGGACCCCCCTGCTCTGCCAGAAGGTTGCGGGCGACGCCAACGAGCGGTGTGTTGTTACCGCCCTTGACACCTTGCATGAACTTGTGCAGCAGGGCAGCGCTAATGGCTTGCCGAGCGGCCACGGTGCACCGCATTGGGGCGGACAAGGGGGACCATAAGGGGACGGCAAGGGCATGATGCCGTTTTCCACGACTGGCCAACTGAGTTTTCGCATGTGCCAACCACGGACAAACAACGCAGCAGACAGGGAGAGTCGCCAATGGGGAGGCGGGCAGCGGCAGGACCGAAGCTTCCTCGAGCTCCCATCCTCGCCGGCAGTGGTGGTGTTATCGACCTAATCCTGTGTGTGAGTTGGCCGCTCCGAGTGCAGTATGTAGGTAGGCAGTTGCTTCGCGCGAACCGCGTAACGGTGCTGGCTCTTCCGCTGCATGGAGCTCGGGGCAACGGCAGATAGGGATGTTGCCTACCAACGTGAGTAAGGCAGGGTACTAAATCGCATGTGCGCGAGCAGGAAGCCGTTTGGGCCGCCTTGAGCACCAGAACCGTACTGTAGGCACCTTGTGTACATACTTAGTGGTATGCAGCTCCAATGCCCTGCTTCCGTGACCTGGTTTGGCTGGCCCGTCGAGATCCATCACGCCGGGCATTGGCCACCTGCCGGGCATGCTTGCTTTTGCATGGCATGGCATGACATGGCATGGAGCAACATCGACGAGGGCCTCTTATGCCGGCGAGCAGGGCATGCTTGGTTGCTAGGCACGCTTCCCCGGAGAGATTGACTGACGACGGATCGTTACCTCGAGATCGGGGCGTTGGGGCGGGGAGCGGGGATCTACCCATCTGACGCTATCGCGCGTCTGCTGGGCGCCGCTGTTCATGCTCGCTCGGGTGGCATGGATGGTGACGGGTCGGCGACGTGGCCGGCTGAAGAGGGCGCTTTTTGCATTCGCAGGTACGCAGCATGACTAGCATGGCAGAGAGAAGGGACGCTTCTGCCCGAGCCCAAGGTGGGAGCTGGCACTGTTGAATATGAGTACGGGTACCCACCTGATACCCAAGGTGGCACCTAAATACCTAGGTAGGTACCTACGTACCTCGTGGTAAGTTAGTAGGTACCTAGGTATTATGTAGGGTACGCCTGATGTAGACAGTTGACGAGGAAGAACGTTCCTGAGCACCTTCCACCTGGCTCAAGCATGGCTGAACCACTCATTGGGACTTGCAGATCGAGCAGGTCCGACTGGGACGACTCCGAATGTCAACAACGCAACGTCGGTTACGGTCGACCTCTCCTTCACCCCTACAGTCAACCGCCGCCACCACCACCACCACCACCCACGTCTGCCCGCCCTGAGCTTGGCTGTCCGAGTCGCCGTTCCCCAGAGCGCCTCACGACGTCGACCCGTTTAAAAACGGCACGGATCATGCGCCAGCTCAACGATGGCGTCTCGGGCATGACAGGTCGACGCCTGCGGTTGCATACTGCACTGTGCTGCAGTCCCACTGCGCCTACCGTTCCCATCTGCGTTTAGAATAATGCCAATGGACTTGGTAGATGTACTGGCATCCCACGCAAGCAGACTATCAGATGCTCTGATTCAGAGCCTCGTCGAATCACGGCCACACGAGCAGTCTCATCAAGGACCCCGAATGCACGGCAGATGGCTCCCGGGAAGACGCAGGGCTGCTCTCCACCTCCGAATCCCTTGGACCGAGTTGCAGACCAACCGCGTTCAAAGGCAAAGGCGCTCTACCTCACTTGAGCTGCTGTGAGACCTCGCCGGACGTCTTTCTCCATGACCACCCCGGTGTCCAGCCATTTGATGGTCTCGCGCAAACTCGTCTGCAAAGAATCGCGCGCCTGCATACGAAGTACAAGGCTCCCTGCAAACCGCCCGTTCTCATTCTTGCCAAGACCGACAAAGTCCTACCTGGCGCAGCGGCGATGGACGGCTGCGCTCTGCTGCTCGGGCCAACGGCGAACAAAATGAAGCCCGAGACGATGCATTGGTGCAAGGCCTTGGAGCTGGCGAAGCCCGACAAAAGCAAAACACCTGTGCTGACCATTGTGGGCAGGATGGGTTGGGATGGGGCAGACATATTGAGCCAAGGTCGCGCGTTAGTTAGCCAGCCAGGGCTGCTGATGCCCCCCCCGTCCATGCAGCCACGCGAGGGGACTCGATTACAGTTTTCACAGGTACCCCATTGGCGTGCTACCCTTCACCAGCAGTCCCAGACTTGCACTTCATACTTTGCACTAACGAGTCGCGGTGGCATCACCGCAGGCCGAGCCGGGACGGTGGGGTTCTCGGGCGGACGACGACGACGATGCCCGGCAAGGTCAAGGTACAACAGCCTTGGGTCCCTTAGAGTCGACATGCTCCCCCTCCTCGCTCCACCACGAAGGATAGCTGCTCCTGATATATCGGCCGGCAAATGTCTTGGGCTGACACTGCCTGCTAGTGGTGCGTTAGCGGACAACCCCTAGCGGTCAAACCGTCTCTCGGTGTTGAGAGCCCACCGCGGTAGAGGAAGCACGCTTGGGGCCACTGACCGACGCCATCAACGTCGTGGAAGCCGGACGTTTGCCCGCGCCGTGCTTGGGAAGGGATGCTCCGTCATCCCCAACATGGGACTCTCGTGTTGACTCGGGGGCTGCAGCGCCCGGCGGGGAAAACGGCGTCGTGTCCCCGATACGTGTCGGGCTTGGGGAAGCACGTCAAAACGGCGCGCCTAATAGAACCGAGGAGTCTGCAGAACCAAAGGCCCGTGTCTGCCAACGGCATCGAGAGCCCTGTCCGCGGGTCTGGGTAGGCATTGGGTGCCGCGGACGGGTCCAGCGCCTCGGGATCACCCACACACCCACAACGGGAGGCCCATGACCAGGGTCCGCTGCCAGGCCTGTAGGGGAATGAGATCTGTCACATCTCCCATGTTTGAGTGCTTCGCCAGCGCCCACTGACGGCCCCAGACAGTCCACTCGCACCGCGGTGCAACCTGCGTCCAGGCGGAGAACCGGGCTCTGGGGGCTTGAGCTTGGCAGCAACCGTTGACATCCCTCTCTCTGTCTCCTCCCCTGCTGGTGCTGGTGCTGCTGCCGTTGCCGCTCCTCCAGGACCTTGGACGCCGGGGCGGGGCCAACAGGTGCTCGAGGCTTGTTGACCTCTGCCAGGCATCCGTCTTCAATCAACAACACATCAGCGCAGCTGCACGTCTTGCGTTCGTCCCTCCATCTCATGCGCGTGCGCTCGCCCCGCGCTGGTGCTCAGCCTCGACCCGACGGTCGCCGCGTCCGCGTCTGACCCCCGTCGTTGTTGTCATCGTCGTCGGCCTCGGCGAAGGAAGGGCCTCCTGGGGCGACGGACTGCTTGTGACCCGGATCTCGGTGGCCGGGCCCGAGCAGTGGTGGCGGCGGGCTCATTGCCCCGGCCTGCCTGCCTGACACCAAAGCTATTCGAGCTCGACAGCTTCTGGTCGATCACCCATTTCCTGGCGCTTGGCGCGATCCCCGATCCCGCCCACGACAGGGTACCAAAGTAACTTAGTGGTGTCGGCCGACTGGCATCCTGGGGGTGCCGCCTCCGCCGCACAGTCTCGTCTGGTTTCCCTTGGGCTGGCTGGCCACGCTGTCTGACCGTTAAGTACCGCTACCACTGCTACCTCCGGCTCACAGGCACTCAACATCGCGGCGCCTGGTGCGTGCCCCCTCCACCGACCGACACCCTCCCGTGCTGCCTCGTAGGCCCATGAACCGCACATCTCAGACATTCCGCCGCCTCTACGGTGGCTTTGATGCTGCCAGATCTGCACAGAGTCCGCGCCCCGCAGTCGAGGGCTCAGGGCCCGGCGCGCCCGAGCTTTCATCCCTACCCTCACATCTCCGGCAACCAGGTCAGCAGCGGACGCGGAGGAGCAGACATCGACCCTGTTGCCCTCTGAGCTCCCGAACCGAGCCCGCCAGGCGCATCACCGCGCAGCCCTGGCCTCTTCAGATGGGGGTCCTGGCGCTAGGGTACGCTGGCCTGCCGTCGCTCATGCTCATGCTCATGCTCGCCCGGCCTCAGCACTGACCATGTCCTCTTCGCTGACAGGGCACTGTCCGACACACATGTCGAATGCCAACAATCAAGTGTCCGGAAACCAATCTCCCATGTCTTCGTCCGCCGTCAAACTAGAACCTCGCGGACACGGGGGCGTAGGAGCAATGTCTCTTCCTTATAACGACTGGGTCCCCGACCATCACCGGCACCATCACTACCACCAGCAACACCAGCAACACCACCACCAATACCAGCACCAACAACACCACGAGGCCGCGCACCACCCTCATTTTGCCGACCCGTCTGAACAGAACGTCCGGTTGCCTCCTCCCGAGAGCCTTGTGACTGGAAATCCTGCCGCTTCGCACTTCCATGATCCCTCATCGCCCACCTCTCCGGCACCCTTTCAAGGCCGACTGAGTTCAAGCACATCACCTCACTCATCTCGTCTCCCCTTTCCGTCATTGCCACCCAAGTTTGCCGGTCCCGTCCGTGACGTGGTATCTCAGAACGTCACATCCACGGCACGTAGCTCTCTCGAGGCTCGACCACCGCCGACCGCGCCGGCCATCGGGTTCATTGGCTCACACGAACAGAGCTTGCCCAGCCATACGGATCATCAGCAACTATCACATCCAGTACTCTCGTCTCAGCGGGACGTCCATCCTCACGATTATAAGCCGCCTCTGGCACCTGGGCCTTTTGCCGACGCATCGCAGCAGCAGTACTCGTTGCCGTCTGCCCCCCCTCAGCCAAGTCAGGTGCGGCAAACTCAACCTCCGCCGCCGCGCCGAAGTCGCCAGCCCACAAGCGGATCACCAGTGCCAGGCATGCCTAACTTACTGGGGCCTGGAAGGGAAGAAGCTCTCAGCGGCATCAGCTTCAGACTGACGCTGCGGCAGCAACCGAAAGCAGCCCGAGCATGCGGATTCGGGGACAGGGACAGGCGGGTCATTGATCCACCGCCGATTGTCCAGCTGATTGTGCAGAGCTCGACGATGACGGACGACGAGGTACGCTCGTACCTCCGTTACGAGAGCTACGTCATGAACTGCTCGATCTGCGACGAGACTGGCTCTCGCGACGCGTCCTTTATGCCCGAGGAATATCAACACCAACGGCGCCTCATGGGGTCTCTTGTGGGCACACCTTTCGTGGGCCAGGATGACCGTGGAGACGAGGGCTGCTTCTTTTGCTTCTCGGATCTATCGTGCCGAACACCGGGTGCGTTTCGACTCAAGTTCACACTCATTATGATCGACCCTGCTCGCGCAGGCACTGTGCGGCACTTCCCAATCCTGACGGAGACGATGAGCGACGTCTTTCACGTGTACAGCGCCAAGGAGTTCCCGGGCATGCTGCCGAGCAGCAGCCTGGCCAAGAAGCTCAAGGAGCAAGGATGCATCATTTCCATCAAGAAGGGCAACGACAGATCCAAGAATGCGAGAGGTCAAGATGAGCTGTCCGACATGGACGAGGATGAGGGCGAGAGCTCGCAGGGTCATCGCAAACGGCGTACGGTTCGGGAATAGAAGTATGGGGCGATGGCACGAGCGCTTCTCTGTCCTTCTTACGGTGCAAAGGCAAGCATATTATTGACGAAACGGTGACGAATACTAGACACGCGAGCTTCTTCCCCCTGGGTAACTGCATAGTTGGTGGCGGTTTGAGCGCAAGGAACGGGCTACGGTTGCATGATCTCTTCTCGTCTTCGTCCCAAGCAGGACATACCTTATTCTTAGCATAATTACTTCCCCAGTGGCCACTGATCGCTATGTCACACTTCCAGATGAGTGTTTGGCAGCCAAGGACCGGCCCCGGCAGCACGATCAGCCGCAGATGCCGGCTCAAAGTTCACAGACCCACCATCCGACTCGGCAGGCGTCCCAGGAAGTAGACCAGGCGACTATCTGGGTGGATGGGGGCCGACATGCCGAGGGGAAGCCGTGTCTCCCAGTCTCGCAGCAGACTGTTGGGATCCCACAGCGCGCAGCAAAGTCATCCACGGCCATGCCCAGGACAGTAGCACGATGGGTGTGTCTGAGAGCCGCGGAATCTGTTATCCCCAGTTGCAAGCACCAGGTCCGGACCAAGACATCACACGCGCAGGGCAATATGCATGAGTCGTCAAGCGATCACACACCTCTTGTTGAAGGATCGTGAGCTCGGGCAAGACGCATTGGACGTTGACGAACAGAGTGCAGCTGCTGTCTCAGTCGTACGCTATGCGCGTTTGGCTGAAGATACGACGAGCGACGCCACTCCCCCAGAAGCCACGTCCCTCATCCACGCAGGGCAAAAACGGTCAGGCAAGTCGAGTCACGTCGGGGGGTGAGTGTGGCCCGATCTATCGATGCTGGTGTTACTGGCGGCCTGCCAATCAGCGGATTGCCGGGTGTCTAGCTCGGCTACGATCTTGTACCACAATTGTTATGTTTGGCATAAGTCGTTTCGCGGCCCGTCACGCCTCTGTTTTGGTCATGGTACTGGTTCGTGGTGTGAAGCAGGGTGGACGAGGCATCTCCTTTGCGTCAACGGTGGCAAGCTACACCAAGTCCAGCGTCCTTGAACCTGGTCCATGCCCGACAACTGGAGGCGCAGCTCGTATTTCTTGTCTGAAACTTTGAACAGGACGGCCATGATGGAGGGGCCGTACCGCGTCACAAGCCAGGACATGGGGAAGTGGGGGAGGAGGTGAGCCCGAGCAGTTCGCGGCGCCTCGTGCGCGTACCGCAGTCCGGCAGACGTCATCATTGCGGGTAAAGGAAGCGGAGTCTGGTTAGGAGACAGTCGACTGTGGCGTGGCCAACGGTGCAGCTCCCCCATGTAAGTCTGACATCCCGCTGAGACGACGCAATTGGGGCGGCGGGCGACGTGGTCGCGGGACGAGACGCCGTTGTTGGCGCGCGCGCGCGACATGCAAGGACTCTGGCCACTCCACGGACGAGGCCAAGCATGTCCCTCCCTTGTCGAACGGCGCTACGGAGCGCAATATGTATGTATGCACATACAGCCCGCGAGGACGCCGGGTGACGAGGCGCTGCATAGTTCTCCCTTTGCCGCCGCCCTGTTGCCTTTGCCGTTCCCCCGCACTACTCCCTGCCGTCTCAGGTTTTCTTTCTTTTTCCTTCTTTCATGTCTGCTTACTGTACAGTACCTATCTAGATGCTAGAGTACTGTCCCTCCCGCTACGGAGGCGCTGCAGGTGAGAGGAGCCGGGGAGGCAGGCCAACGCGGGCCCCAGACAGATGTGGCGGCGGCGGGGCATTGGCCGTGAGCAAGCATCTTGCAGTACCGACTTGCCGGGAAGGGGAGCCCGGCGCGCGGGTGCAACGGCGCCGGGTGTGACAGGGAACCGTTGTCGCCGACGGCATCCGAATAGTATCGGGCTGTCAGGGCGAGGGCATTGTTGTGTTGGCAGCGCAGCACGGCAGCTTCCGTCGGTCACGGCTCCGCGGAAGCCAGCCCATGTCATTGTCCCGGGCTACAAAGATACGGCGACGAACAAGGCGAAAAGAGAAAAGAGTCGTGGCGATGGCGCCCCACGGCCCGCACCACGAGGCCGACGGGACGGCTAATGAGGCTGGATCTAGGCCTGTTGCTGACTCCGTAGCCCTCTGAGGCCATCCGATATGCGGACCCGCGCTGTTGGCATTTTGCCTTTGTATTCAACCAGAATCCGACAGGCACAGATGCAAGTATTCGGAGATGTACTTGAGCTTGGGCCCCGGAAGCGTTTCCGGCGTGAGCTTCGCATGGGCCTGGGAGTCTATCAATAGTCATTGGCGAAGATACGACAGAAGAATGGCGGCAGAAGTCTGTAGAGACAATCATGACTTATCACATCCTCGAGTATGCCTCAGTACAGCTCTCACTGCGGACTATGCACGGGGCACCTGGTAGTCGGTTCACCGCAAAGGGGTCACTACGATACATATATCGTCGGCAGCAGCCATCCCTGAAGTACGTCGACAAGAGAGGAGGTTTTCCTTTACTGTGCCATACCTGGGAAATGTTTCGTTCGAGTGGCGGTCGCGATATCAGCACGGCGCGCAAGATCCGAGTGGTCGGGATGTCCAAGGATGGCCACGCGGTGCCTTGGGTTCTTCACGACGCCGCGCCCCGATCACCCCGTTGGAAGGCCCTCACACCCCACGCGGTAGACGCTGTTGCGCGCCCCCCCGAGCAAAGCAACTCGTCATTTTTTTTCCCGCGCCGTGGAGGGCTCCCTCCTCTCCCCCACGCGGGCTGAGCACAGACGACGGTGACGATGAACTCACCGATCTTCAACACCGCCGATACGGATGCCCCGATGTGCACGCTGATCTTGCCGCTGCACGTAGACGGATTGCCCGAACGGGGGCGCGCCTGGTCCGAGAGTGCTTGTCGGCAGGCCGGATTGGGACGCTGGAGGTGAGATTCGTCCGAGCTTGGGGGCGTTGCTTCGTAAATCGCAAGTACTGTACATCTATTATACTATCTAGTACCGAATCAGCGTGAGCACTTTCGTGATTAGAAAGGGGAAAGAGAAAACATTTTTGAGGTGCCTTGTTTTTAAAGCCGCGTCGTCGGACATCTGTGTAGCCCAGCTATCTTGCGGCTGGCGTTGCCTCATTGACGGGAGGAACCTTGAGACCGTGTATGCAACCGGCGGAGTCCGCGAACTCGTCATGTAGCTCATCATCAGAGGTGCTCGCAGCACGACTTCGTGAGAGCGCGCACACTGAGGTCGAAAGGTGAATCGACAACGAAAGGGTGATGGCTCGGGACGAGGGGCGCGTCTTGCAAGTGGTCGCGAGAAAGGGGGGAACCCCATATTGTGCTAGAATGAGTGTTGGTCGCGCTCTGCCATACTTCATGACCGCCACCGCATCGCAGGATGAGATGAAGCGCCACTCGCCGCCCACTAGATGAGACGACTGGCGCCAACGTCGCCAAGGAGGGAGAGACCTGAGATGCAGAGAGTGTTGATGCAAGCATCGAAGGGAACGGAGCGTACCCTGTAGTTGGGCCTTACAACTCGGAGCTGCGTGTCACTTCACTTCATTTCACTTCCTTTTCTCCCCCCTCACGGAAACTGTCCGGAAGGCGGGAGCCGGGTGAGCGTCAATACGACAACGAATGATGGGGGAAGAGGAAATCCCTCGACGGCGTGGGTGAAATGAAAGAGGTGATCCTGCGCGGCGTCTTATGCTGAGACGGGATACGCCAAGCCGTGGTTGGGAGGGAGCTGACTTGTGTGTGTGTTTCAGGATAGATAATTATGGATGGAGTGCGGACAAGAGCACAACAACGGTGACATCCCGCGTCGACCTGAGGCAATCTTCGGTTGGTGGTGACATGTCATGTCGTTGCAGATGAAGCAACACGCTCATTTCAGGGCCTGGTGGAGCCACACGTTTTAAACGGAGGACAGATGTCAGTCCTGGTATTCGTACTACGTTGTTGCTACAGGCTCTGTCAAGCACTATACATAGTATGGAAAAGCAATAACTGGTCAGCATCAAAGCGCATATCGTAAGCCTGAGATTTGAGGAGATTTCAGGGAGCTGCACATGAGTAGCGGGGTCAGACACTCGATCGCTTCATCGACGTTCAGGCCGTGATGCCAGCAAGTTGTCCTTCGTAGGCAGTTGCTTGCCATTCCGGAAAGTGACTGTGATGGAAGTGATGCCCAGGGCTCAGCAACGGTGCTGGCGCCGATAGTCGAAGCCGCAGTCTATTGGCTGAGTAGCATTGGCCCTGATGCAGCAGCTGATGGGATGGTTAAACACGCCGACGTTGATGAGTGAGAGATGACGGGACGGGACGAGCTCCCCCACGGCAGGGTGACGGACGAGGGTAGCATTCGGGTCGTCACGAAGAACGTCTGGACAGAACAAGACTCCGACTGGCTCGGCGCTCTCCTGCCACTGCTGCGCGTGTGCATCTTGGTGATCCGCACGGACTACAAGCTGAACATGTTGCTTTCGCGTTCTGCTCGTGGGCCACGGGCGCCGGAGATTTGCCTTGCTATCATCTGCATGTCGAGTTGGCACAGGGTTATTTGAGTAGCCGGGGTTGTTGCGCGCGATGCCTGTCGCCGGCCGCTCACCAGCAGGCGCGGGATTTGAGATGCCCCTGGTCCAGAGGAATGAATGAAACCGGGGGCCGCGTTGGATGGGATGGGGGCTGAGGACGAGGAAGAAAGACGAGATGAACGAGATATTTGCTCCGCTCCGTACTGGACTGCTGTCCGTACTGTCCCACGGATTTACTAGTACTCGTAGTCCTGCGTCAAGCGCTGCAAGCGCCCGGCACGGTAGTTGAAACGGCATCGGCGCGACGCCACGCGCCTGCAGAGCCCATCTGCTGGACGACACGACGCGACACGATGTGCCCCTGTATGGTTGCATGCCCACCACCACCACCACCACCACCGGGGTCGCATGCTCGGCGGCCGGCCGGCCGGCTGGCGGCTTCCCACTCATGCGCACCATCGATATGCCGTGCCCTGGCATCGGAGGGAGGCAGGGAGGAGCTTCGCGTGTGACGGGACTGTGTTTGCTGCAGGCCCTCGCGTTTCACCGGGGAGGGAGGGGGCGCGGGCCAGGACCGGGGAGAGACTCTGATGAGCAGGAGAGGAGGGGAGGGGGCGGACGGCCAACGGGCAGCTGGGAGTTTGGTGCAAACATGCATGATAATATATCTGGCGTGCCGAGCTCCCTTTGTCAGTCTCGGCTCGTGGATAGGGTACAGTAGCTTCAACCTCCCTGCATTGGGCGTTGAATGCCTTATCAATGTGCCGAGTACAGTACTCCGTATGGATACAACAGTATTGTATTCCAGAGGCCACCCATTGATGGGCGGCAGGGATGCATGCATGTTTGTACGTCTGGTACGTGCGTGCCATGGTTGGTCTTTAGGTGGTGACGGGCAACGTCTGGAGACGGGAGGTTCTATCTATGTATAACCAGAGCGCTGCTCTTCGCTGGTCCAGCGCTAATCATTTCGTAGCTAGGCCGGGTTACAGTACAGTAACTATTCCTGGCGATGCAGTCAAAGCCAGGGGTATGTTGAATTGACGACCCGCCTCTCGATGCCCGCGATACAATCTGCGTACGTAGCACACAGTACGTCCACGGAGGCAGTGCAGTGCCGTTGACTCCGGCTCCCATCCCCATACGCCAAGGCAATGACGCACCCAAGCAGCAGTCAAATCCTCGGATTTACGTACTGCATGTAAGCGGCCGCCGCCGTGGACCTGGAGTGCTGCCAAAAACTTGGTCGCGGGTCCCCATCCCACCACGCACAACTGACGTCATTCGCGGCAGCTTGGGCAGCCAAAACACTGCACGCAAACAACGACACGTGAAGATAATCACGGTGAGCTAGAAGATATTTTCCAAGCAATGGTTTACTCCAAAATTATAAAATAAATAATACAGCAGGCCGCGGGCTTGACCAATTGTGCAGCAATGAGGCAGGCGCGCAACACGTTGGTGTACCATGGACAGGCAGGCAGCGTTGAAGTGCTTCGTGTAAGCCACGATAATACTTGGCTACCCAGTCCGGCACAGAGAGCCGGTGGACACTGATCTACGCACAATGTCGTCAACGGCTGCGGGGTCCATCCCCCAAGCAAGTTTGTGCCAGAGCCGGCTTGATCAACTTCTCGGTCATTGCTGCTGTATTCAGATTGCTATATATTGTGCTTCCGCACAATCTCCATGGAACGCTTCCATGTCACCGTAACCTCAATCGATACCCAAAATCGCACAAAATGCCCAACTCGGCCACCGTCTCGTTCATGTACCCCTCGGGGGCGTTCGACATGAAATACTTCACAGAAAAGCACATGCGGCTCATTTCAGAGTAAGCGGCGTCTCCGTGCCCAGACCTACCCAACATTGACGCGCATGCTGACTGGTGGGCTTGCCCGTAGCACCTGGGGATCCGAGGGCCTGGAGAGCTGGGAGGTCACGCAGTTCGACTCCGGGCTGCCGTACATGGTCCAGGCGATGCTCAAGTTCGAGTCCGAATCAAAGTGGAAGGCCGCTTCGTCGGGGCCCAACGGCATGAAGATTTGGAACGACCTGCCCAACTTCACCACTGCGCAGCCCGAAATATTCATGGGCAAGTGTGCGGCGTCTCATAGGACGACGCTCAAGGAGAAGAAGATTTTCGGGGAGTGACCTGTGTCTTTTTTACCCTGTATCATATTCATAGCCCAATCTGCTTCCCTTGCCATAATTCAACATGTACCACCACCGTACAAATATTCTCTGTCTGCCGGGATGACATGGTCGGGCATGGTGGCGGTTGGATGTCGTGCAGGAGAGGCGAGATGACGGGTTGACGGCGTCGCGGCCGTGAAACCACCGCTTCCTCTGGCGTCCATTTCGAGTCGGCCGTTTCTTGTTTCAACCGCAGGGTTGGCGCTGCCATCTGACACAGTAAACAAACGAACGAGCCGGGACCGGCGCTGAACTGTGCAGTCAAGTATTTTTTCGCAGTTTGAAACTGCCCAGCCCGACGGCTGGGATTTAATCGGCGCTGCACCTCCGGGCAGGTCACCGAGCCTCCAGGGCTTGCCGGGCTTACCTTACCAACTTACCTCAGGCTCAGCAACCAGCAGAGGCATGTTCTAACGTACCAAGTGACCAATCGGCTGTGGCGCTGCTTGTACATGCTTAGCGCGTTTCAGCGACAACGTCGGCGGCTGGCTGGCTGCTGAAAAAGAAGGAACGGGGCGGAGACGACCCAAGGGGCAGGAGCAGACAACGCAGGAACGCAGCTGGGGGCAGTGGCGACCCGGGTGCCAGGTATTATCCAGGCATGCAGGATGGAAACTGCCAGTGACGCCGACGCGCGCCAGGAGGGTCCAGGTGGGGGTGACGAGTGGGAAGGAAGGGCAGGCACGCGCAGGCAGACGCAGGCAGGAGCATCCATGGATGGCGGCGCTTGCAGCTCTGCTCCCCTCGTCCCTGGCCGTCACCTCAGCCTCCGCATCACTTCCTCGTTCTTCCCTTCTGGTGCTGCTCCCTTCCCGTGCGTGAGCCGATCATCACCATTCATCCTGTACAGTACTACTGTACTCCGTACTGTGCAGAATACAGCAACAACAATGACAGCTGCCCGCCTTGGCCAGCATGAAGTCCCAGAACCCAGCCGCCCCGCAGTTCGCCAAGTCCACCTGGGCAGCACTCCTCAACTCAAACAAACTGTGTCCTGTGCCACTCGTCGCCCAGCCCAGCTTTCTCGGGCCCCGCAGACGCCGGTACCCACCCGCCCCGATCTGTGCCAACGTGCGCGGGCAAGCCACACAGCGCGACCCCTGTCGGACAATCAGGGACAGAGTTTCAGATCTCCCTTTATTGTGCGTTAGCCTTATCCACCAAATCCTCGACTTCTGTGCAGGACGCAGACCGAGCTCCGACGACCATGGTGTCCCGCCCGCGACTCCCCGTCCAGCTGGACGGACCCCCGTACCCGCGCCCGCGACTCCCCGTCCAGCTGGACGGACCCCCGTACCCGCGCCCGCGCCGGACGGCCCGCCAGGCTCTGAACAAGACCAGCTTCAAGCGCTGCGTCGCTTCTCTCGCCCCGACTCCACACCTCGGCGCCCTGCCTCTGCTTCGTGCATCGTGCGTCGTCGCACCAGGCCGGCCGGCTCTGCGGCCTATCAGCGCCAGGGGGGAACAGCCGGCCGCGCCTCGGCGAATCACGCCTCGGACCAAGCCCGGCCGACCCCAAGCCACCATGCAGGAACGCGCGAATCTTGTCGCCGGCGACTTCACACCGCGGCCCTCTTCTGTGACGCTTGCCAACATGGCCGGGGGCCCTCGACTGCCAGGATCCGACTGTCAGGACGCCATCAGCCCCGGAGCAGTACTGTACTCGGTACAGACTGTACAGTGCAATGCCGTACCGTAGATGCCCTTGATGTGTTGGCCGTCTGCACCCTCTTCGCCCACACACCTGGACATTGCAACGTGAGTAAGGGAGGCCTTGGCCGTCGAGCGAGCCGCCCAGTGGCCCGAGCCCAGCGGCCACAAGTCCATGCCATCCATCCCATCCTCCATGGCTGGTCCTGGTAATCTGTAGGCGTGGCAGCCAACAATGGCCCGTCCCCATCCCCAGCTGGGGACGTCTCGAGACTCCACGCCTGGCATGCGCAGGGATGCGTCGACGACGGCGCGCAAACGCCTCCACGTTGGCTCGCCCAATGAGGCAAACTGCCGTTTCTTTGCCCGGGCTCCTCTCTCTCGAGTCTGAAAGTGACATTCCCCGCCGCGCTCCGGCGCTTTTTCTATTATACGGAGGCCAACAACACCTTCACCCAACACCTTTCTCCTCACCTCCTTCACTTCATTCTTCAAATCGGCTTCGGTCCGTCTTCTCGTATCCTTCACCTTCACCCTCCTTTAAGAAGGTGCAGAGCACGTCCTTCTCTTCTCCTCACCCAAACAGCACAGTTCTGTTTGTTTCGGTCCTTACCCTGCCAACGCCGAGGCCCGGTCCTCCGCGTTTGTCCGCACAAGCCTTCCCTTTCGTTCTTTGACTGATCACCAAGCGCTCCGGTGCCAGCGCCCACCTTTTTGCTTGAGCTTCTGCTCACAATCGACTCCGCTCGAAAACTTGGCTTCCATCGTCACCTCCGCAACACTTTGTTTTGCCGGTCGGGCTACTGTACCAAAGTTTCGTCAGGAGGTTCCGTTTCCTCTTGGCGCTCAACTGTACCCCTTCATTTGAGACACTCGGGCTGAGTGAGATACCACGAAACCGGCAATATGAAGTCTGCCGCCGTGACCGCACTTGCGGCCCTCGGCAGCGTCGCCGTCGCCGCCAAGGATGGACGCACCTTTGGCGTCCTTCACTTCAACAACAAGCAACTCACCATCGGCCGCGCGGATCCCATCGTGAACCCCGGCGTCCCGTCGCCTCACTTGCACCACATCCTGGGAGGCAGCGCCTTCAGTCTCAACTCCACCGGCAAGACTCTCCAAAACTCCCAATGCACCTCTGCACAGGTCGTGGGCGACAACAGCAACTACTGGTTCCCCTCGCTCTACTTTAGAGACCCCAAGACGAAAAAGTTTGAGCCTGTAGAGCTGTTCTACGCCCAGGTATACTACTTCTTCGAGCCCACCAACGACGACATCAAGCCGTTCCCCCTGGGCCTTCAGATGGTCATTGGGGATGTGAATACGCGCTCTCCTCCCGCTGGCGGGGCGAGCGGCAACACAGATCCGTCCAAAGGCCCTCTCAACCCCATCAAGTGGACGTGTCCCCGCAAGAGCTACGACCCGCCGTCTTGGAAGGCCGATTCTGACGGTAGCATGGGTGGCATGCCTGATAAGAACAACAAGGGTGAAGGAGTCGGCTTCCCGGATGCCAACTGTGACGGATATGCCTCTCCCCTCCGCGCCGACCTTCACTTCCCGTCGTGCTACAACCCCAAGGCAGGCTTGACCGACTACAAGAATAACATGGCCTATCCCACCAACGCTGGGCACGGGAGAAGGGACTGCCCCAGTGGTTGGATCCACGTTCCGCACATCTTCTTTGAGGTTTACTGGAATACGCCCAAGTTCAAGGACCGCTGGACGCCGTTCCAGGGCAAGCAGCCCTTCGTTCTCTCCAACGGTGACGCTACCGGCTATAGCCTGCACGCCGACTTCATGTCTGGCTGGGACGAGAAGCTGCTTCAGCACATCATCGACACTTGCAACACGGGAGGCAAAGGTCTGGAGCAATGCCCCGGTCTAACCTACGGGTCGACCAAGAAGGAATGCAAAATCGACAACCCCGTCCCGGAAACGACGAGCGGCGTACTGGATGCTCTTCCCGGCAACAATCCCATTTCGGGCTGGGCTTATGGCCCCAAGCCCAACTCTGAACACAGCTCCGAGGCGGCCGCCAAGCCTGACGCTACCAGCGAGCCATCCGTTCAGAAGAAAGATTCGACGACTCCGGCCTCCGCCCCAACAACCTCGATCCCCGGGGTTGTTGGCTCGCCATTGCCGTCGAAAGGAGCCGAGGATGCCCAATGCACACCCAAGATCGTCACAGTCTGGGAGACGGTCACGGTCACCGCAGAGGCTCCCGCCGCCAAGACCCCCTCGTCCAACAACCGGCGGCGCGGCTACGACCACGTCAGACGCCAGCGCAAGCAGGAGTAGGCGACTGCTCCAAGCCTGCTGGATTCGATCGTGCTCGATGTAGAATCAGCCCTGCAGATTTTCGTTTCTTACACTCGTTTCGAGTGCTTGGCCCATGTGAAATTGGGCCGGGCCACAGCGTCTCTTGAATGTGTGGACACGTGAGGGATCGGATTCTGGCTACGCATCGCAACGGCCCTTTGATGACGTCAAACACAACGACTGCCAGTCACCGCGTGGGCTGCCCCAAAGTTCAATTCTCAACGTACATTTTAGCATATACCCTGCGAGAACCTTCAAATCTGGTATTCTCGGTGTTCACCACTACGTATGAGGTAGAAGAAGATACCGAGGTCAACCATCTACCAGCCACTCTTTTGTAGCCATTTTCGGATCCTATCCTTGTATATAGCGTTTCTATGTCCTTTGCTAGATTGAATAGAGAAATGCCCGCTTGATTCGCAAGACCTCATGTGGGCGTGAAAAGTGAGACGTTACATCTGAGGTCACCCGGATAACTAACTTGCGGTTGGATGCTTGCCGCAGGCTACTTTTCTTGCCCAACGTACCGCGCGGGGAGGGGCGCGCTTGCACTGTGGATGCAAGTTGGGCGATGGCGAAGACCGATGGTGGGTGATGTCGTGGGATGCGTTGGAACTTGGGAATCGCGGGAGGCCGGTGTAAGTCGGGTGAACAGCGGCTAATCAGTGCCGTGTCGTTGGCGCCTGTGCGTTGAGATTTGCCGTGGCCAGTGAGGCCGTGGCTTCCCTGCTTCGACGTCTCCTTCACCCGTGGACACGCAGCATGACCATTCGTACGACGGTGCACGATCCGGAAAAATGTCTCTCTACCATGAGGCGGCGGAGATATTGACTTCTTCTTCGACAGAGGGCGGTAGCTTGAAGTCTCGGGTCTTCAAGAAGAAGAACATCAAGTCGTCGCCGAACCAGCTCTACGCACTTGTCCTGGAGACGAGTAAATGGAGCCCGGTCCTCAAGGAGGTTGTCGAATCGGCAGAACTACTCAAGCATGAGCGCAAGGTGAGGCATTTTACTGATTGCCGTGCCCGCTGTCTGTTTGCCATGCGGGAAGACACTGACGGCTGTCGCAGCTCACCCCTACGCTATCCATACTCTTGGTCCATGATTTGCTCCTAGCTAAGGGCGGCATTGCTCTACCTCAAAGCCATGGCCTTCGAGCCAGCATTGAGAGACACAAAGGACGGTTGACGTCGGAGCTTACGAGGGCGAGATTGCGCCGCAAAGCGGCATCCCTGGATGCTCTGAGGCAGCAAATCGACAAGGCCAGCGCACCTGAAGAGGCCAACTACCCGCGGTGGGTGCGCATCAATGCGCTGAAAAGCAGCATCGAGGACCAGCTGGAGACCACGTTTGCAAAATACCACAGGGCCGTCAGCGTCCAGGAAGTCGTCAGCAAGCCGGGCAAACACCTTTACATCGACCCGCATGTGCCCAACCTGGTAGCGGTCACCTCGGGGACGGATCTGACCAAGACTAAGGCGTATTCAACCGGCGAGATCATCCTCCAGGACAAGGCATCGTGCTTTCCGGCTTACCTGCTGGACCCTCGGTCTGAGGATGGCGACGTGATAGATGCTTGTGCTGCGCCAGGCAACAAAACTACGCATTTGGCCTCCATCATCCACGACCACAGACCCGAGTTTGAGTCTCCGCCACAGACGATATACGCATTTGAGAAGGATCCGAGGCGCGCGCAGACCCTGGAGAAAATGGTCGGCATTGCCGGCTCCAAGAAAATGACCCGGATTGCCCTTGGTCAAGACTTCTTGCAGGTCGACCCCAATGCTGAGCGGTTCAACGAGGTTGGGGCCTTGCTTCTCGACCCGAGCTGCTCGGGAAGCGGCATCGTGGGTCGAGATTTCATGCCAGAGCTGCACCTACCTGAGCTCCTAGCGTCACAGGGGAAGGGCAAAGCCAGTGGCAGCACGAGCAAGGGGAAGAGAAAACACGACCAAATGGCCGAGCAGTCCCAGAACATTATTCGCGACGACGACGGAAACGAGGTGTTACTCAAGTCCGAGAAAGACATGGAAGCGCGGCTCCAGTCGCTGTCATCTTTCCAGCTGACGCTGCTACTGCACGCTTTCCGGTTCCCCGGGGCGAGAAAGGTTACGTACTCGACATGCTCGGTTCACTCGCAGGAGAACGAGAATGTTGTGATGAAGGCTCTCGGATCTGACATTGCCCGGGAACGGGGTTGGCGAATCCTGCCCCGAGAAAGCCAGGTCACGGGCATGAAGGACTGGCCGGTGCGAGGCCTGGTCGAAGCGTGCGAGGGCGACAAAGTGATTGCTGACGGATGCATCCGGTCGTACAAGGATGATGGCCGCGGCGTCATGGGCTTCTTCGTCGCAGGATTCGTCCGAGAGGGCGCCGACACGTTGGATCCGGCGGGCGGTGCCGAGCAAGATGGGCCGTATCTGCGCGACGAGGACGGTCGGATCATACGAGATGTGCTCGGAATGCCCGTATCAAAGGCCACGGGCGAGCCAATCTCTCTCGTGGCGCGAGATGAGGCTGGCAGGGATAATGCGCAGACGCAGAGCGATGGAGCCAGCGAGGAGTCCGCCGAGAGCTCGTCCGGAGGTTCGAGCGATGACAAGGGGCAGGCTAGCGACGACGACACGGATGAATGGGAGGGTCTCGGGGACTAGCGACCGGGACGTTTAACGCCGCAGCATGAGCATGAGCATGAGCACGTATGAGCATAAGTCGACTCTGGGAATGCATTTCGGCGACGTCCTGGGGCGGATGCCATGTCGTCCGATAGCGTCAGGTCTAAGTGGAGAGTTGAGGCGGTTCGACATGGGCACCTGGAGGTCCACCACGTGTGAGCGCGACGCCGACCCTGGCGGCCGGGAGCGCCTGGTCACGACGGGAAGGGAATGGCATTGAGCGTCAATCAAGTGGAACCCGACAGCATGGCCTCATTGCAATCCGAGACGAACCAACATGCATATCTACCGTCAACGGACCAGTGAGCGCGGCGACGGGCAAGACGGCCAGAGGAAAGGATGCGTGTCGAGCAAGGCGATGAGTGGTTGGAGTTAAACGGACGAAATCCCCGATGCAACGTTCTCGCGCGGGGCCAGTTGGGTCGAACGGGGAGTGAGAGAGGCGCCTCACTCTCAGCAAGGCAACCTCCGAACAAAGGATGACAAAAGCAAAAGAACCAGGCAAGACCGGAGTTCCCATGGGGCTCGCGAGCAGGTGGTGTCTTCGTCGTCAACAAGGCAGTTTCGGCTTGCCTTTGAGTGCCAGCTTTACGTTTTAGACTGGCTTGAGTGGGCCCGGAAACGAGACCGAGTTGTGCATGCACAAAAAGTTGCCGATCGAGCGAGGTGGCGCACGCCCCGCGAGCTGTTGCGCGCTCCCGAAGCGACCGGCATTGGGCTTTTGTGTTGTTCATACGGAGTAATCACTAATCCTGAGGGCAGCTCGGAGCCGAAGCACGGACGAGAGCAAGCAGGTTCCACCCAGAGCGATGATAAGCGATGGCTTCTCGAAGACAACTCCTGTGATATCGAAGGGCGTCAACAAGGGCGGTGGCTGCTGGGCACGAGGCAGATGCTCTCACGCGCAGCAGAGATCCTCTTGTCGTTCCCGAAACGGTAAACCCCGACGAGGAGGGACGCATCCGCGTCGACGTCGATGTCAGACAAAGATGCGGGCATGGGCTGGGCTCACAGGCGTTGGCGGGCACGACCGTACCGTTTACGAGTATATCTGCATTTCGCCGCAAAACAAAACGCAGCACAGCCTCATTGCTGGCAGCTGCCCCAGATGCCCAGGGACGAGCAGCGGCACCGCAGTCCCGGGCCGCGATGCGACGCGCAGGGAGGGGAGGAGGAGAGCACAGACGCACAGACGACGTCGCAGCGTTGATCCGACGAGGACGAGGACAGGAGCATCGGCACGCGCTGGGCGGGCGAGTCACCAGGACAGGGCGACGTCTGCTGTTGGCCCGGACTGGAGCTGACGATGGGGATGATGCCCCTGCGCCCGGGCCAGCCGCTTCAAGGGCTGGGATCGGCGTTTTTGGGGGCGGTCGGCGGTCGGCTCCAGCAGCGGGCGGGCGGGCGGCCAGCTCTGGGAGGGGGCCTGGCTTGCCCGTTCTGAGCTGGCATGGCATCCTGGGGCCTGCCTCTGCCAGCATGCCAGGCCAGGTGCTGTGCGTTAGAGCGGTGGGGTTTGGTGTGGATGACGGAGGGGCTTCGCCTGCAGTGGCCACGGCGACGGCGACGGCGGCGGCGGCAGGCCGGAGACGGCCTTGACGGGCTTCTGGCGGCCGATCCACAGCTGCCCCCCCCTTCAGGGCATTTTTCTCGTCCACGGCGCGCCTCGTTTTTTTTTCTTGCCTCGTTTGGCGGCGCGAGTGGGCGGTGGCGCCGCAGCCAAAAGTCCGATATAAAGGCCGGACCAGATGCAAATGTCAGCATCTACCTACCATCTCGGGTCTTGACAGCGCGGAGCCGACAAGCGTGGCTCGCTCGAGTCGCCGCCCGGCACCCGCGCGCCTGGGCAACGTGGGCGAAGAAGTGCCCCGTGCCCACGGCAGACCATGCCATGCCTTGCCTTGCCTACGCCATCGCCGTGCCATGCGTCGTCGCGCGCGGGACCCACGGCGGGCTGCATAATTTGCCGGCACACAGGGTCTCCGGGGGGGTGGGTTGTGTCTGGCTGGCATTGGCTCGCGGGCGACGGGCGACGGGCAAGACGGGGTCGCGGAGGGTTCCATCGCGCCCTCAATCCAGCATGCTGCTGCGACGGCTGCTGCTGCTCTTGTCTCGGTGCGTCGTCGCAGCTGGCGCGACGCTGGCACGACGCTGGCACGCTGGGCAGCACGCTGGTGGGCCTGTCTCTTATACACATCTAGATGTGTATAAGAGACAGGAGGGGGAGCTTCGCGAAAAGGGCAGGCCGTGTGTTTGACAATAGGCAGCGCTGGGCCGTTTTCGCGGCACGACTCGACGACGACGACGATAAACGCCGGTCGGGGCTTGTCGAGTCCGAAAGCCTGCCAACGAGGGTACCAAAGAGGTTCAGACCGAGGCGGTCGTCGACGGATTCCGTGCTGACAAAAAGGCCAACCCCAATGGCATCATCATCACCGCCGGCGTCATCATCACCAGCATATTGGTGGACGGTGGACGGGAAGTTTATCGCTGGGTATGGTATGGCATCTGCATCTCACACGAGCCAAGCCCGTCGGCGGAGATGCAACGAGATGTGCATTGCCAGACCAGTACCGGCGATTTCGCTGACGACGGGCGGCTTGCACAAAGTCCTTGTCGCCGCCGCCGACGCCGCCGCCCGCTCTCCACCGAGCCCGACCCGCCTTGGCCGCTCCTCTCCTCCCCTCCCCTCCCCTCCACCCACCCCTACCTTACCTTGAACTTGACTAGCACCGCATCCTTGTTCATGACCGTCCGGCAACCCGCAACCCACGACACCACGACTCGCCCGCTCCCAGCGCGCATCCACTTGCGCACCGCCCTGAGCTTTCCCTGGGGCCCTGCCCTGCTCGCCTGCTCGCCTCCCACGGCTCCCCCAACCCCGGCGGACTTTAACGCGCCGCGCTACGTCCCGAGCCTGTGGGACCCGGACCCGACTGCAACGGCGCAATGTCAGTCTGTTTTGCTCGCCCGCCGAATGACGATCCCATCCATCTCGGCCCAAGGTCGCAGTGGGAGGAGTCCTAGCAGCAGTAGCAGTAGTTAAGGATGGCCCTCCCCTCCCTCTCTGTCTGAGCCCTCCTCCTCCTCCTCCCTTGGCCGATCCAAACCCAAGACAACCCCGAACACGGCCTTGGTGTCTGAGACCACCGAGCTTCAGAGTCGACACGACACGAACGGACCCCTCACCCGTCTCAGAGACGCACGGCTTTCCCGTCTACCACGACGTACTATTAATATCGCGCCCCGTGTTGTCTCCCTCGGCCTGCCGCGCCCAGAAACAGAAAACGGAAACGGAAAACGGCTCCGCCCGCCGCCGACCCCGAGCCCGAACCCGAACCCGACGTCACGGCGCGCCCCGACCGCCGACAAGCTCCTGCGCGTCCTGTCGTCAACAACATCTTTTCATCACGAAGTGGTGTACAGACAGATCGCCGCGCCGATAGAATCCCCCCGGGCGCATCCGCAACACCATGGCGGTCGCCTCTTCCTCATCGTCGTCGACCACGGCCGCCGACCGCGATGTCGAGGCCCAACGCCAAGAAGCGCCCATCGCCCCCAAGACGTCGCATTGGAGCGTCCTGCTGGACCAGGCCGGCGTCGACGATGCCGTCCTCAACCACAAGTACCCCGGAAACGGCACCGTTGAGTCGCCGTATCTCGTCGACTTCCTGCCCAGCGACCCGCGGAACCCCGTAACCTTTTCCAAGACTTTCAAGTGGGCCATTACCCTCATAGCCGCCATGTCGACGCTCGCCGTCTCCTTTGCCAGTTCCGCCTACTCGGGCGGCGTCTTCGAGATCATGATGGACTTTGGTGCCTCCACCGAGGTCGTCATTCTCGGCGTCTCCATGTTCGTCCTTGGTTTCGCCATCGGCCCGCTCATCTGGGCGCCGCTGTCTGAGATGTACGGCCGCCAGCATCTCTTCTTCTTCACCTACATGGCCCTGACGGCCTTCAATGCTGGCGCTGCTGGCGCTCCGTCCATGGCTGCCCTCATCGTGCTGCGTTTCTTCGCCGGCGCGTTCGGCTCGTCGCCTCTGACGAATGCCGGTGGTGTCATTGCCGACATGTTTTCCGCCAACGAGCGCGGTATCGCTACCAGCATCTTTGCCATGGCCCCGTTCCTGGGCCCTGCTCTTGGTGCGTTCCGTCTCATTTACTCCTCAATCTTGGATTCAAGCTGACCTTGACTCACAGGACCGATTGCTGGCGGCTTCCTTGGCGAGGCCGAGGGTTGGAGATGGGTCGAGGGCCTGACGGCCATCTTCACCGGCGTCCTCTGGATCATCAACTCGCTCGTTTACCCCGAGACGTATGCACCCGTGCTGCTGCGAAAGCGCGCAATCGCCCTCTCCGAGAAGACGGGCAAGGTCTACATCTCCAAGCTGGACGAGGGCAAGCCCAAGAAGAGCGTCGGCAGCCAGATGAAGGTGGCCATGTCGCGCCCCTGGATCTTGCTCTTCCGTGAGCCGATCGTCCTGCTCACCGCCATCTACATGGCCATCATCTACGGCACGCTGTATCTCTGCTTCGCCGCGTTCCCCATCGTCTTCCAGCAGGGCAGGGGCTGGAAGCCCGGTATCGGTGGTCTGGCCTTCATCGGTATTGCCGTGGGCATGACTGTCGCGACGGTCGGCAGCATCTTTGACAACGGGCGCTACCAGCGGGCGGCGAAGAAGGCTGGCGGAATGGCGCCGCCCGAGGCTCGTCTCCCCCCGGCCCTGGTCGGTTCCATCCTGCTACCCGTCGGACTGTTCTGGTTCGCCTGGACCAACGGCAACAGCGTCCACTGGGTCGTGCCCATCATTGGCTCCGGCTTCTTCGCTGCGGGCATTGTCCTGGTCTTCCTGTCACTCATGAACTACCTCGTCGACTCTTGTGAGTTCTGCTCCTCTTCTAATTATATGGATGATCAAAATGCTAACATGTGTCACAGACGTCATCTTTGCCGCGTCTGTCCTGGCCGCCAACTCGGTCCTGCGATCGCTGTTTGGCGCCATCTTCCCCTTGTTCACGACGTACATGTACCAGGACCTCGGCAACCACTGGGCCAGCTCCATCCCCGCGTTCCTGGCGCTCGCCTGCGTGCCGTTCCCGTTCCTCTTCTACAAGTACGGCGCCCGGATCCGCATGAAGTGCAAGTTCGCCGCCGAGGCCGCGCACGTGCTCGAGATGATGCGCACCAAGCACACGCAGATCACCGAGGAGGAGGCCGTGCACGAGGCCGACGACAAGGAGAGGGAGAGGCGCGAGAGCACCGCCCTGGAGAAGCAGGCGACCAACGCCCAACAGGCGTCGTCCTAGTTCCGCTCGAGGGGGCGTGTGCAGATCCCCCGCACGTGGTCCAACACATTCCGGAGAGAACCATCATCATCACATACATGCGCCGTCTTCAGGATACACACATTCATCTCTCTTCTTCTGTCTTGCATTGATACGGCGTTTTCGGAGGGAATACCAATAGATAGCGCCGAGGCGCGGGGATAATATAGATTCGTGTATAATGACTTGGCGTGGCTAGAGGAAGGGGGGCCTTTTAGGGGTGTGGCATGTCGGCCCACGAGGCATCGTGGGCGACGGGACGGGGAGGGGGTACCATGATTTTCCAAGCATCGGGTCCGACATGGGGCCCTGGCATCGGCACATGAGCATAGCATCGCACGGCATATAACAACATGGCGTCGAGGGCGGCGCGCCTGTGAGCTTCATGCTCGGCGTGCCGCCCGTCATACTTGCTTGTACTACGTCTGGAGCACACAGTGAGACGTGACGGTTTCTGATTCGGTCTTGGCAGTGGCGGGGTTTTTTGCTCCTTTGCGGCACCGTTGACGGTGAGAGTTGAGGCACTTGGCGCCTTGGTGGAAAGAGTTCCAAGTTGATGATACGCAGTATAGAGCAGACGGAGCATTGCAAGGTCAAGCCCAAAGTTCCAAAAGGTATCTTACACATTGACCGTACCTATGCATAGCATCCATCAGCTAAGCCGGCAATGAATAATGCGTTTTTTTGTGTATCGTGGATGGGACCCATCTGCGTGAACAGGGTACGGGAAGGCCATACCAGCTGACGGTTGATAACTTGCTCGTCGCACGAGGGGGCCGGCAGCGTACAGTTTGCATGCAAACCAATGCACTGTCGGGCGGCACGGCGTCAGTGCGGCGCTTGTTCGCGGCCTGCCCCACTTCTAGCAGCATGTGGCGCGTCCCGCCCGTCTTTGTTCCTCACCACGCCACAACTAACGTTATGAGGCAGTTGACGCCAGCGAGCGCCATATCGTGACCGCGACCCGCGTAAAGCTGTTCCATCATCGCCTCTTCCTCGAACACCCACCCCCCTCTCACCGCGACGCCATCGGGCCACCACCCGCTCGCCTGCCACCCCCACGACCCCGGCAGCGCGCAAATGGCGAGAAGGCCGTCGCCGCACAACAGCGGAAGCTCGTCGCCGGCGTCGTTCTACACGGCCAACGATTCCGACGACGGCGGCGGGGGGGAGGAGGAGGAGGAGCACGACTCGACGACGGCGAGCAGCCCTGCGCAGGCGGCGCCGTGTCCATACCGCGAGGCACGTCGCCTGCCGCGCGAGCTCAAGGGCCATTGCCAGATTTTCCTCGAGGAACAGCTTTGTACGCGGCGCCGCCTCCCTCCCCCTCGCGCTATCGTGGCGCGCGTTTTGAGCAATATGATCGAGAGAAGCTAACATGAGAGGACGCCATCGATAGACACATGCGCCATCAACCTTCTCAACAGCTCACTAGGCAGCGGCGCGTCGAGGCGAGACGCGTCGCAGCAGCAGTCGCGCAAGGCCGTGCCCGTCCCGCCCCCGAGCCACGTCGCGCTCCTCAACACGCTCCTCATTCATCCGATGAACACGACGCGCGCCGAGAAGCCCGACCACCTCGACATGCCCGCCCTCGCCCTCGACTACCTGCGCAACCTGCTCGCCGTCGTGGGACCCGTCAACGCGGGCTTCCGCACCGCATTCCAGTTCCGGCCCCAGCCGCGATGGGGCCGTCGGCCCGGCTACGCCGGCGACAACGCGAGCGACAGCGACATGTCTGACGGCGAGGGCCGGGACCACGACCGTCTGCGCGGGCGCATGGCCAACGAGGGGAGCGTCTGGTGCCGTGGCCAGGACTTTTGGTCCACTGTCGGCTGGGCGTTTAACACGGCGACGGTGCATCCCCATCGGTGGCGCTACTGGAGGGTCTGGCTCGAATACATGATTGATGTCCTCGAGGCGGACTGGACCGAGAGGGAGCGGCTCGACAGAGAGGCGCACTATGACAAGAGTGAGCCTGACGACGACGACGAAGAGCCTCTTACATCGCGACGGCAATCCATCATCGCCATGTACATGGACCAGCAGGAAGGCAGGCAAGTGGGTTTCAAGCGGATAGTCAAGGCCCTCCTAGCCGACGGCGGGAGCTTGTCGACATCGTCATTTTCCGAGGTGTTTGAAAAGGAGCACAGGGGGGCCAAGAAGACGTCGAGAAAACGAAAACGAGAGCAGGTCCTGGACCTGGAGAACGACAAGTTTGGCGACTACTTTGACGACGACTCCATCTCCTCGGGCGTCTCAGAGCCGCCGACTCCGCAGAAGCCGCGGGATGCCAGAAAGGAGGTGTCCTTTGGCTGCTCGCACCCCGGTCTTGCCGACTCCGTCGTCCTGCGGCTGCGTCTCTTCAAGATGCTCTCGGCGGCGACTTACACGCTCCGCAAGGCCCATGAGCTTAACCAGCTGTACACGGAATTCGCGGCCGCGATCCAGGTGCTCCCGCTGCAAATGTTCGCCCTCTTCGTGACGCAGCGCGCCAACCCCTTGCTGGACGTCACGCACGTCACGCTGGCCAAGGAGCTTTTCCACATGCTGCTCCCCTCGAGCTACAGGAACCCGCGCAGGGTGGACGCCGAGGCGGACGCGGCGGGCGCACTCACGACGCCCATGCTGGAGCAGTGCTACATCGGCCTGCCCGCCAACACGGTCGGCCTCGAGGACAACGCCAAGCTGTCGCTGCTGGTGGAGAACGCCATCCAGCTGCTCTGGAGCTGCGACAGCCTCGAGTACACGCCGGGCCTCGCCGCGGCCGCCGAGAAGGGCATCAAGGCGAGGGAGGCCAAGGCGAAGAAGAAGCGCACCGGCAGGATGAAGACGGACACGGACGACACGCTCGCGCAGGATATCCTGACGAGTTCCGGGGAGCGGATCCGCGTGTTGCTGCAAGTGTTGGAAGCGTCGGCTACGGCTTGAACGGAGGGAGACACTACCTGACGTGCTCCCCTTGGCATTTTTGTTCAGACTTTTTGTTGCTGTTTGGAGGACCGGAGTACGGGGCTTGAACGATTTTAATGTCTGGACCCCTGTATGCGGCCATGAAAGCTCGACACTGGGACGGGGAAAAAAGAGTTGGGCGTTTCTTTGTTTTTGGAACCATGAGCTGGGAAGGCATTTCTGCATGGCATGTTATATAGCGGGCGGGCTTGCGGGCGTACATGGAGGGTATTTCTTCGTTATGCTACAAGTATGATACAAGATTAGATGATACAATTGCATCCGCGGCCATAACGAGGGCGCGCGAATCGACATACGGCGTTTGTCTCCCCACGCCTCGGGCAGCGAGCGCCAAACTGCTTGCCGCCTTTTTTAAGTCCATTGCATTTGCGTCCTTGCCTGGGTGACCACCGTTACCGCTTCTTGGCGGCGGTTGGGGTCCATGCCGCGGGCTGCCACTTTTCGCTCGGTCCTTGTGCCCTGGCCTTTGCCCACGGGTCGTTTTCGGGGGCGGCCGCTGGTGATGCTGCTGCGCCCTTGCCCTTGACGGCCGCGGAGCCGGTTTCTTGCTCCGCCGGTTGCTGCTGCTCCGACCGGGCCGCCTGCTGTTCCGACTCGGCATCCTGCTGCTTCTGCTGCTGCTCCTGGCCCACCGCCGCGACCGGCCCCGCCGGTGCTATCCTCGCGGCAGCATCCTCAGGCGCCTCCATGACGCGAGGCTTGGCCTCCCACCGGGCGTCGGCCTGCGCGGCGAGCACCTTTGTGCGCTCCTGGCGGGAGACGTCGGCGCGCTGCTCGGCGAGCGAGGGGGCGTCCGGGCGCGTGTGCCGCAGCCACTGGTGCCAGAGCGGGCTGACCTTGACGTCCGAGTAGTGCGTCGAGCGAGGGTAGTGGACGATGCGGCGCCAGCGCTCCGACGAGGCGGAGGGGTCGAGGGAGGTGTCGGAGCCGCCGCGGGTGGTGAGGCGGAACTCCCAGAAGGTGTTGCCCTGGAGGTCATACCCTGTGCGCGCGTTGCGTGTCAGTCCTCATTCGCCGCCGCCGCCGCCGCCGCAATCGTGGGATGATGATACATCCGTGACGTACCGACAAAGAAGCGCTTCCGCCAGGGCAGGCGGAGGGCCTTCCACTTGTACCATGCCTGCGCGACGGGTCCTATGCGCTTCATGGGGAGGGCATGGGACGGTGTTGCGACCGGGGGGGGAAGGGTTCGATGGCGGAAATCCGGAGGCGAAAGTTGGGGAAGCTACTTTTCTTGGAGGTTTGATGGATGGAGTTGTCTAGGTCTGTCTGTCGGGCCCCTCCCCCCCGCCAAGCCACAGGTCGCAGCCACAGCCACAGCGGCGGCGTCGTCGTCTGCGCCCACGTCATCTCCGCGCCGCCGGGCGGCGGGCAGGTCGGTCGGCCGGTCCCCTGGACCTGGTCGTGCTTACCCACTCAGTGAGTGCCCTGGTGGTGTAAAACAGGGCCCGGCCGGGCCTCAAGCGCCCAGCGCCGCCGCCCAAGTCAAGCGTCGTCTTCATTCGACCACCTACCTTACCCGTCACGCTTCGGAGCGCGCACGTCCTAACTACTCCCTCCTCCTACTCCTGCTCCCTACGACAACCTCATCGCGGCAACCCCTGAACACCATCGTCGCCCACGTCTTGTCGCGCCGCCCACCCGCTCGCTCGCTCGCCCTCACGCGGCCAACACTCACTCCGCCGACGCCCACATCGCGCGGGGGCTCCATCGCCGCCGTTCCGCGTGTGCCTGAAATACAGCGCCACGCACGCCCATTGCCCCATACGACAGCATTCCGATCGCGCCGGCCGCCCTCCTCGTTCGAATTTGCGCACTCGACAACACCTCTCTGCCCTGATCTGCAGATTCCGAGGTTCAATTCGCGACCGTCGGCCCCCGCCTGCCCTCACCTTGTCGCCGCTTTCCCCCGATCCCGACACAACCGTCGCGATGGCTTCAGTGACGTCGCTGGACAAGGACCTGCGCCAGATGCGCCTCGACAAATACACCCCCGCCGCCGCCAACGAAGCCCGGAAATGGATTGAGGACACCCTCGGCGAGAGGCTCCCGTCCTCAGACCTCCTCGAGGGGCTCAAGGATGGCGTCGCGCTGTGCAAGTAAGTCGACCCCCGCGCCGCCCGCTGGCGCCGCACTCTAACACCCCGCCGCCCAACAGGCTCGTCAACCGCGCCGTGCCTCCGCCTGGCGTCAGGTTCAAGCAGTCGGCCATGCCCTTCGTCCAGATGGAAAATATCTCGCACTTTCTCCGCGCCTGCCAGGCCCCGCCCCTGAACCTGCAGCAGCACGACATGTTCCTCACCGTCGACCTGTTCGAGCAAAAGGACCCCGCCCAAGTGCTGCAATGTCTCGGCGCATTCAGCAGGGCCGCCAACGCCGTGAATCCGAGAAGCTTCCCCACGGCCATAGGGCCCAAGACGCGCGGCGTCGTGAGCCCGCAAGGCACCGGCGCCGCTCCCGCGACTCCGACTGGACTCCGTGATAGGGGCACGTCCATCACGAGCAACACCTCGTCCGCGTACGGCGCTTCCAAGCCAGTGCTGCCGCACCGAACCGGAGATTCCGCGTCTGGCCGCTGGAGCCCGACCAAGGGCCATGGCAAGACACCATCGAGCGGCGGATCGCCCGGCACCGTCAGCAGCTGGAGCAAGCGCGAACAAGAAGGCGCCACATCGCCCGCCTGGAACATTGCTCAGTACGGCTACATGGGTGGCGCCAGCCAGGGAAATCTGGGAATTGCCTTTGGAGGGAGACGCCAAATTACCAACGCCGGCCCGCAGGTTCCCAGCCTGGCCGACAAGGAACGACGCCGCAGAGAGGAAGCGGAGCGCCAGCGCCAGGAAGCCGAGGACGAAGAACGCCGTCGTCGAGCGGAGGAGGAAGAGGCCAAAAGAGAAGAGGAGCGCCGATGGGAGGAAGAGACGGAGAGACTGCGCGAGGAGGAGCGGAGAAAGGCCGAAGAGGAGAAGAGGCAATGGGCCGAGCAGGAGCGCCAGTGGCAGCTGGCAGAGCAGCAGCGCCTCAAGGAAGAGCGGGAGGCCGAGGCCCGCCTGCAGGAGGAGCGTCGTCGTGCGCGAAGCCAGAGCGACAACAAGCTTCGCGGCCAGTTCCTGAGCCAGTACCAGGCCGAACAGGCCGACGCGGAGAACAGCCACACCTCTCGGATAAAGGAGCTGGAAAAGGAGCTGGAGCTGGCCCGCCAGCGCGAGGCGGAATACGAGCGCGAGCGCCAGGGGAGGCCGTCACGCAGCGACCGACCAGCCAACGAGATAACGCCCCCGAAGCCGAGGTCCCGGAGCCGGCACGCCGCCACGGCATCACCGCCGGCGGCCAAGGGGCCGGACCGCGAGCCCGCCCGCTTCGAGTCGTGGTCCAAGGACGAGCGCGAGGTGCTCCAAACGGCTTGGAACCAACACCAGGAGCGTCTGGAAGAGGAAGACGCGCAAGACACGCCCTCGCCCCTCGTAACAACGCGCCGTCCCTTGCCCGACCCCACCGCCGCCGCGGCGCCGAAGATTAAGAGCCCGAGCGGCGGCAGCCGGCCCCTCCCCGACCCGTCCAAGTACACGTCCCCTCCCGCGCCGCAGCCCAGCCGCACCGACCGGTTCCTCGCGGGCAACGCGCCGCCCGCGCAGGCCGCCGCGCAGACGACGTACGCGCGCGAGCTGGGCGCCACGGAGGAGCGCGACGGCGAGGACCGGCGCCGCGCGCAGTCCCAGGCCAAGACCAAGGCCGGCGGCTGGGCGTCCAAGTCGCTGCTCGAGCGCGAGATGGAGATGGAGCGCGAGCGCCAGCGCGAGTGGGAGGAGGCCCAGCGCGAGACGGCCAGGGCCGCCCGCCCCGCCGACGGGGCCGTCGACGGCATCGGCGGCGGCGTCGGCGGCCGCTGGGACGTCGGCCAGTGGAGCGGCTACACGGGCGGAGACAGCCAGAACAGGGGCGGCCAGGGCATCGGCGCCGGGAGGAGGCAGATTGTCGGCCCGCGGCCCCTCCCCGGCGCGGGCAGGTGATGAGGGTGATTGCGATAGTGACGATGACGAAGGCGCAGGACCGAAGCAGAGGCGACGTAAAGACGACGACGCAGGTTCAGTCGTCGCGGCTTAGACGGGGCGGCTACAAACCTTTCTTTCTTCCCACCCTTTTGATCTGTCCGACATAGCGAGATAGACAATATCAGCATGCATCCGCATCAACACGCTGGATTTGAGCACAAGTACGCATCCATTATACAATCGTGCGTCCAAACGTGTCACCCAGACTTGCGACGTACTCGGCGCCCTGTCCAATCTTACTTCATGTTCATCTTTATTGCTCGTTTCCTGGAAGATTATGAATTACATCGTGTACGCTAATTCATGCCAGCATGCAGCCTGTATGTACTGTACTGTAGTCAAGCGTCCTCCTCGTCGTCCTCAACCATCATCATTATCCAATGGACGGGGGCATCGCACGTGGTCGAGGTCGCGCCGCGTCCAGTCTCAGGGACGCCGGCAAAACCCGCGCCGAGGGCGATGATGACATGGGCAGACACTGGAGGACGTCAATCAGAGAGCCCCGATGCTGGGCCAGCCAGACTGGCTGCCACCACGCCCGCCAACGTCCCGCTTCGGCGCCAGGCAGGGATGAGATTCCCAGGAGGTGGGGTTGCCGCAGGTATCGAACCGCAGCCGGGTAGGCCCCCGTCCCCTTCCCAGTCGCCTCCGCCAGAGCCCGCGCGTCATTCCTTCTTCCAAGGACTTTTTTTACCCTCATGTGTCGTCCTCAACTCCTTTTTCGCCGGCGCTCGTGCAACTGGGCCGCGACGCCAGCCACTAGCCAGCAGTGGCCTTGCCATTCACATCCGTCGTATCCTTGGCAGCTTCGGCCGCGGCCTCCGTTCGACAGCGCTGGCACATACACCAGCCCCCGAGGCTGCCCCTTGCCCACTCTCGACGCTGCTGGACAGGCAGGGTGACGTCGCAGTAGTGGTTCAGGATCTCCTCGCCTCGTTTGATGCCGCCTGGCCGTCCGCCAACCACCCTCTCCTTCCGCGCCCAGAGCACCATGCGGCCGCCCCAGTCCCAGGTGACGTTTGGGTCGCAGTCGTGGTTGGCTAGGCACCAGTATGGGTGGACGGCGGCAACGTCTGGGCGGCCATCGCGAGGGTTCTTGCGTGCCGACGCAGTGCCTCGAAACTTGGCGTACAGCGTGTTGACGACCCACAGGTCATACTCTGGCAATCCAGCGAAGATGTCAATGTCCATCTTCTCCAGGACGTGGAGCGGCGTCTCGATGTTGTACTTGAAGGAAAAGGGCAGCGTCCACTCGGGTGGAGGTCCGGCGTTCGGTGACACTTTGATGGCGTTGGTGCTGGTGGGTACAAAATCGCCCCAGATGAACCTGACTTCTCGCACGTCGAGAGGATGGACTTCTTGGTGAGCAGCCAGTGCTAACACACGAGCGAGAAGGAGCAGGTATAGCGTCTCGTCGGCCTCAAAGGCGTCGGGATCTTTCGCGATGGCGTCGACGTCCTTTTCGCAGACTGCTGGATGGTAACGCTCCATGGCCTGGTCATGGCAGTATTGGCTGCAAAAGACGGTGTCGTAGCACTCGTCGCAGCTCACCGCCGCGTTCTCGCTTCCAAGCGGCGGCAGGTCGGAGCTACACGCGTCGCAGACTGGATCCTTGAGCCTGTTGTTGGCGGTCAGGAGCGAATATTCCTTGAGGACCGCCTCCCCGGGCTCAATGTCCTCCTGGGCGAAGACACCCAGCTGTTTGCAGGTAGGAATGATGTCGTATCCATCGGTATCGCTGGCGCCTTCGAGAAGAACCGGCAACGTCGCAACTTGGATGGCGCATTTCGGGGCCATCTCTTTCAGGTCAGCGTTCAAGGCATCCAATGACTCGGTCGTGAAGCGGTCGGGTTCGTGGTCGTTCCAAGGGTACACCTCGCGCCGAACCAGGCCGTAGTCCGGCAGGTCGCCGTTCTCAAAGTCGTCGCGACGCAGCCTGCGGCGGCCGACTGTCCGAATGTGATCCTTGGTATTGGCGAGTTCTTGGTTGTTGGGTGCTATTTGAAGGCCCCTATCGCAAAAGTTGGCGGCGCTCTGAAGGCAGCCGCACAGCAACAGGCTCAGCGAGAGAATCTGATACGCTCGAACCGATGCAAGCCGCGCAAGTCGGATGACGGCAGCCTCGTCCGTCTCGGATCCGTCGAGGATAGCGGCAAGCGGCTCCGTTGCGAGACTGCCATACGTGAGCACCTCGGGAACAGTATGATCGGCACGCAGCGTGAGGCTTTCGAGGGCCTGTTCGTGATACTCGAAGCCTTCGTTGGCGACCTCATCTGTGAGGAGCAAGGCTCGGTACGCATCGGCAGCCGCAAGGTCCGGATAGCCCAAGTCTGAGTAGACAGCAGCGCGCTCCAGGTAGAGGATCAAGTCATACGGCAAGCTGCCGAGGCCTTCGGTCAACTGCGCACGGCGATCGAGCAGTCGCTCATGGCGGGCGTCTTCGTCCATTGGGCCGATCGGCGGGGTGAAGAGCCTGCGGAGGGACGTACAGGGTCCTAGAAGACCACGAATTGACCGCGGGGTAGACTGCCAAGCCGATCTTGACTGGCGTGAGACGGACGTGCCGGCACCTGCGAGGAGTCTTCCTAGCGGCCTGACGGGAAGCCCGCGCGGAGGGGTGGGAAGAGGTTAAGAAGAAATCCAGAGCGACCCAGAAGCTGACGTTACTGCACCTCCAACTCACGGGGAAAGGCAGGGAAAAGCCACAACCAGAGTTCCACTGCCAGTCCCGGGCTAACCCTTGCCTCGGGATGAGCAGGTGTGAGGAAGCAAGTTGTGGGCAGAGACACTGCAGGCGCCAGACGGAGGGGCAACTTGTGGTTCGGAAGTGGCGCGGCGGAGACTCGGGGACAACGTCTAAGAGGGGCGGCCGGAGGGAGCAGGAGCCAAGCGGGTAGCGGACTAGGAAAGAGGATGTGGCAACGGGAACGACAAGGCGCGTTCCTGAAGTGAGACGCTGGAGGGGGGTCTCGTGGCGGGCCGAGAGTGTACCGTTGGGCACGAGGCGGTCTACCGGGCCTTGATGTGCTCTGGCACGAAGCCCGAATCGTCGAGCTGCGGGTGTGAGACGCCGGGGGCGATTCAATCCGAGTTGAAGTCGGGGCGGCGGTTGCGCCCGTCTGATGGAGGGAGCTGGTGGGAAGCAGACGGACGCAACGAGAGTCTGGCTGACGAACGCCTAGGGTCGCGGGGTCAGTGTCGGTCTCGGTCACAGCCACAGTGGGAGCGGCAGTTTGCAGCAAGGTTAGAGACGAGTTGGGGCTGGTGGAAGCGAGACATACTCGTATTGGGGGTGCTTCCGACGACGGGGGTGGTGGCAGGCCCTGTCGCTTCCAAGGGACGCGGGAGGGGGCTCCAAAGTCGAACAAGCGGCCAGAAGCGGGAAGCGAAGTCGAGAGGCCAAACAGGCAAAGCGGCCGACGGAGGAGGTAAAGGTCAAGGTCAAGAAGGGTGACGAAGCGAGAGGCGTGGCCGGACAGGGCCAGGCCGGAGAGACCCTGGAAGTCGGCGGACGGATTTTGTGCAGTTGGCGGGATGGAGGGGTCCTCGTCGGACCTCGCAGCTCGTCCTCGCAGGTTGTCGCGGTTTCTACGGTGGTTCTAGGCCCTGGATCTGGGTGGTGGATGCCTTGCAGCCCTGGCGGGCCAATTGATGTGGTTTTTTTAAGGGTCCAGCGGGCAATTTTGGCGACGGAACAGACGCTCCCACGCACCCAGAAGGTGGATTGGGCGGCGGGCAGCGGCGATCAGTGGCTGAGCCTTGAGGCTGGAGGGGGGGGATGGGGAGGTCCCTTGCAAGCCTTGCAAGCCCTGCCAGGGCTGCCGTGGCTGCTGACTGAGCTGAAGGGCCGGGGACCCGCACCAAAACTCTTGCGCTGGAGAAGGGCCAGGGTGCTGGAGAAGGCGCTGGAGCCCGAGGAGGCGGTGGTGGCAGTGGTCCGGGTTCTGTGAAATCCATGTTGGTGGGCCAGGCGTGGTCCCAGCGAGGTCCGAGTGAGGCGCAGGCTCCTGTCCGTAGAGGACATCAACCCACTGGAGGGACATGTCGGTGGCGAGTGAACGAGTTGCGGACATGCCGTCTTGTCCGTGGCCGAAAGCTGCTTACTTGCCCATTTATCTTGTCCACTGTGGGCAACACTGGGGACTGCGATGCCAAGAGCAGCCAGAGATGGCTCGCCAAGTTCGCCGATAGCCCCTGCTCCAGGGCCTGGCAATTGGCTCCCAAGCGTCGCCATGCTCTTCTGGTGCTGCATCAACGAGACCCGACGGTGCTGCAGCGGTGGGCCGCAGGTGTGGCGTCGCACAGGCCACCAGCTCGGTTGCGCCACGTTCCCGCTTTCGCCACTCCGCGCCAGCGACGGCGACGCTGGTGGGCGAGCAGCATTGTGCAGGGCGGAACTCGTCCCTCCCGTCCTTGGCAGAGGTGGCCGACGTCTTCTGGTGACTGGGACACCCGCACGCAGCAAGCAAGCTGGAAGGGAGCTAGTCCCGTCGGTGCCGGATCGGGGGGGCGCTTGTCAGCGCCGTCTGCCGTCGCCGCCGCCGACGCCGCCGCCGGGCTGCCGGGCGCAAAGGTGGCTCCGGGCGAGCAGGTGTCCTGTGGTCTGCGGCGCGGTGCTGGGCTGGGCTGAGAGTGGCTTTGAACTCGGGGAGCGACGTCATCGTTACATGGTTTGTCTGTGCCTGGCAGCCCAACACCGCAAGCGCCCGTCACATGCTTGGGGATGCGAAGCGGCAGGTAACCTTTACCCGCTGGACTGGCCAGTGGGCGATGCGTCGGATCAGGGATTGCGCGCGGCAGACGACGACAGAGACGTTTCGGCGGGTGCGTTTGCCTGAGATGATTCACCAGTGCGATTGAAGCTGCTGAGCGAAGAAGGAAGTGAGTGAGGATGCAGATGTAAGGGAAGGTGAGGCACCGGCTGCCTGTCTCAGTTGTTTGACCGGGGCCACCTACCTGCCTTGTCTGCCTGTGCTGCAGCTGCCCCTCCTTCGCTAATCTTGGCGCCAGCGAAAGGAAGGAGCATCTCAGACAGACCAGCTCATCTTCTGCAACTACCCCGCCATTCAAGTGATCAGTGCGCGCGTCGTCGCACGAGGCACTGACGATGGCCTGGACGCGCACATCTCCCTACATTTCTACGTCGAGGAACCCTCCTGCGAATGCGAGAAGCCTCTGGTTCGGCGGCGCCCGCACTCGGTGTCCCCGAGCAGAGCCCTGTGTCCAGCGCATTCAATGGCACTATTTGCGTGCTGGGCTCGTCCAACGGTGGAGTCACCATGAGCCCATGGCACCACCGCGACAAGTCCTGCCGGCGAGGGCAACACCCGACTTCACTTTGCCTGACAGACGGGCACCTGTTTCATGCCCTCCGTTTTACCGCTTTACCGGAGGCCATGATTCGCTTCGCATTTTTTTTTTCTTCTTCTTCTCTTCATTTCCAGACACGGGCGGTCAGATACGTCGGGCCCAGAAGGGCGTCGTGGACCCTCTGTCGTGGACACGCGAGTCACCGCAGACCTACCCATGAGCGGGTACTCTGTACGACGGCCCTTTAATAAGGCAGGACGCGATACGGTATAAGTGAGTGGGCGTCGTGCAAATAAGCAGTGCGTGCGTGCTCGTACAAAGGTACGAAGCTCCATCGCGGACCCGTCATTGCCAAGCTCCCAGGTCCCCAGGCCGCCCAGATAGTGGTGGAAACCGGCGCGGACATCGTCATCTTACCCACCCACTGGCACGCTGTCCCCAGTCTACAAGGCACACAACGCACGCACGCACACGCACATGCACGTCTCCAGCTCACGCAACATGGAACAAAAAACCCCGCGACCGTGATAGGGCGGGCGCTGAGCAACAAGTCCGACAGAGGTGGTGCTGCCACCGCAAGCTCTTGCTGGCTGAGCCCCCCTCCTGCCCCTCTTTCCCTACATTCCTTAGTAGCTTCGTAGCACTGAAAAGAGTAGCTCCTCAGAGGCCCAAAGATTAAAAAAAACTAAATCTAAATAATTAAAAACCCACAGCGCCGCAGACGGCTCGTCGAACCCCGCCATCGCCGGGACCACCACCATCGTCATCATTTCCCAATCATCTCTGAACCAGCCGGCCCGGCTTCCTCTCCTCGTGAGTTAGTTGACCAGCCCTTGCTCCTCGAGGCTCCGCCCTTGCCGCCGTGCCGCCGCCTCCGTCGTCTGTCGTTTCGGTCCATTCCGCCCGTGACGACACACACACACACACACACACACATCCAAAACACTCCCACCTCAACACTCCAACGCTCCGCCGCTCAAACACCCTCAACGCTCGTCGCCGGCGCAAACTCTCCTCCCTGCTCCTCTTCCTCCGCCTCCTCCCTCGCACTCAGCAAGCTCGCCTGCCATCACCGTTAGCAGCTGCCTCTTCCACTTGCATCTAGGGATCTAGCTCATCTAGTCGCGCACCCGTAACCCCGCTGCGCAACAGCTTCACGAGCAAGCCTCCAACCACACCTCGAAACACCGCACTGCACCGCCGCAGCCATGCCCAAGACGCAACCCAACCTTTACGCCTTCCCCGGCGTCGACACGCTCGCCCCGGCCCTCCGCTCCTACGTCCTGCAGTGCCAGGCCGCCGGCTTCAACCGCCACGGTTCCTTCAAGATCGCCGTCTCGGGCGGCTCCCTGCCCAAGACGCTCGCCGCCGCGCTGCTCGCCCCCTCGTCGGGCCCGGACGACGCCCTCGACTTCTCCCGCTGGGAAATCTTCTTCGCCGACGAGCGCGCCGTCCCGCTCGATCACGACGACTCCAACTACGCCCTCCTCAAGTCCGAGCTGCTCGACAAGATCCCCGCCGAGTCGGGCAAGCCCACCGTCCATAACGTCGACCCGGAGCTCCTCTCCGACACCCAGGAGCTCGCCGACCAGTACGAGAAGACGCTCGTCAACAGCTTCGCCAGCCGCGACTCGGTCCGCCTGCCCATCTTCGACCTCATCCTCCTCGGCTGCGGGCCCGACGGCCACACCTGCTCCCTCTTCCCCGGCCACCCGCTGCTGCGTGAGACCGAGGCCTGGGTCGCCCCCATCGAGGACTCGCCCAAGCCCCCGCCCAGGCGCATCACCCTGACGCTCCCCGTCGTCAGCCACGCCGTCCGCGTCGCCTTCGTCGCCACCGGCGCCGGCAAGAAGGACATCATGAAGCAGATCTTCGACGCCAACATGGGCCTGCCCTGCACTCTCGTCAACGAGGCCACTGGCGACCGCTGCAGCTGGTTCGTCGACGAGCCCGCCGTCGAGGGCGTCAGCTTCCCTAGAAGAGCCTTCCTCTAGACGACTCGCGCTTCGTCGCACATCAGTGGACACGAGCAAGTTTTCTGCTTTTCTTCAAACGGGCCCCCTCCACTGCGCTCGTCCACGCGCGGCGGCACCTGTTCAAGACGCACGGCAGCCGCCTCCCCTCCATCCTCCACACTTAGAAACGGGAGAAGCGTGCGGGCGACCAGGGGCGAACACGCTTCGTTGGCCCCAGCCGAGTGTTCGATTCAACCACCAACTACCCCCTTTTTGTTTATCGCCGATGATGTTTCGTTGCGGAGAAACCCAGGTGTTTTGATATCCCGATGGCGATTCTGTTTTCGAACACGACCGGGCGGACGCGGCAGAGACGGAGTGAGAGGAGTGAGAGAGACGGGGAGACAGAAGAGACAGCGTGGGAGCGAGTGCCGTCCACCCTTGCCTTGGCCTGACCGTTTCCCGGGCATTCAGCATTTATAGCTAGACTTTGTTCAATGACGAATGTTTGAACCTGAGCGTGTCCGCTTTGGCCCGTGGTAAACTTAGCGTCTTTACGCCTCAAGTGACATTTGCATCTGACAGCTTTTTGGTGTCGCACTCCGTGGCCCCGGACGGCCAGTAACGTAGACTGACGTTCCGTTCGTCATGGACAGACGCGCCAACGCCAATGACTTCGGCAGCCACTGCGGTATGCTGGGCAAGCAAACCCGCATTGCTGCCCAACTCCCCGCGGGATCCCCCCGCCAAAGTCTCAATTAGTGAGCGTATTCAAGAGCGAGTGTAGACATGTCGTTGCGGCACTTCAAAGTACACTGCGCTCAGTAGGGTATTATCATCTGCCGCGAGGTTCCCCGCCACCATCATATTTGTCGTACACCTTTTCATAAGACTCATTATAATAAAACCGCGCCATCAGACAGCCGGCCCCCTCTTCAAATCACTCTCCACGCAGCGCCAGCCCTCGGGGTATCACCATCATCGCCGCCCTCCTCCCCCTCCCTGTTCACGGCCTCGATCCACGCGTCCTCCCTCGCAAGCGCCGCCTGCTCGAGATCCTCCATGACCCGCAGCTCGGCCAGCATGCCGTCGAGGAGGTGCCGCGCGCCGCGGAGCATCCTCTCCAGGCTCGTGCCCGGGCCAGGGGGCTGACCCGCGCCGGCGGCCTGGTCGCGCCGGTCGTCACCGAGGTCGTCGATCTCGTCGAGCTGCGCGCGCCAGGCCTCGAGGCGGCGGAGGATCCCCGCGCACTCGTCCTTCCACGCGCCGTCGAGCTCGCCGATGAAGAGCGCGTCCTGGCTGTCCGGGGCGAGAAACGTAGACCTCCCCCTGGCGGCTTCAATCTGCTGCGCGCGCTCGATCCAGCGCTCGAAACGCCGCACCACGCGACTATATCGCCCGCCCGTCTCGCCCAACGCCCACACGCCGCTAAAAACCTCGTCCAGGACCTGTATACGCTCGTCCAGCCCCATGCCGGAGCTGCCCCATCGCCGCAGCGCCAACACGTTGTCCCGTTCGACGCCCGCGCGCTGACGATCCGCCACCTCGGCGCACGCCTCGCCCAGCCGCGCGAAGCGCCGACCTAGCTTCTCCCGCGCGCTGTCCCGCCATTGCGCATCCACCTCGGCGGCGTCCCGGTGGAGCAGGTGCAGCTGCAGGAGTTCCGCCTGGAGTTTGCTCGTCTCGGCCGACGCGGCAACGTTGGCGGGCAGCTTGGACGGCGAGGGCGGCGCGAGGTACGTCGACGTCAGAGGTTTGGGGACAAGCTTCTTGGCCGGCGAGTAGTGCTGCTGCAGGGTGGAGAACGCCGGTCGTAGTCGTGGCTGGGCCGGGACTTGGGCTTGGGGAGCCGAAGCCTGTTTCGAGGGCGCGGCGGTAGGCGTTGACGGCGCGGGGTTGGCTATCGAGGAGCTGCGAGCAGTTCTCGTGGCTGGGGCGGGGTTGTCCCGCGACGGCGGTCGGAGTGTAGTCGCGGAATTCAGCTTCGTGACGGTGCTCTTCGCTCGCTGGTGCGTCGCTCCCCGCCTCGGGACCTGGCTCGAGGCCGTCGTCGTGCTATCCGCAGATGTCGGTCGTGCTTGCGCAGCGGCGTTCGGCCTGTTGGAGCTTGACAGCGGGGGATACCGGCTCGACGCGTCCCTCCGCGAGGTCCCCTCCTGAGCGCCCGCAGCCGCGCCATCTCGCTGCGGCCTGGATATAGACGTCGTGCGGCCGAGGTACATCGAAGCTGGTCTCGCGGCCCCTTCGTGCGCGCTCGCAGCCGTGCCGTCCCGCTGCGATCTGGATATAGACGTCGTGCGGCCGAGGTGCATCGACGCCGGTCTCGCAGCTCTCGTGCCCGTCGTCGCGGACGCCGGGTTCGCGGTGCGTGCAGCGGCAGAGGTGGTGGTGGCGGTGGCAGTGGTGGTGGGCTTCATAGGCAGGCGACTTGGCGAGGTGGTGCGCGGCCGCTCGCCCGCCGGGGCCCTGGCCGGCGCTGCATTGTCGGACGACAGGCCCGGGGGCTTGCGCAGGGACCGGGCGCGTTGCAGGGCGGACATGGCGGCGCGGCGCGGGTGTCGAATTGACGATGTTGATGTTGCAGGTTGATGCAGGAGGGGAAGTCGGCGGCGTGTCCGCTTGGGGGGTCGGAGCTCTCCAGCCACAAGGCGGGCAGCTCAGCCGTTAGGTGAGCCCTGGAGGTGGGTGGTGCACACCACGACACCCTCCGCCGCAGTAGTTCCCGTCGCCCAAGCGCGGATCCGCCCCGCCCCGCCCCGATCAGCCTCTCCCGCCGCGGGTGCCGTGTCCACACCTCAGCTGCCGTGACCTCGGTCCTTCATCTGAGCCTCTCCATCTTTCATCTACGATACTTATGCAACAATTACACTTCAATGCACGAGGGGATAGACACGCAGGACAAGTGCTTCGTACCAGTGCCATTCTTCATTCGATTTCTAGCCTGCTCACTCACCCACGCCACTTCGCCCTGAGGTGGACGTCGCGAGTTGCTAGGCAATCTGGGAGCCTGTTCGCAGCCTCTCCCAGCATATCCCTCCAATCGTAGAAGCCATCATCTCCCTGACATGATCCAACAAGGTCCATCCCTCTCGAGCCGGGTCCTAATTCCTCCAGCCCGTGGAAGGCCCCCGAATGCAGAAAAGGAAATGGTATCATCGACGTGTTATCGGCCCTCTATCCTCGAACCTTGAGCAAAAGCAAACCAGCAGCCCTGCCGTACATGTATTCCAACTCATAATTCCACATGATTAAGCTGTCCGTCCGTCTCTATGCCATGACAAAACGTAATGCGGATCGAAAAGAAAAGAAAAAGCTAGGCGTACAAGCAATGCACAGGTACGACGTGAACCTCGTCCAGGGTCCAGTCGACTTGGAAGCAATAGCCCTTACGTCGCAGCCTGGATCCCGAGGGCGGACCCAGGCCGGGACATGGAGGACAAACTAAGCGGTGTGTTGGTTGCCAGCTCGTCGACGAGACGGCGCAACACCCTCTGATGTCCGTTGAGGGCCCGTAGGCACGACTCGCAGATGCGGAGGTGGCAGAAAGTGCACACCCACCGGTCTTCCGAGTCAGCCTTGTCGCAAGTCTGGCAGGTGAGTGGATAGTGGCGGTTGCTCCGGCGGTTCATGGACCGGTGGCTCTGGTAGCAGCCAAAGTGTGACTCTTGGAGCGGTCGCGCCGGGATGACAGCTCCGGGCTCCAACGGCTTGGCCTTTTGGGTGGGAAAATACGCCACCTTGGGGTCAAACTCGCGCGTAATCTTCATTTCCGGGTACAGCGTCCCGTCTCGGCCTCGGTAGAGGGGTCCTTGCGTGTCCGAGAGCACGATTCTCGGGTCACCGTCACCCGCGGAACGGCGCAGCGGCTCGACCGACTTCTGCCAGTTTTGCTTCGTCGAGGAGGTGCGCGGCGGGAACTTGGTCGACTCGGCCGACTCCCGTGTGCGACTGGAGGCACCGTCAGTAGCGGGGCTTGCCCTGCGGCTGCCAGCGGGAGACTGCGCGCTGCTGTTGAGCTCCTGGAGGCTCGCGGTTCCGTGAATGCTCGGGGCAGAAGGTGTCAGTCCCGTCCGCGCGGACTGAGTCGGCAGCTGTGGAGGGAGCGCCTTGGTGGAGTCAGCCGGGAGAGACACTGGCGAAGGCGACGAGGATGCGGGGGACGCAGGTGAGACAAAAGTGTCGGTGGCGGCAGGTGCAGACTTGACGTCTTCCTTGTGGTACTCGGGAGTGGGCGGTCGCAGGGCGGCCAGCCTGGGGCCATTCTGGTCCCTCTTAGAGGCGCCATTCGCGGCATCCTTGTCGGGCGAGGAGGAGCTGGGCTTGCGAAGTCGGTGCTGCTGCTTCTGAAGAGAGCCCTTGATGCGGTTAAGCTTGGACTCCCCGTTGCCCATGGCTTGAGATGCGGCTACCTGGTCGTGGTGCTGGGTCTGCTGGGTGTCTTGGGTCTGCTGCTTGTGCAGCTTGGCCGCAGGCCGCACGTTCCGGCCAGGCAAACCGATGACGGCAGAGGGCCGCGGCGGTGAGACGCGTGAGGGCGATGACGAGGGAGAAGTGACGGCCCGAATGGTGTCCTGAGAGGACTTGGGCTGCTCACCAGGCCCGGAGCCTGCCGAGGACGTGTCGACTGCAGGAGGAGGCTGGGGGAGGGGAGCCGTCGCGGCAGTCGAGCCGTGGCTGTGATCGAGCTTAAGCCCAGGAAGCTCGCGGCTGGCTTCGCTCTTGTGGGGGCGGCGGCGCCAGAGCTCGGTCCGAGGCGGCGAGGGCGTCGGGAGGTCCGACGACGCCGGCTGCGGTGGCTTGGATGCCGCCGAGTTGGGAGTGGTAGCAGCGGCGGCAGAAGAAGAAGGAAAGGCGTTGGGCGACGGTGGTGGGCGTTGCGGCAATGCTTTTTCGTCCTTGGACGGCGGAGGAGGCGGAGGAAGGACTCGGTCGCGCTGGGGGGAGTGCTGGCGGGCGGCAGTGGCTACCGAGCCACCAGCAGCTGCAAGTCCAGTGCTGCCGGGGGCGCCGTTGGTGCTGGTGCTGGTGCCGGTGCTGGTGCTGCCACTGCCGTTGCCACGGTTGGTGCCGCTGCTGGTACCGTTGCCACTGCCGTGGCCGATGCTCGCAGGCTGCTTGACAATGCTTGCGTCAGTGCCGCTGCCGGCAGCGCCGCCCACCTGCACGGCAGCGCCAATGCCGTTGGCTTGGGCACGGTCGCTTTTGCTTTTGTTGCTGCTGCTGCTGCTTGTGGCGGCGGCGGCGGCGGCGGCGGCGCTGGGGCCAGTCACGGGCGTTTCAGCTGCTGCGGACATCCCTGCGCGCCCGGGCGGCGCTGGGAACTGGAACCCACTGCCGGGCGGTGACGTGGGCACAGCAGCGGGCCAGGCTCCCGGCACCTTGGATTCATGCGGGCCGCCGTTGGCGTTGGCAGCAGTGTTGCTCCCCGCGGGAGGCTGCAGCAGTTCCGGCTCCCGCGAATACGCCGATAACAGGCTCGAGATGGAGTCGGTGGGCGAGGGCTGCGCCGGGTCCAGAGGCGACGCGGCCGTGGGGTGCAGACCGCTGCTGCTGTTGCCGTGGCCGTTGCCGTTACCGCCACCGCTGGCGTTGTTGCCGTTGCCGTTGGTGTAGCCGTTGGCGTTGCTGCTGGTTGTGCCGGCGGTCGTATTCGTCGTGCTCGTGCTCGTCCTGGCCACGGTGACGGTGCTGGCGCTCGCGTTGCTGGTGGTGCGCGCGCTGGTGCGAGTGGTGCTGATGCTGCTGGTGCTCGCCTTGGGCGTCACCTTCTTTGTGCCGGCGCCGGGGCCACCGCTGCCGACAGGTCGCCTGGGGATCGCCATGGCGGTCGCTGGCGGCGAGGTGGTGTGCGACGACAACGACGACGACGGGGTGCCGGGGCTCGTGTTGCTGGCGGTCGGACTTCGCAACACGCGGGCGGCGGCCTTTGGGGGCGGCGCGGGGGGCAGGCTCGAGGCGCTCGGCGACGAGCTGACGGGCTTTCTCGCGATGACGCTCTTTGTGCTCTTGATGGTCTTTATGCTCCTTGCGTCATCGTCGTCGCGGTGTTCGTTGGTGTCGGAGGGCGGCGGCGGAGGGGCCGGGGGCAGGTCTGGGAGGTCCTTGGGGAGCGGTCGCGGGGCGGCGAAGTCGCGGAGCGGGAGATTGAGAGGGACGGAAGGCAATGCCTTTGAGAAGCGCGAGCGGCCGGTTATTGTAGTAGACGGCGCCTGGAGGGATGAACCCGAGCCCGCGGCGTTGTGTCGTTGATGGAGCATGCTGGATGGAGGGTCCCGGTGTGGCGCCCTGGCGCTCCTGGCAGACTCACACGCAAACGGACGAGCCGGACGGGGGGTAGCGCAGCGCAACGCAGCGCGCAGCGCTCAGACAGGCCGCTACCAGCGACGGGCCTGGCCTGGCCTGATGGTTCGACTGTCTGCCTGCCTGTCCCTGCAGTCGAGAAGCGAATGTGAGGCGAAGCGACAGGACGAAACGGCGCGACCCCGGCGGTGAGGGAAACTGCTACCGTCTGAGGCAGCCCGTTTTGTCGCTGGGTTTTTGCCGGAGGAGAGGGGGCGGCGGAGGAGGAAAGGATGGATGGATGGGTTCCAGATTGAGTTGAGGAAGAGGGAGGGCGGGGGCAGCAGCCGAGGAGTAGTAACTTGGGTAGCGCTTGGTATGAGGATCAGGAGGGCAGCGACCCCGTGGCGTGTCGTGTGTCTTGGTGGATGGGCTGCGGGCTGCGCTGCTACTGCTGCTACTCTACAGCAAGGCGGCGCCCGGAGCGGTAGGTAAGTTTAGGCACAGCACGTCCAGAGTACGCGCCCTGCGAATGCGCTCGTACTCGTACGTATGTGCCTCGTCCTCGAACGGCGTACGTGTACAGACACGATGGCGCGAGGATCACCGGCTGGCCGACGGGATTGACGAGACGAGACGACAGCGGCGGCGGCGGAGCAAGCAAAAAAGACGATCATGAGTCTGGGCATCCCGGCAAAAGAGACGCATGCATGACGCGCCCTCGATTACGGACTACAGCAGTGGGCATGAACACGACACGACACGCGCGATGGGGGGGTCCATTCGATGCTGCGGATGGGACGGGACGGGACTGGAATACGACCGGGATGGGCGTCGTGCGGCGACGAATTGGCGATGCAAGTGGCTGACGATGACGGAGTGCGGACGGGGGGGTTGGTCGTGTTGCCATGTTTTAGGAGCACGACTCCGAGACAGCCCCTGTCCGTTCCTCTGTGGCTCGCTCGCTCGTGAGTGTGAGTGTTTGTGTGTGTTCCCTCTCCTCATCCAAATTTTTCCTTGTTCCTGCTCTCCGACCAGCTCCTCTCCTCCATGCCTGTCTGCCAAGTTTTCAGTGACGGGGGGCCGGGGGGCGGGCGCGCGTCAGAAGTGGGCGCGGCGGATGCGGCGCACACTCCTGGCTCATTTTCAGTAGTGTAGCCTGCCAATACCAAATGCCAATGCCATGAACGCCTTGCCTGCCTGGCAAGCCTGGCAAGCCTGGCATTGTGCTGCGTGGCTGAAGAACAAGACACCCCCCCAGGGCGGTCCTGGATTCCACCCAGGGGGACGCGTCTTAACCGTCCTCGGCATGGCAGCATCGGCGGGTGAGACACCGGTGGTGCCCGATGAAGATGGGGCAGTGGGCGGCTCCAAATTTGCCAACTGAAGTACGTAGCTGCTGCTGCTGCTGCTCTTTTTTTCTTTGGTTCTTGGGCCGTGATCTCGATCATGATTACTGACGACGGGATTATCCATGTTGAAACGGTGCTTCTTCGAGGCACCAAGGGCAAGGGACCACCATGTGATGAAGAATCCTTTTCCTTCTTCTTTTTGCAAGATCAAACGGCCATGCTTGCAACAATGGCCTCACTCTCCCACTGTCCCTCCCTCTGTCTCCCCCTTGTGCTGACCCATCTCCACACCGCTGCAGCGGGAAGCTCGGTGCCTGGTGATCGCCATCGCCTCGCCCCCCAAGAGGAACAAGGTTCCGTAGCGTGTCCCGTCTCCAGCTTGGCAGGGGCTGCTGGGTGGCAGTCGCAGTCAAGGCAGTGGAGGGAGTTATCGGGGGGAACGCGTTTTCCCTCCTCCACCGGGCTCGTACGCTGGAACTAATTATATCTCCCCTGCCTTCATGCTGTACTGTACATACTACCTACGTAGCCATCCGCCTCCGGCGACGCACAGAGCCGATCGAGCCGCACGGCCATGACTCTGCCCCCCTCTCCCGTCACCGGTTCCCCAAGAATCGGCCCATATCGCGCGCGCGCGCGCACGAGACTCAGGTGCGCCGCCAACAAAGGGCGCGGCCAGGCCTGACGGGAAAGAAAGAAAAAAGGCCGGTTGGTGGCTGATGAGGGGGGGAGCCCGCGAACGTGTCTCAGGTCCCCAGGTGCCCTAAGTTAGTATCGCCGGAAGCGTCCAGCAGGCCCTCGGGTCCTCCCCCAAACCCGTCCCCCCCCAGAATCTGAACCCCTCGGGAAAAGAAAGAAAGAGGTCGCGCCAGCCGTGGCGCAGGTTGCGCGCGCATTCCAGCGGGTGTGCCGGGCGCGCGCGCCTGGCCGGCCGCATGCGAGCAGTCGCGCGAGGACACATGCGGTCGCGTTGGAGGGACAAACGGCGCGAGGCAAGGGACTCGGACCCTGCAGGTGCGCAAGCCAGCGAGCCAGAGCACCACGCGGAGCGTTGACTCGCACGGCAGTGCTGCAAGTACTGCAATTACTCGGGTACTGTACAGTACTGTACAGGGCGGAGCAATACTGCCCGTACTGGGCAGCCGGTTTGTAAGCGGCGAGTGCCGTGCGACCCCCGGCCTTTGTAAGGTTGACAGACCCGAGGCTCACACCAGCGGCTCCATTGGCAGGGCAGAGTAAATGGCGCGTATGCCTCGCATTCGCTTCCCCGTTTCCAGGTTTATGTCATGCCTCGACCGGCCCTCCCATCTTCGACATGTCAACACAGGCATCCGTCGTCACGGTCGGCGTGCCTCGACATGTGCAACCACCGAAGCATGTCCTGGCCCTGACGGTACCTACACGGCCGGCGCCGCCGGGTCGGGTCGGGCGCCCGGGGGGGGGGGGCTGCTTCTGACGCCGCACCCCCACTATTTTCATGTCAGGAACACCCGCCGCCGCCGCCGAAGCGCCCGCTGCGCCATGCAATGCGCGGCAGGAGCTTGTGTGCAGCCGGCAACGCTCACGCTTCCGGCAGGGGAGCGTTCGATCTGGCGTTGCACCAACAAAAAAAAACCGCTCCTGCAGAAGAAGTGTGCCTCCGCGCCTGCATTCAACGTCTTGATCTGATTGTGCATCATCTCTCGGCGGGGCATGGCGGGCATGAGAGTCTTTCGGCACTCCCGGTTTCGAGGCGCAGATCGCGCACCGCTTTTGCTCCTCCTTACCGCGGTCTGATGTACTATGTAAAGGGTTGGACGGCGGCGCATCACGTCACACGTCTGATCTGCCGGGCCGCCGCATGTTGACGCATATTTTATGCCCATGCCTTATTACTTTGCTGCAGTCTACGCATTGCCCGGCGTGCGTAGACGTCTATCAAAGTCCGTGGAGCCTCGGCAACCGCATCTCAACCCCAGGCAATCTCCGAAAACCGCCTTCGCGCCCCGACTCCGCCCATGGTCCGTATTCCGGAGTAACTGCAGGCTCGGCATTCATGCACGCAAGCAACGTAATAAGACAGCCACGCCCGATAGCAAGGCCAATGCTGTACACACAAGTATCGGCGGTCGTATTCGTGGGATGGCGGCGCCGACAGCAAACAATGGGCAACAGCGGACAATGGGGACAGAGGCAGAGGCGGGCCGGGCTGGAAAAGCCCCTCCCGGCGGGTGTGCCTCGCAGCCATGCGGGGAAAACGCCCGCCCGTCCGCCCGCCACCCCGGGGAGGGCCGCCCCAGACGGAGATTGTGCGGAATTGCTTGCAGGCGACCCCGCGTGGCCGCCCGCGCCTTTTGTGTAACGACACCAAGGCGATAACTTCGTGGGGTTCATGAACTGGTGGAGGTTCCATGTCTTGCACAGTCCGACGCAATTAACGTGTCAGTCCGGATCACCACTGTAGCCACGAGGCTCTGCGATTCCCGGCTTCTGTTATCAGCATGTCCGGCGCCGCCGCCCGTCTCGCCCCGGACGCCCTGCCCGCGACCGTGATCCCCGCCCCCACGGAGACGTCGCCTCTGCTCGGGCACGGCCACCTGCCGAATGGCAATGGCGATGCCGTCGACAATGATGGCCAAGTCGAGGCCGGCGACGGTGCCAATGGCCCGCCCAAGGATCCTCCCCGGGACGGGAACCCCGCCATGGCCAAGAAGATGCACCTCTTTCTCCCCGCCGTTGGGATAGGGGTAGGCACATTCCTCTTCCCCGTCCGCTCCCTACGTATCATAGCTCTGCGCAAGTCTGCTGACTCGAGTCATTGTCACTTATAGCTCTTCCTCGTCGCCATCGACCAGCTCCTCACCGTGGCCACCTACGCCAAGATTGGCAATGAGCTCAACTCCCTCAACAACATCAGCTGGATCGCCACGTCGTGAGCCCCCCCCCGGGCCTGCCTGCTCCTCCCCGCCGTGATAAGCCTCAGCCGCCCCCGCTCACATTGAACTCTTCCGATCCAGGTACTTCCTCACCCTCACCAGCTTCCAGCCCCTGTACGGCAAGCTCAGCGACATCTTTGGCCGCAAGGAGTGCCTCCTCTTCGCCTATGCCGTCTTCGCCGTCGGCTGCGTCGGCTGCGGCCTCGCCCGGGACATGGTCCAGCTGTGCGTCTCGCGCGCCGTGGCCGGCATCGGCGGCGGGGGCATGAACGCCGTCGTCTCCATCCTCCTCTCCGACATTGTGCCCCTGAGAGAGCGCGGCATCTGGCAGGGCTATCTGAACATCATCTTTGCTGCTGGTACATCCACCGGGGCGCCTCTCGGTGGCTTCTTGGCGGATTCTATTGGCTGGCGCTGGTGAGTTTCATTCATCTCCTTACTAGCAACGTCGTCGGCGGTGATCAGATGAATGATCCTGTTTGTCCTGTGCTTGAATCGGAGCTGTTCTTCCGCCTAGCCAGCCAGTTTGGACAACAGGCTCATGCTAATGACCTCCATAGGTCCTTCCTCGCCCAAGCACCCCTCTGCACCATCGCCTGGCTGGCCGTCTACTTCGTCCTCGACGTCCCGCGTCCCGACCAATCCCACTGGCTCCAAAAGATCCGCAAAGTCGACTTCCTCGGCGCCCTCGTCCTCGTCCTCGCCGTCGTCGCCCTCCTCGTCGGCCTCGACTCCGGCTCCAACCTCGGCTGGTCGCACCTCATCACCGTCCTCTCCCTCGCCCTCGCGCCCCTCCTCTTCGCCCTCTTCGTCCTCATCGAGGTCCGCTTCGCCACGCACCCCTTCGCCCCCGGCCACATCATCTTTGACAGGGGCCTCATCGCCTGCTACCTTGCCAACTTCTTCGGCATGGCCGGCCAGTTCGGCCTCCTCTTCTTCCTGCCGCTGTACTTCCAGGCCGTCGAGTCGTATAGCGCGACCGTCAGTGGCTCGCTCCTCGTGCCGGCCATGGTCGCTGGCGTGTTGGCCTCCATCGGGGGCGGTTGGGTGATTAAGCGGACGGGCAAGTTCTATGCCATCACGATTGCTGGCTATGGCCTGCAGGCGCTCGGTATCTTGCCTCTCGCGGTCGCGCTTTGGTACAAGGCGACTGTTGGCGAAGTCACCTCTCTGATGATGAGCGCCTTTGGCAGCGGCTCAGGTACGGCCAGGCCCTGCAATCTCATGTGTCCTGTATGAGACTCGCTAACGCTCGCAGGCATCACCACAACCCTCATAGGCCTCCTCGCCAACGCCTCCACAGAGGACACGGCCGTCGTCGTCGCCTGCTCCTACTTGTTCCGCTCGCTCGGCTCCAGCATCGGCATATCCATCAGCTCGGCGGTCCTGCAGCAGGTTTTGCGGACCCAGCTGGCAGCCCGGCTGCCCAACGGCGACGAGGCGCGCCGTATTGAAGAGCATGTTCGCCAAAATATTGACTACATTCGTGACCTGCCCCCGCGGATTGCAGAGCAAGTCCGCAGCAGCTACCAGATTGCCACTCTGGGGGCCTTTGTTCCGACCCTTGTCTTCTCCAGTGTCGCCTTCTTGGTGACGTTCTGGGTGAGGGAGAAGTCACTCAAGAGATGACACATCCATTTCAGTGGTGGAATACTCGAGTCGTTTCATCATCTATCATTGACAGTGGGCCAGTAATGTACACGGCCCAATGATGCACATCGCTTACGCCTTGTATGTGAAGCCGACATGTGATATACCTTCGCTCGCCCGCCCGTATACGTGACCTAATAATTCCAAGTTTCCGTTTATGAATGTCCTTGAGGCCTCTCCAGCGGCTCCAAGCCGAATATATTATCCGGCTTTCGTGAACCATTGCTTTCGGACTCTGTATTGCCTTCGCCAAACAAGAACGCATTGCGCTCGCGGCTGGCATTGTTGGACGACCTTTTCTTGTGCTGAAGTTGCGGAGATCTGCCTGCTGCTGGGATGGCCCGAGCTGGCACAGACTCATCTGGTTCCAACATCCATGAAAAGGACGACTGAGCAAGCGTCGAGCGTGTCGGAATAGCTGCCGGTCGTGTAAGTGCTGCTACTTTGCTGATAGGCTCTGGCTTGGCAGCAAGAGATCCTTCTGGAACAGAAGATTCCGAAGCTTCGTCCTCCGGCAGCTGCGTCGTGCTGCCCTGCGCCGCGTTTGAGTCTGTCGCATCGTGAGCCTTCTGTGGTCCTGGCGTGGACTCGGTGCTCCCTGGCTCGGCATCAATCTCGGACTCTGACGTCTGCAGGGCAGGTCCAGTAGTCTTTGGTTGCGCAGCATCGTCCTGTGCTTCCGGTTCCTTGGCTGTCCCGGCGTTGAAGCTAGGAACCTCCATGGATGGATCTTCTAGGTATACCTGAACGAACTGAATCTTAGCAGCCACGACCTCGAGCAGCTCTTGGCTCTTGTCTTTGGCCTCCACGCCCGACAGTGACATAGCCTTGAGATCAGTCACAGCCTCGTTCAGAAGGTTTGCCAGCTGTTTGTTCCTCCCCTCCATGGCAGCAAGGGCCTTGGCGGCGCCATGCTCGCTAAGAACCTGCCGTGGCGTGCGTTGGACTTGCCGTGACTCGTTAAAACTCTGCACGTTGCGCCGAATTTCTACCATTGCATCTCTGACGGCCTGGTTGATACCGAGCTTCTCGCCTCGCTCCAGCACCCCTTTGGCGCCTTTTGCGGCACCTTGAAACAGGGACTCAACCCCTCCCTGTTGTTGAATGAATCTGGACGGCGACGGCAGTGAGGGTCTTGAACTGGGCCTTCTCTGGCCAGCGAAGCCCGGCCTCTGAGAATTGGCTGTGCTCATCGGTGGCCGCAGTGATTTCTCAGAGAGATCTGGCACTCGTCCCGTGTATTTTTGTATCAAAACAGCTCCTCCCGCCGCTGTCATGTGTTTGCGAAGATACACAGCATCGTCCACAAACGTGTGTGGCCCATGCGGCTGTTCGGGTGGGGGGTACTTTAACAGAAGCTGAAGGCAAACTGAATAATCGGCCTCCAATACTGGCGTTTGTTAGTCGCCGAAAGCCACAGAAGGGAACTGGTTCTTACATTGCCATCGAATTCGGACGAGCATAGCACAGCAGATGAGATCTATCAGGTCGAGGGATGGATCTATGGCGAACAGGGTGTCCCACAAAACGAGGAACTGGTCAAAGGGAAACTCTCTGCTGAAGAGCAGTCGAATCCATCGGCTGGATGACCTGTCAGATATCGCAGGAAGATTGCCGCGACCGATCAAGGCAACGAGAACTCACATAAGAAATATTTGAGGAAGGATTTCTATGTTTTGCAGATGATTGGCAAGCTCTTGATCAACCTTTTGCAGGCAAACCTCGTGGATGTGTTTGCTCCGTTCGACAATGGCAGATCGCTGCTCCACGTAACCATTCTTCGATGCGCCCGTTGCAGAATCTGGTGCATCCTTGACCTCGTAGAACGCCTGCGCGCTCTCCATGAGGCGCGAAAACAGAGTGTATGCGTCATGCTCCACAAAGGCGGCGTCGAGAAGGTCAAGCATTTCCTCATCGGAAGTCTCTGGGGTGATGGCAGATCGACTGACGGCATCCTGTTGAACGACGTGAACAATTGGCGCCAGCAACTCGTGCATTCCCTGACGGTAGCCACCCCGATCTGGATTGACTTTGCAGTAGACAAAGAGGATGTCTAGAATCATGGACTGCATCCTATCATGGTGATAGTCGGCGTCGTCGGGAAGACGCTGGACATCTTGACGGATCTCTGACCGGATTATCTCGTCTTGGCGCACAGTATTCCAAGGCGACTGCGACCATTCATCAGCAAACTGAGCCGCTGCCAAGGTAAAGAGAGGCGATGACGGCTCACATCGGGATCATCAGCCAAGGGATCGATGCTGAGTTCGGCCAGTGCCTCGGGGTGCTCAATGAAGCGCAGCAGATGCGCCCTACGATCAGCATAGTCCGTCCTACCCTCCTGGACAACCGTTTTCCAAGCCGCGGGTGTTTCATCGTCGCCTGATAATAATAAGATCTGTGACCGTGCGAGTGAATTGTCAGCAGGCGCGATGCAGGCGTTGTGTCTCCGCCCAGGGCATGCGGCCACAAACCTTCCAGCATACCGAGCGACAGCCAGACAGACACGGGCTCGACGGGCCGTTGTTCCTGACAGCGCGCTGCAGGCCGGCGGTGTCGCCGCTGAGGCTTGCCGTAGCTTGCCATCTTGCTCTAGAAAGTCGGGACGTGAGCATGAGTCCACGACTCCGGCGCGGCCTCGCCGGTTCCAATTCGTGGGGTGGCCTAGACTCGGTCTCAGACTCACCGGGATTCCTCAAGGGACCGCATGCTGGCCGGGTGCGAGCCCACTGCCCGCCTGAGGGAGAGGGATGAGGTGCAGTTGAGATGCAGGCTGCATATACGGCGTCACGGCGTCACGGCGTGCGAGGGCCAAGGTAAGGTAGGGTAGGGGAGGAACAGCAGCAACGGGCTGTCAGTCGCGGAGCGGGAACAAGGGACGCACGTCATGGTGGTGGTGGGCTGCGCCTGCCGGGGGAAGGCCCAGCGACAGTGGGAGCCATGGCAGTGGAGGCTGTCTTGGCCCCGCCCCGCCTATCAGACGATGATTCCTCCACCAACTGCTCCCAGCACTGGGCTGCACCAAGTGAATGCCTGCCCGCCTGCAGCCATCTCACTCCAGCAACTCGCCCCTGCGTGGACTGTGGCTCCTCACCTATCCTCAACCTCAACCTCAACCTCCCGTGCTGCCACTCACCACCGAACCGCTCGCTACCACTGCCGCCGCCGCTCACGCTCATGTTCGCATTCCCCTGACACGTCGGCGGCCGTACTTGCCAGAGGCGAAAGAAAGGATGTCGGCAGACCTCTTTGCCGAGTTCAACAGCCTCGCGCAGTCTTCGCCTCCGGCCTCGCAACAGCGTTCGCCGAGCAGTGAAGATCAGCCTTTAACCTCGCAGGCCCAGCCTCAGGACCCCTTCGCCGGCGCTGGCGCCGCGCCGGCTAGTGAACCCCCGCTGTTTACGTCTCATCCCCCTACACAGCAATGGCCGTCGTCCGGGTCTCAGGCATTTGGCCCCAGCATCTGGGGCTCCGCCAACCAACCGGCACAACCGGCGCATGGAGAACGTGGCCAAGGTCAGGATGAGGATGAAGACGGATGGGGGGATTTCGAGGTCGCAGCCCCGACAGCGGCACAGGCCTCATCAGAATACCCCGAGGCCCAGAATTCCACCTCGAGAGCGCAAGGGGCTACGCCAGTCCCGAGAATGGTACGGGTGCCCACCATCGACCTCATGACAAACAAGTTGGTCGATGTTGGGCCGTCATTTCACTTAAGCCAGGGAACCTCTGGCTCACAAATTCAACCCAGACCGCCTCGAGCCGTGTCGGACCCCAGCGATCCAAACGTACTTTTTGACGTTGATGACTTCGAGCTCCAAGGGGGGGAAGGCGACGCGGAGGACGGCGATGGTGATGACTTCGGCGACTTTGAGACGAGTACCCAGCCCCCGCCGCAGCCAAGACCGCCGCCGGTTCCAACTTCTGCTATCTCTGCATCCATGGATCTTCTCGGGCTCGACGACTTGCCGCAATCGAACACGACAGGGGCCACCCACAAACAGCCCCCTAGTAAATCACCAGGACCATTGAGCTTTGGGGCTTCAACGTCCACTCGGACCACTGCACCAAAGTCTCCGTCCTTTCAAGACAGGAATCCGTTCCCTGATCTCACAGTCAAGACTTCATCAGCGGCGAGGGCCCGCAGTAATGATCAGCCCGACTCAGCCGTCACACCCTGGCCTACAGCTGGACGTGCAGCCAGCAAAGCACCAGCAGCAAAGTCAAAGGAGGACGACGACGAATGGGCAGCATGGGACGACATGCCCGCGCCATCTCCCGACGCCGGGAACGGCGTTCACAGCTCAGACCTTGCTGATAATTGGCAATGGGGAGCCGACGAGGCGACCGGTCCTTCATCAGTGGCTCAGAACGACTCGACTCCGCCTCCGATCAACGTGCCTCCGCCGTCTGTCATTCTCTCGGCATTCCCCGACCTGTTCCGCTCGGGAGATTCGCTTTTCAAGCCTATCGGTCAAAGCACCAAGATAAAGCAAGAGGTCTTGTCGAACCCAAGAGCTGTACAGTTTCTGCAAGGATACGTTGCCCTTGGTGCGACTGCTGCGAGGGTGATGGCAGGTCGGAAGCACAGGTGGCACCGAGACAAGATCCTGGCCAAAAGCATGTCAATTTCAGCCGCGGGTAGCAAGGGCATGAAGCTCGCAGGTATCGACAAGACCCAATCAGCGCGAGAGGATCGCGAGGCGGCCGATGTTGTCGCCGCCTGGCGCGAACACGTCGGGCGACTACGGTCAGCCGTCGCCACGGCAAACTCGAGCGGCAAGGCAAGCTTGAAGGTGCCCGAGTTGAGCGAGACCATGCAGGTCCAGACGGCCAAGGTGGTACCGACGGCGCCCAAGCCTTGCATCATCTGTGGCCTCAAGAGAGAGGAGAGGGTGACAAAGGTGGACTTTGACGTCGAGGACAGCTTCGGAGAATGGTGGGTAGAGCACTGGGGGCACCGGGCTTGCAAGAATTTCTGGGTCGAGCACGAGCAACGGCTGCGTCAACGGTGATGTTAGCTCCGCGCAGAAGCGACGGCAGCTCACCTTGGCCGCGGGGTCATTGTGTAACGCGGGCAGCTCATGTGCTGTGAGCTGTGAGACTTAGACGCAGCATCCCTCGACAAGACATGGACGCGGCTTGCGAAGAAACGCCTGGGGGTCAGAACTCCATAGTCGACAGGTTACGACCACTTTTGAATCACCGCTCGGATACTGCCTTGTTGACAAACCCTCGCAACAAGTCACCATGACGAATCCGAGGGCGCAAATACTGACGTGAAGCTCTATGCCAGAAGAGTTCTCTGTCAAGCAACGCATGGTTGCATCACGTCGATGTGGAACCTCATATGTCGAGTTTCACAGCATGAAGCGGCCGGCCTGCGGGCCAGGTATTGGGAGAGACGCGGGCGCCATCCAGAGGCAAATAACAGCTGCAGCTTGTGGCCCAATGCCAGACGCGATGTGTCGCGCAGCTGGTGGTTTTGGACCCTGTTTGCGTCCGCCTTGCCGACTCAACGCAAGGAGGATGATAAGCGGCGGGCTCGATTTGCGGGTAACACGGGAGTCACCGGCCAAGGCAGCATGTCTGTCTGCAGAGGCCTGCGTCCAGCTTGGAAACGGAAATGGAGTCGAGCGGGGCCGCGCGTCGGCTGGGCGGGACGAGGGTGATGACAAGAAAGCTGGACAGGCTCCTTGTGCTACGATGGCCAGATGAGCAGCCGTCTGGGGGTTACGTGGATGTACGGGATGAGATGTTTACCGCTCCAGGGGCGAGCAGGCGTGATCTGTATTTAAAGTGGTGCTGGGCTGCTCATGGCCTAGGTGAGCATACTTATAGGCAGTGCGAACACCAGGCAAGACCATGTCTACTCGACAAGTCGCAACACTCGCGTCACGACGGAGCTTTCTGGGAGCTCCCTGCGGGAGTCATGCGAGTGCTGTGGGTCCGTTCCTGCTCTTGTATCGACCGCGTCCTTCGTACCACCAGCAATCAATGAAGGATGGCAGTTGTTGTTTGACGCCACCACGCCGTGACCGGATTACCACACTCTGCATGTCCCGCATGATTGTTCGTGCGCAGTGCTTCGTATCGTCCCAATAGATCGAGTTCATGTAGACGAGAGGCCTGCTGGGACGACAGAGGGGTTCCCTGTTCGCTCTCAAAGCTGAGTGTGTGAGAGCCACGCTCGCCAAGCTGCCGTGACTTGCAAACGACGGTGGACGACCCCAAGACGGGGCGGGCCTGTGGCAGGGTGTGTCGAGCAAAACCATAATGATTGTCGAGGTAGCCCGAGCAGGGTGATGCGGTGTCGCATTCCAAGTGCGTACGAGGTAGGCAGTCCGTTCCTCCTCATCAGCGGCACAGGTTGGGGAGCGCGCCCGCTCTCGGCTGAAGCTTGGGACAGGGAAGGGAGATGTTGAAATACCGCGCAGGCTACGAAGTACTTACATAGTAATACAAGGAGGGATTTTGGCACACAAAAGCCGGGAGGCACGGCACAGCAAAAGTGACAAGAGGCATATTCTGCGCTGGTCTGGTCGGGATGGAGGCCGCAATAAATGCAGACTCACCTCATTGCAGACCCAAATTCCAATTCCCCTCATATCTTTGGTCAGCACCTTAGGCTCCAGAAGGTGCGGTGCGGCGCGGTGCGGTGCACCTAGTGAAGATGAGAGGCGTGTGGTGCAGTATGGTGGTCCATTGCAGCCTGGTGGATGGGAAACTGTCAAGGTTCCAACCCGTCCATGCCATTGATGAAGGTTGTGCTCGCTTGACGGCTGCTCCTGCACGGTGCCGTGGGCATCAAATCCATCCCTGCAGGCGGGGGCACGGCCGCCGCTCCTCCCTCAGGTACATACCGCAGCCGTCAGGGCCCTTTCCCTAGCTGTAGGTGCCCTCAGCCGTTCCTACCGGTTCCACCGAGTTAGTGCTGTACCGTACTTCGCGCTGCCTTCCCGGTGTTGTTGCTTGTACGGCAAGTCAGGCGTCTGTCGACCTGGGCATGGGCGCCTTCGACTCTGCCTGCACCTGCAGTCGGCGCGCGGCCGGCGGAGCGGGGGTGCCACGACAGGACAGAGCCGACCCCTACCGCCAAAACCTGGCCGTGCCAGACAATGCCCTGAAGAAGTGAACCTGGATGTGAGTCGAGGTGCGGGAGGTGGGTGCCGGGGCAGCGTGGAGGGGCCTTGCGGCACATTGCCTGCGCCGGAGCTAGGGCGGACGGCCAGCCCACCGCGGGCGGGCACCCTGTGGCAGACAGCATGAGGAAGGCAGGCAGTGGGTGCGGATGAGAGTACACTGCTGTACTTGGTGGCCGGTACCTTGGTCGACTTCAATGCCTGCGGTCTTGCTCTCCACTGTCGTCGCGACTGCCCAGCACGCGGTCCCGGGGCCTCAGTGGCCCACCAAAGGCCCTTCCTCGCCGGCTGGAAGCCCGAGGCCCCGTCGTGCGGCAGGTGCACCCACCGGCGCCCACTGACACCAATGTACAAGGCGGTACCTTCCTCGACCCCCCTCCGCCGCCCGCCGCCAACCACACCACGCCTCGACACACCACACCACTGCCCTCCACCACTGGCCCCAAAAGCTCTCTCTCTTTCTTTTCCTCCAACGCCTCTCTCTCCCACTCTCTTCCACCTCCCTCACCCGCTCTCCCGTCACCACCAAACACCGACACCACCACCCGTCACCGTCACCGTCACCCCCATCCGCGTCTCCCCTCGCCTTCTCATCCTCCTCCGCCCCCGTCAGCTTTCGACTCCCCGTCCGCCAACTCTCTCCCCTCCAGTCTCGTCCCCCGCTCTTCTCCGCCCCTCAAGCACACGGCGCTCGCGACGTCTGCTACCCAACGCTCGACTCGACCCCGCCATCGCCGCGCCACGACTGTCAATCGAGCCACGCGAAAAGTAGGACCGCGCGACAGCCCGTCACCGTCCAGCACTTCTCTGCCTGCCCTTTCCCGCCGCGCAGCAGCCCTCTCTCTTCCTCAAGTTGGCAGGTCAGTCGATACCCACCGTCCTTTTCTTTGCGCTTGCACCGCTCGACACCCGCCGCTGCAACTGCCAGCAAGCTATCCTGTTTGCTCGCCCTCGGCCACTGCACGCACGTGCGACAAGGGATTTGCAAGCAATGCAGGCCCGGCCGGCCGGCGTCGATGACGATGCCCGCCATGGTTCTCCCGCAAGCTTCTCCTGTGATGCTAACTTTGCCCTTCCCAGATAACCGTCGCGCCTCGCACGTTGTCTCGCTTGCCGTTCCTCAATCTCCAAAGAACCGCCCCTTCTCTCAGCTCCCCCAAGTCACCACTACCTCTTCCTACCGCAAAGATGTCCAACTCTCAGGAAGTCCTTTCCGCCAACGGAAACGATATCGTCGATTCCATGGATCAGCTCAAGATGGAGGAGCGCCTTGGCCCTGACGGGGAGCCCGCCCCTAAGACGGACGAGGAATACGCTCAGGCCCAACTGACGCTCCGCGCCATCGTCTCCTCCAAGGAGGCTGGTGTCATCATTGGAAAAGGCGGCAAGAACGTCGCTGACCTCCGTGACGAGACTGGTGTCAAAGCCGGTGTCAGCAAGGTCGTTCAGGGCGTCCATGATCGCGTCCTCACCATCACCGGTGAATGCGACGCCATCTCCAGAGCCTACGCCATCGTTGCCCGCGCTCTCCTCGAGGGTGCCCCTGCCATGGGCATGGGCGGCATCGTCCAAAGCAACGGCACTCATCGTGTGTCCCTCCCCATGTTCCCGTCTCCAGGCTCTTTTTGGCTAACGTCCTTCTCTTACAACAGCCATCAAGCTGCTCATCTCTCACAATCAGATGGGCACCATCATCGGCAGACAGGGGCTGAAGATCAAGCACATCCAGGACGTCTCCGGCGTCCGCATGGTGGCGCAGAAGGAGATGCTGCCGCAGTCCACTGAACGCATTGTCGAAGTTCAAGGCACCCCCGAGGGCATCCAGCGCGCGGTATGGGAGATTTGCAAATGCCTCGTCGATGACTGGCAGCGCGGCACCGGCACTGTTCTGTACAACCCTGTCGTCCGCACCCAACCCGGTGCGACTGGTGGCAGTATCGGCGGTGGCAGCTCTAGCTACGGCTCCGGCAGCCGCGACTATGGCAGCCCTCGCGTCATGCGGACGGGCAACGGCGCCGACTTCAGCAACGGCGGCGTGCGGCCCTTCAACCGCCGCTCCGACTCGGACGCGGCTTCTCGGGGCCCTCCCACTCACGACGAGAATGGCGAGGAGATACAGACTCAGAACATCAGCATTCCCGCAGACATGGTTGGCTGCATCATTGGCCGTGCCGGCAGCAAGATAAGCGAGATCCGCAAAACCTCTGGAGCTCGCATCTCGATTGCCAAGGTAAGACAAGTAACTTCATTGTGCCGTGTTGGTCCTGTTGCTGATGGCCGCTGATCCAGGCACCGCACGACGAAACTGGCGAGCGCATGTTCACCATTATGGGTACGGCCAAGGCGAATGAGTCGGCCCTGTTCCTCCTGTACGAGAACCTCGAGGCCGAGAAGATGCGACGCAGCCAGCTGCCGGAGGCAGAGTAGTCCGGCCCAGCCCGACACCCTGGGGCTCACTGGCCCGTTTTGTTGCGTTGCCTGCCGCGTTACGAATGAGGTGTACTTGGATCGGACTTGGGCCGGCTCATGACCTGCGAAACGAACCAGATCTGACTTGCCGCAAGGCTCCCGTACCTCCCCAAAGGAACAGGGACAGGACGATGCGATGGCCCAAAATTAGCGCCGCGGGTACTGCCACCCGCGGCCTGCTTCGATTTCTCCTTCTTTTCATTACCTTGTTGCCCTTATTTCGTTTTCTTATCGCTTTCCGACTCGACTCTGTTCTTTGGCTGGTGGTGAACAGTCATCCTTTACGACTCTGTCTTATCACGTCTCTTTCTGGCACGCCTCGCGCCATAATTTTTGCCGATATAAGGGAAGCCGATGCCGGACGGTGTGCGTGGACAGCGCCTTGCAGTGTTTTGCTGCGCCGCTACGCCTCTGGCTCGGATTTGCCCTTCGCGCCGCCGTTTTCAAACCAACCGCCCGCCCATGCTTTACCAACACGGAGCTCTGGTCACACGGCTCTCCATGCCTCGCCACTACGACGCCGAAACCCTCTCTGGCGGCCGGCGCGCACGACCCCTCGGCACCACGGAAAGGCAAGGCGCGTGCTCGGACGCGGTGGATCAGCGGCACCTGCGCTGACGACCGACGTCTCGTGGCATCGCCTTGCCAACCGTGCTCCATGATCAGTCTCTACTCGACCTCGTCTCACACTCCCTCACTTCACTCGGAGCACGCACGCACGCACGCACACACCCCCCCGACTATTCTCCGAGGCCTCAAACATCTACGTGTACGGTTATGGTGTGGGCATCGCAGGAGGATGCAGTCATGACTTGTGGACTACGTATCGTGTGCGGCCTCGAATCCCCCTCACCTCTTCACTGCTCACCGTCTCGACCCCGGATATCGCTCTTGACACTGGCGATGAGGAGTCTGGCTATACCCCACGGCATGATTGATGACATTGCTGACTTTGGGGGGCACGGGAACACCCAGGAAGGAGTGTATCTAGCCATACTTGAAAAATAAAAATAACGAATTGCCCCAATGGGAAGCAGGCCCTCGTGCTTGGTAGACGTGAAATGATTTAGTTTCACCACGGCGCTGTGCTGCACCAGCACCAGGCGTGCATCACCACCAACATCAGCCAACGAGGTACCCAGGCACCCAGGCACACGTTGAATTGAAGGGTCGGGTCCCTGGACCGCCGGTCGGTCCCCACGGTGGAGGCAGGGCAGGGGGATCGCACGGCGCGCCATGCCGAATGTGGCCGTGAGGCATGAAATAGTTCGGCTGGCCCCGCGGAACAGGCGCCGCTGGCGCAGGGTCCTGGCCAAGTGGCGCCCAGACGTCACAGTGCGGGTTAATGAAGCCAATCTGTCATTTAGCTCTTCAGCGATCACCGCCATTGAGTGACTGCCACTCCTCCTTTTGCTCCCGCATCTCAACCTTGACCTGGGCGGTGCAGTCGGCCACACTACAGCCCGTTCTCATCCGATCGCATGGCGTGAAAAATCACTCGCTTATCTTCTTCTCGTCTGAGTTGAACCCGCGCCTGTCGTTTTCCTCCTTCCTCCACCGCCCGACTTCCACCCATTTTACGCCGCATAACGAACGAAACGGGAGCCCCGAACGAGCGCAGAAAGAGAGATGGCGCGGACAAAACAACCGCCCGTGCGGCGCGAGTCGTCGTCCGAGTACTTTAACAAGCGGACCGCGTCGTGGGAGATGTCCGCCAACGGCGCGGAGAGCACGAAGCTCGCGAATGGGCAGTCGTCTCCCGCCGCTGCTGTCGCGCCGAGTCGAGCGCAGGCATCACCGCCAACGCCAGCGGCGGCCGTCGTTATCGCTACCAGGAGCGAGGCCGGCGTGCTGCAGCTGCTGTCTCTTATACACATCTAGATGTGTAGAAGAGACAGCCCCTCCCCCCTTCCCCGTCCAGACTTTGTGTTGCGCGAAGGGTGTGTCGCTGACGTTTTTTCGCTCTATCTCGCGCAGCTTGACGTGGGCGTACCTCCAGGAGAAGCTCACGACGACGCCGTACGGCCCCAGCGGCGAGAAGTGGCACTTCCCCGTCTTCCTCAACACGATCCAGTCCGTCTTCGCGGCGACCGTCGGGTGCGTGTACCTGCTCCTGTCGACGCCGCGCGGGGCCGCCCTCCCGCCCGTCATTCCGTCGCGCCGCATCCTCGGCCCGCTCGCCCTCGTCGCCGTCACGTCGAGCCTCGCCAGCCCGTTCGGCTACGCGAGCCTCGCGCACATCGACTACATCACCTTCCTGCTCGCCAAGAGCTGCAAGCTGCTGCCCGTCATGTTCCTCCACATCACGCTCTTCCGCAAGAGGTACCCGCTGTACAAGTACCTCGTTGTCGCGGCCGTCACGGCCGGCGTGGCCGTCTTTACGCTGCATTCGGGCCGCAAGCACAAGGCGTCGTCGGCGGCCAAGTCGGACGACTCCAACGTCGCGTGGGGGTTGCTGCTGCTGGGCATCAACCTGCTGTTTGACGGTCTCACGAATAGCACCCAGGACTACATCTTTCAGACGTTCCGCCCGTATAGCGGTCCGCAGATGATGTGCGCCAACAACATGATGAGCACGCTCGTCACGGGCCTGTACCTCCTCGCGAGCCCGTACCTCGTGTCGACGGGGCTGGGCGACTGGTTCGGCATGGACGTCGCGGGCAGTGCGGGCGAGCTCGGCGCCGCGCTCGACTTCATGCGGCGGTATCCCTCCGTGTGGAAGGACGTCCTCGGCTTCGCGGCGTGCGGCGCCGTCGGCCAAGTCTTTATCTGTGAGCATCCCCGTCCCCCTTCCTCAACCGCAGCACGACGGCCCAAAACCCGCGCGCTCCTCACCGCAACTCCTGCTAACGATGCGCGCTCCGCACGCACGCACAACAGTCTACACGCTCTCCACCTTCTCCTCCGTCCTGCTCGTCACCGTCACCGTCACCCGCAAGATGTTCACCATGATCCTCTCCGTCGTCGCCTTCGGCCACCGCCTCACCCACATGCAGTGGCTCGGCGTCGGGCTCGTCTTTGGCGGCATCGGCGTCGAGGCCGGCATCGCGCGCCAGGAGAAGATTGCCAAGGAGGCCGCCGCCGCCAAAGCCAAGGCCAATGCTGCAAAGAAGGACTCGTGAAGAATATGCGCGCCCCTGCTGTGGGGGGGGGGGCAGTCTTGCGCATTTGGGCGAAAGCGTGGCTGCTACATCGAGGGGGTCGGGATATATACAAGCTGGCAGGGAGGCCCCATGCGCTTCTTTTTTCGTTCGTACTAGACGGGGTGGAGTTGATAACGGCGTTCAAGGCGATACAGTAGAAGAATCCCCCAAGGTTTTCACTAAGAAGTGGTGGGAGGTAAGTGGCATTTGGCTGCATAGATTACAATGGCACCATTCAAAGACAGGAATCACGACTGTCAACACGATGCAAGACTCAGTCGAGTGTTTGGCTGTGTATATTTTCCCAAGTTGCGCCATACGCTGTGTCGTTTTCCCGTATTTATGCTCTGTCTGTCCTAAAGCCGCGGCACTTTTCTTCGCGCAGCCAGCGAGCGGCAAGGCCACTGCCGTGCCCCATCTCGGTCAATCCAACACCATGCTCCCCCTCTTGTGGCTACCCGGTGCGTACCTAGGTAGATAAGACAGAGATGCACCGACTGGAAGTTGATGACCGTCAAATCGCCACCACCGTAATGACGCTAATGCGGTAGAACAGATAACAGATGTATGCGCCCAAGATTGCGCGCCTCCCCATGCTCATTCCTCAAGCTCGAGCCCCTGCCCGCCCAGCACGGCGGCCAGTATCGACAGAGATTAGCGAGTGTCTCAAAAGACGGGAGCACAGCGCCGCATGACTCCATCGGTTCGGTATATACACAAATAAGAACGCCTGCAATGCTGTGCGTCAAGCCCGTGAGGCGCCACAGTTGCGCTCGCCGGCGCTCGTGCGACCCCTGCCCCTGGGTGCTGCACGTGACTTGGTTTCCAAAGCGAGGGTATCATCGAGATCCGTATAAGGCCCCCCCTTCCAATTAGATCATCGTCGTTAAATATAGTAGATCCATGTCGGTTCGTGTCGTGAGACCATCATAGCACGTCGTCAATGGAACGAACTATCGGCGTCTCCCCTTTGGTTGGCGGGCTTCGAGGATCGGCAACCTGAGGTGGGCGGCCAAAGGATGCAATCCTTCCGAAGAAGGAGAAGGGGTCCCGCGCAAATATTGACTGTCGAGGAGAGAACAGACCTCCAGTCGGCGTCGGTGGCGCCTCGGCAAAGCGCAACCCGGCCATTTGGGTTCCACCATGGAACGGGTTTTCGGTCATGGTTTCGGCTCGCGGGGACATGAGGGCATCTTCATCGGGGCCGGCCGGTCGTATTGTCACTGTCTGCTCCATGAGGGTGGCATCTTTCGATGCATTGCTTTCGGGTCGAGCCAGAGGCGAATCTGGCGACCGCGGCGAAGCATCCGCCGAGATGCTGGTTGGGATTGTCCACGACCTTTCAGCCGTCGGAGCGCTAGATTCTGGTGTTTCGCAACCAAACTTTGCTCGCCCGGCAGTCTCTTCAGTATCGGGCTTGGGTAGCTGAGGCGGCTTCTCGTCCACTTGCTCCCTCCATGAGAAAGTCAAGGGTGCAGACGCAGGTCCAGGCGACACAGACGGAACTCCTGGCGTCGAGCTGCCCCTAGGACGTGTCGGGCTCTGGGCAGAGCCCGTGTCGCCGACTTTGCCGTCCTCTCCTGGGAGAGGCGCGCTCTGGGGCTCCTTTGGCGCCATGTCAATTGCGTCGGCGGAAAGCGTCAACCTGTGCTTTGTCGGGCTCCGACCCGTCCGTGGGCGGTATGCAGAATTCGGGGGCAGGCGCTTCTTGGACAGCTCCTTGTGGAAGTCCTGCAGAGAGTACATGAGCTTCATGTTGGGGCTGATCCATCGGCTCTTCCCCTGCGCCGCATAGTAGGCGTCGTTGACGGTCAGTTCAGGCTTTTGGTACAGCCCGTACGCTATGATCAAGCTGGCCGAGCGACTGGCCCCCTGCTGGCAATGCACGAGCACTTTCTTGCCCTGCTTAGTGCGATTCTCTATCGTTTCGCAGAGCCGCATCAGGTCTGGGGCAATGTCTGTGTTGTGGTCCCAAGGAATGTGAATGTACTCGGGGTCCTTGAGCGGATTCGCCTTTGGTGTCGTGGGCGTCTCCATCGGCTTGTCGTCACTCGGCGGGAACTCAAAGGCAGTTGCGTAGCTGGCGTTGGTGACGGCAGTATCCGGGACTGGGCTTTCGTCCAGCGGTGTTGGCGGTGCATGCGTTCCATCCAAAGCAGAGCTTGGGTTGAAGTAGGGTTTCGGGAGTCGGTCGAAGGGATTCTTGACTTCTCGAGCCACGTTTATCACCACATCGAACCGTGAAGCCTCCTCGGCTGTCGGCTCCAGGTACAGATAAACATTGTCGCCGTATATGGCGATTGGACCCTCCGGGTAGCCTGGTGATTTCTGGTCCTCATTGTTGAGGCTCTCGTGGTACGGCTCGAACTCGGTGCGCTTGGCAAGCTGCGTCTTGATGGGCGAATCCTCCTCGGCAATGGTTGTTTCGAACTCGGTGTTCATGCTCGTCTTCATGGGACGCAAGACCTCGGACAGTCCGGATTGGTTGCGCTCCAGTACCCTGGGAAATGTCATGCCACCCGGAGGGCCGAACGTTGAGGACTTGAGACCGCTAAGCATGTGAGGGGATGACGTCGAGTGCTTCAAAGCCCGTCGCTGCAGGATTGGTGGCATTCCTGGAGATGCCGGCACCTCCAGTGACGCTTTAACCAACAGATCAGAAGTGCCTGTCTTGAGGCTGAGTTGGCTCGGCTTCCGTTTCATGGCAGGGATAGTTGGCTTGATGAATGACGGTGAGGATGGCTCTGTGGCGAAAGACTTGGGGGTCGTCGTCGTAACGGCAGCCGGGGGCTGTATTGACAAGCCCTTCATGTTGCGGGGCCGACGCGGCGCCGGGGAAGTCATTGGCCGCTCAAGCGTCCCGGCTTCCGGAATACTGAGCATCGTTGCCTGGCCGGATCGACATCCAAACATGGCCGAAGGATAGTTGTTCAGCGGTATTAGGTTGATGGGAGAGTCGGGCGACGAGGACGGTGACGGGTCTGAGAGGGGAGAAGAGTCGGTGGTCGAGAGGGTCGTCGTCGGAGACGAGTCCGTGGACTCGGACATTTGTGTCGAGGTGCTGTCATGGTGCTTGTGAATGGCGTCGGATGGCATCGAGCCAGTGGTCAAGTCTGGCTGAGAGGATGGGTTCGCAAGAACAGGCGCCTTGGATTCCACCGTGACCATTTTCGGGTCGACGAGGGTCACGGTGTCGCGGTCGGCCATGGTCTCGGCGTCGAGGTCAAAGACTGACATGAACGACGGTATTTGATCCTCGTACATGCGCCGGGCCGCGGCGGACGGCATGATTACGCGAGGACCGGATGACGGTATGGCGGCGTCGTTGATCTTGACCCCAGTCGACGGGGGCTCTTGGTCAACGGCGCCGGCGGTATCGGTCCCGAGATTACGCACGGGCTGACGGAGGGATTCGGTGCGGGTAGGATTAAAAATAGAACGGCTCTGTAGGGAGGGATTGAAGCGAAAAGGAACGCTGCGCAAGAAGGAGCGGACGTTGCGAAAGAGTCAGTCGGTCGAGGACAAGTGGACAGCGCTGCTGGATCCTGTCAATCGACGTGACGCGGGTGAGGCCAGGCCAAGGCTGGCTCGAGAAGGAGGACAAGGGCCAGCGACTCGAGAGCCGCTCCTCGCGAGGCAAGAGGCAACGGCGGGGAGCGGTCGACGAGGAAGGGCACGACGGCAGCGGTGGGTGAGGAGAGTCGGGTATTGGGTGTCGGGAGTCGTCGTCGGGAAGGCGTGTTGGCGAGGATCGAGAAGGCGGTCCTTTGTCGTCCACGTCTCTGTCGTCGTGCCGAGCGTGCGGAAGTTTGAAGGTAAGAGGGAAGAAGGGAGGGCAGGCAAGGAAGGAATGAGACCCGTTGTCGATGTGAGACACAAAATCGGCGCTTAGCGGAAGCCCATGTGCGCGGGAGGGGAAAGGAAGAACGGCAGAGCGGGAGACGAAAGGGCGCTTGTCTCGAGCAACACGCAGAACATGACCCGGTCGAGGCTGCGGTTGGACTGGAGGCTCTCAAAGAAGGACGAAATGCAGGAGGAGAGAAGTAGAAGGGGGGAGGAAGGAGGCGGCGGCCGGGGGAGGAGGCGGCGGCTCGATTCGTCGAACAGAGAGAGCGGCTCTGCTGCTGCTGCTGCTGCTGCTGCTGTTACGGGAGGAGGGACGAAAGGTGAGGATGAGCGAAGCGGACGGGGGAGGAATAAGCGTCGAACAAACAGTGGAGGACGGTG